GATCAGCTTCATGGGCGTTTAGACGCTGAGCCTCTTGCAAAACAGCTGAGGCGAGCGGCTTTTCTGCCTGAGTGAAGGCCCTTGCGGTGGGACCGGCCCACCCTCGTGAGTATCATGTGCTGTCGCAAAACACCGCATGATGCCCACGGAGGAGTGGAGCCGTGTCCCTGCGCGAGATGCTATCGGATTACTGGTACGCCTTTCAACAAGAGTTGTTCCCGAGGCTGGAGAGCGAGCTTGGCCCGATGGGCGAGCGCTACGAGCTGTTCGTCGCGGTTCTGGAACTGGTGCGGGTCGAGGCTCTTCTGCCCTACTTCCGCGGCCAGGTAGGGCGTCCGGAGGAGGACCGCGCGGCGCTGGCGCGCGCCTTCATAGCCAAGGCGGTGTTCGACATTCCGACGACGCGCGGCCTGATCGAGCGTCTTGAGGTTGACGGCAGGCTATGGCGGCTGTGCGGCTGGAGCGGTGCCGGCCGGCTTCCGAGCGAGGCGACGTTTTCGCGGGCCTTTTCCGAGTTTGCCGAGAGCGGTCTGGCCAGCCGTCTGCATGAGACGCTGATTGCGCGGACGATGGATGGCCATCTTGTCGAGCACATCTCGCGGGATGCGACGGCGATCGAGGCGCGGGAGAAGGCGGCGCCGAAGCCGAAGGCAGCGAAGCCGAAGCGGCGCAAGCGGGGGCGGCCACGCAAGGGAGAGGCGCGGGCGAAGGAGCCGAGCCGGCTGGAACGGCAACTGACGATGAGCCTTCCGCAGATGCTGGCGGACCTGCCGAGGGCCTGCGATGTCGGCACCAAGCGCAACGCCAAGGGCCATACCACCTCCTGGATCGTCTATGGACGCCCCCGGTGATGCAAGCAGTTCTTTGATCGGCTCGGTGCATGCGGTCAGGTGCTGTCGTCTATTCGGCCTGTTGGTGCGACCTGTTGGACGCCGCTGGCCTGTATGGAGATACGCGGAACGGGTCCAAATCGGGTACGCGAGCTTGAGAGCTCCGATCCAAGAGCTGGTTTTCCCGATCCCGTCTCATTTGACCGTTTGCCCTTACCTGTCCTCCGACCTTCTCGCATCCCCGACGGCTTCCCGCGCTTCGCCCTCTCAGGCGATGCCGGGAGCCCGGTAGTTCTCCTTCTTCGTCGTCAGCGCCCAGGTGATGCGCGCCATTCTGTTGGCCAGCGCAACTGCAACGAGCATCCTCGGCTTGCGCGCCAGCATACTGGCCAGCCAAGGGTCCGTCGTCTCGCCACGTCGGGCGGCGTTCCGTACGACCGACATCGCGCCCGTGATCAGAAGCCGCCTGAGGTCGCGCTGGCCCATCTTGGATATCTTGCCCAGCCTGGGCTTGCCGCCGGTCGTGTGCTGCCTTGGAACGAGCCCGAGCCATGCGGAGAAGTCGCGCCCGCGCCGAAAGCTCTCCATCGGCGGTGCGAAGGCCTGCAGCGCCATCGCAGTGATTGGCCCGACCCCCGGTATCGTCATGAGGCGCACCGCCTCTTCGTCCTGGCGGGCGCTGGTGTGCACATCCTTCTCCAATCCGCGTATCTTCTCGTCGAGACCAGCAATCTGCTCAAGCAGAAGGCCGGCCAGCTCGCGGACCTGCTCCGGTAGCCCCGAGCACGGATCCTCGAGCGCCGAGGCCAAGCGGCTGACATGAGCAGGCCCCTGTGGTGCGATCACGCCAAACTCCGCCAAATGGCCCCGCAGCGCGTTGATCGTTTGCGTCCGCTGGCGTACCAGAAGATCGCGCGTACGGAACAGCATCCCTCTGGCCTGCTGCTCTTCCGTCTTCACGGCCACGAAGCTCATGGTCGGGCGCTGTGCTGCCTCGGTGGTCGCCTCCGCGTCGGCCATATCGTTCTTCTGACGCTTGACGAATGGCTTCACGTATATCGGCGGAACCAACTTGACTTCGTGCCCGAGCTTCTCGGCCTCTCGGCCCCAATGGTGAGCGCTCCCGCAGGCCTCCATTGCCACCACGCAGGGCGGCTGAGAGGCGAGAAAATCGAGCACTTTCCCGCGGCTCAACTTTTTGCGGAATGCGACGGATCCGTCTGCCCTCGCACCATGCACTTGGAAGCTGTGCTTCGCCAGATCGATCCCGATGATGCTAGCCTGATCCATGGATGCCTTTTCCTTTCTCGTGGCATTGATGCCATCGCCACCTTGGCACGATTCGATGCCGTCGGGAGGGGGCGTCCAATCCATCGGGTACAAGCTGCACGTCGATACCGCCGATGGCGGGATCCCCATCAGCTGCATCATGACGTCTGCGTCGACGCATGACTCCCAGGTGGCGATTCCGTTGGGGACCCTGACGGCCGGACGGGTCGAGAACCTCTATGACCTTATGGACGCGGCCTATGATTCCATCGAGATCTGGGCGCACAGCATCTTGCTGGGCCACAAGCCGATCATCGACGTGAACCCCCGCCGCTCGGTCGAAATGCAAGAGGCGTTGAAGCAGGAGAAGAAGGCGCGGCGCACGCTCGGTCTCGTCTTTCCCGAGGAGCGTCGTTACGTCGTGCGCTCGGGGTCCGAGCGGATCAATGGGCGGCTCAAGGATGAGTTCGGCGGCCGCCATGTCCGCGTGCGCGGGTTACGACAAGGTTCTCGCCCACCTCATGTTCGGCATGACCGTGCTGACGGCCAGCCAGCTGATGCGCCTTATCGTTCCGCCGATCTAGTCCGGCTCGTCTCCTTCGCCATCACGGTGGCCGCACTTCTCGAAAGACGGTGCGGCCAAACGCGCCCGAAGTTCGACGAAAATACCGAATCGGAGGCTGTGCCAACGCTGATCCGACCATGGTCGCCATCAAAATCGCACCAATTGCCGTGCGCGGACGTCGTTGCTAGCTTGGGTGTTCTTGCGCCGCTCCGAATCGATCAGAGTTTTGCAAGGCGGCTCACTCGAGAACACTACTTTGTGATCCGCAATCGCAACGTCGGCGCGCTATAAAGTCGGCCACGCTCGGATTGCTTGACTTTACTGGTTGTGATCTTTCCAATCTGCTCGCCTGCATGTTCGTCCTAACCACACCGTTCTTCTGATCTTAATTCTTCCTTCTAAAGTCGTTTAGCACCGCTTGGACCGGAGGAATAACTTCGCCTTACAACTGAACGGGATGCGCGGCTTGACAGATGGTTCAATATCCATTCCCAGAAGGTCCCTGAGAATCGAAAGCAAATTGCAGCGCGTCTAATCGCACCACGAACCGCCACGCTGCGGCAGCGACGCTCCCCGGCATGATCCACGCAACGGTTACGATCGATCCAGAAACAACTGCGCCATCACGGGCTCCTGTCGATCCGCCAATACTAAAACCCGACAATTGCCCGAAACGACCGGCATGATTGAAGGATTCGAACGGGTCTGAGCCGTGGAAAGCGGCGCAGGAACCTCAAGGAGCCGCCACCGCCAGCGTGTCCCTGTCTGCGATCCTTATCACTGTCATGGACCGGCTCGACTTTCGGGTTTACGAACACGTTCTGCGCCATCAATCTGCCTCGACATGGCCGTTACCTTCACTCCGTTCCGGTCGCGCTTTTCCTTCGACTGCCCGATGCATAACCGATCATTGGCAACGATGTCGACGCGTCCGCCCCTCACGCGACGCATTTTAATTCATGTCACTCGTGAGCGGGTTCTGCGCCCAACTCGTCGCCAGCCACTGCCGCCGGGCGTCTGGATGTAGAACGCAATTGTATCCCCGGGTCCCCCAAGCCGCATCCGCGGGTCCTGGCCGCTGTTTTTGGTTTCCGGAAAGGACCGATCACCGCGACGGTCCGACCGTCCGCACGAGAGCGCAGTCACAGCTCGTTGTGCCGACGTTTGGTCAGCCGCCCAGCCCGAGATCCTGCTCGATGCTGTCGCCGATCCGGGAGACCGACGTGACCACCATGTCGCGGGCGAGATGTGCATAACGCGCCGTGGTCTGTATCTGGGTGTGGCCCAGGATCTTGCCGATCATCGGCAGGCTCTCCCCGAGCGCCAGCGCGCGCGACGCAAAGCTGTGCCTCAGGTCGTGGATCCGGACGCCCGGCAGGCCGGCCCGCGCCCGGATGCGCTGCCAGGGCGGCTGGAGGTCAACGAGATGCGCGCCCCGCTTTCGGCCGGGTATGACCTAGGGATTGCCCCGCTTGCGCGGCAGATCGGCCAGCAGGCGCACCGCCGCCGGCGCCAGCGGCACCGCCCGGCCGCCCGTTTTGGTGTCGAGCAGATTCAACTCGCCGGCGGCCAGGTCAACATGCGCCCAGCGCAGCGTCAGGATTTCCGAGAGCCGGCAGCCGGTCAGCATGAGCAGGCGAATCGCCGTCACCGCCGAATGGGACTCCGAACCGTCGACGAGGACATCGTCGAGAACCTTGCCGAGGCGCCGGAATTCCTCGACGCTCAGGAACCGCTCCCGGCTCTCTTCCCTATAGCGCCTGATGTGCCGGCACGGGTTGGAGCCGTCAGGACGCAACTCCCAGATCTCGGCCATGTTGAACATCTTCGACAGCAGGGCGAGCGTCCGGTTCGCCTGATATCGGGTATCACGCAGATTGAAATGCAACGCAGCTACATCCCTTCTCCGGATATCCGCCGCCTTCCGCCTGCCGATCGCGGGAACCACGATCTTCCTCAGCAACCGGGTGTACTCGCGCACGGTTCCCGGCTTGCAGTGGATCTCGACATATTCCGCAAGAAACCGCTCGCACAAATCCGCCACCGAGCCCGCCGCCCGATCGGCGTCCCGGGCCGCAATCGGATCGCCGCCGTTCCACACCTCGGCGAGAACGGCAAGGGCGCGCCGGCGCGCCGCTTCGGGGGTCAACACACCGTGGGGGCCCAGCGTGACGCGGTGCGTCCGTCCGCCGGCGCGGAACCGCACGACATAGGCCTTGTGGCCGGAGGGACGGACACGCAGCCCGAAACCCTCCAGGTCGCCATCCCAGTAGATCCTGTCCCGTCCGTCCGCAACGATTCTGTCGACGGTTCCTTTGGTGATTCTTGTGCCTGTCGGCATTGCCGGTTGCCCGCGCTAACTTACTGATCCTCAGTATAGAAGCCCGGACGTAAGCGGGGAACAGAATCAGGTATAACCCCTGTCGTCACACGGCGCGTCTTGGCGTCGTTTTCAAGAAAAATTGATCAATTTCTACACTACGATTCGTAACGTTACCGCAAGATGCCGTACGGTAACCACATTCGCCACGGAGCGACAATCCTCCTATTACACTAGTATTCTATCCGGTCATTGCTATCTCGACATTGTCTCCAGGCGTCGCATTACGGCGCGGCTTGGCGACCAGTGGCGGGTACATTTTCCAACTGTGTTTTCCTCTCCCCGAATGCGTGAACAAACCATACTCCGGCATGCCAGTTGAACAGCCAGGGCGCGGTTTCCAGACCTGCAATTTCCGCCTTGCGAGGCCACGGTTCGCCACGCCTTGTTGCGCAGCCTGTCGACTTGCGGTGGTCGGGCCGCTTCTGGCATCGCCGCCGCCGCCGGGTCGGCTAGGCCCGCACATAGCAGGCGTCGCTGTGCGGCAGATCGAAGACGAAGAAGTGCGCCTTGCGCGCCACACCCCCGATCACCGCACGCGCCTCGCCGAAGTCCGCCTGCCCATGGCCCGGCGGATGGATCAGCGGCACGAACATCTCCCGCCGCCGGCGGTGGTGCTCCCTCGGGCCGCTCCTGCCGGAAGTGAATACTGCATGCCAGTGCACGGTCTCATGGCGAGTCAGTACCTGAGAATGCGTTCTTTTTTCATACATTCTTGCATTCTCTCGGTGCATTTGTTAGATATCGGTCGCATATGCAATAACTGTTTCCACGGATCGTCACACATGAACGAGCTCAGCCGACGACTGCGCCAGCTTCGGATCGGATCGGGCATGAGCCAGTCCGAAGTGGGAAGGCAGGTGGGGCTGTCACGCTCGGCGGTGACGCAGATCGAGTCCGGAAATCGCGATGTCACCGCTGACGAGGTGGTCCGGTTCTCGGCCATATTCCGGCATAGTCCCACGACGCTGTTAACCGGTGTCGGGCAGGCGGCCGGCGTCTCGGTCGCGGAGAAGGACAGTATACTCGACGACATTCTCGGCGCTCTGCTGGGGTTGGAAACGGATTTGGCCGGATTGCGTGCGGACATCGAGCGTCTGATCGAGCTTTCCAGGCAGCTCACGAGGATCGAGGCCGAGCTCGGTGTCGACGTCTACGCCCCCCAGGCGTTCGCGTTTCGGGGGACGAACTCGCGAACCCACTGGGAGGCCGCTCATCAAGGCTACACGGTTGCCGAGGACGAGCGACGGCGTCTGGATCTGGGTTCGGCGCCCATCCGTGACGTCCCTGAAACCCTGGCGACCTTGAGGGTGCGGATCTCGCGCCTCGCGCTACCGGAATCCGCCTTGTGCTTGTATTTGCATACGCCGGAAACAGGACCGCTGGTCATCGTCAACCGGAACTCCAGCCCGGAGGAACGGCGATTCTGGATGGTCCATGGGCTCGCCCATCTGTTTTTCGAATCCGAGCGGCGCTGGCTCATCTGCCGCAGGGACGACATGGGCCATCGCCACGAGGTGCGCGCCAATGCCTTCGCGAGCCGGTTCCTCATGCCTGCAAAGGGAGTAGAGCGCTATCTCCATTCGATTGGCCGGGACACCATGGCGGCGAGCCTCGGGGGCGTGTTGGAGGTCTTCTCCGACCAGGCCGCGGTCCCCAAAGACCAATCGCGGGTCCGAGTGAGCGGTCGATCCCGCCGTGGGAGTTGGGGATTCAACACCTTCGAGCTGTCTCAGGTTGCTGGTTACTTCGGCGTGACTCGATCCCTCGTCGCGCATGTGCTCAGAAATCTCCGTTTCCTTTCGGATGACGCACGCGACCGATTGATCGACACAGCGCAAGAGGGAGAGAGCGACCGCGCCTTGCACGCGGTGGGACGGCTGGAGGGCGGGCGAGAACGCGAGCACGACGCCTTCGTATCGCGCTTGCTCGCGCTGGCCACCGAGGCCCGGCGTCGCGGAGCTCTCTCGGCCGATCGAATCGAGCCGATCGCCGGGTTGTTGGGCCTGAGCGCAGAGGACCGGACGCGGTTGCTCGGGCCCCCTGATTCCAACTCCGGAGAGGATCATGGCATCGGCCGGGATCGGCGCGGTGAGCCTTTCGATCAGGACAGCGCGGACCCGTGACCCGAGCGCTCGGTCCGCTTTGCCGTAACCACATAGCCACAGAAAACAGGAGCCACGTCATGGACAAAATTCGTGTCGCGATTGCCGGTATCGGCAACTGTGCCAGCTCGCTGATTCAAGGCATCGAGTACTACCGCACGGGTAACACATCGCAATGGACAGGACTGATGCACGAGAGCATTGGTGGCTGGCACGCCTCGGACATCGAGATCGTTGCGGCGTTCGACATCGATCAACGCAAAGTCGGCCACTCGCTGGAGGACGCGGTGTTCGCAGCGCCGAACTGCGCTCGGGTTTTTCAACCCGTATTGCCGGCAGGGGGGGTGACCGTTCATATGGGGCCGGTTCTCGACGGGGTCGCGGGCCACATGGGGGACTATCCCGAGGACGAAGCGTTCCGCCCCGCCGACGAAGCCCCTGTGGACGTGACGGCCGCGCTGCGCTCGGCAGGAGCCGATGTGCTCATCTGTTACCTGCCGGTCGGATCGGAGCAGGCCGTCCGTCACTACGCCCGAGCCTGTCTCGATGCCGGCGTCGCACTGGTCAACTGCGTGCCGGTCTTCCTGGCCTCCGACGTCGAGTGGGGGGAGCGATTCCGAGCGGCCGGCCTCCCGATCATCGGCGACGACATCAAGAGTCAAGTAGGCGCGACCATCGTCCACCGCACCCTCTGCCGCCTCTTCGCGGACAGGGGGGTCAAGCTCGACCGGACCTACCAGCTCAACACCGGAGGAAATACCGATTTTCTCAACATGCTGGAGCGTGCCCGTCTCCGGTCCAAGAAGCGATCGAAGACGGAGTCGGTTCAGAGCCAGCTCGATGAGCGATTGGACAGTCACGACATCCACATCGGTCCTTCCGATTACGTCCCGTGGCAGGACGACAACAAGATCGCCTTCATTCGTATGGAGGGGCGAGGCTTCGGTGACGTACCGCTCGATCTGGAGCTCAGGCTCTCGGTCCAGGACTCCCCCAACAGCGCGGGTGTGGTGATCGACGCGGTGCGGTGCGCCAAACTCGGTCTCGTGCTGGGACTGGCCGGTCCGCTCGAGGCGCCCAGCGCCTACTACATGAAGAGCCCGCCCCGGCAGATGCGCGACGACGCGGCGCTTCGCGAACTCACGTCTTTCATCGAATCCGGAGGGCTGTCACCGACTCGGGCGCGCAACTCAGGCATGGGCGGAGGTGTTGGAGGATCATCAAGACAGGCCGGCTCTGACCGGCAGACTTCGAACCAGGACTATTCGTGAAATCACTGCCGCGCAACATCGGGACGCCCTCATTATGAGAGCTCATGACGAGCAAGGCTTCGTCTTCGCCTCGGACCGACGGGCACGCAGTTGAACGAAGGGTGCAGGGATGGGGATAGACGAGAAGCGTACGAGCGAAGCCGGAGCGCTTGGCATTCACTGGTCATCTCACGGCAACAACCAGACTCATTCTTCATGGAATATCACAGCCCGGTAGCTGCGGGCGGGCATCCGTCCGCGGCGACTCGGCCACGCGTATTGATGACGAGTTGTAGAGTCGCGGGGCCCGCCCACATTTCTCACCCGTCGTCGTCGCGCACCGCGTGGATGAGGACATTCTCGTCGTACCATTCGACGGGATCGGCAAAACGACGTTCGATGATCGTTCGGAAGGCAGCCAGCGCCTCTTCAAAAGCGTCCGGTTCGTAGAGAGAGAACGTCGAATAGTGCCGGTTCCTGGCCTGCTCGAGGAGGCGCTCGAGCGGTGCTTGCCGGCGATACCTCAAACATGTCGCACCGCAGAACCTGAGCCCTGGGGTGTCCTCGATTGCCCCGTGGATGTCGCCGAGTGTCAGCAGTCGTGTTTCCTTTTCGACAAAACCCGGAAAATACCGGCCCCAGACGCTGCGCGAGTTCTGTTCGGGCAGCCGCGTATAGACGAACAGTCGTCCGTCTTCGGCTAGCCCGTCGCGCGATTTCCCGAGGAAGGCCGGAAAGTCGAAATGATGCACGGCGTTGAAGGAGGACACGAAGTCGTACTCGCCGGGCTCGAGCTCGAGACGTTCAACGGTCGACTGTCGCGTCTCGAACTTGTCGATTCCGTTGGCCCTGAGCAACCCGTCGACCTGTTTCAGCATTGCAGGGTTGGCATCGACGCAGGCGAGAAAGAGATGCGGTATCGTCTCGAACATCAACAGGACATAGCGCCCGGCGCCGCAGCCGATGTCCGCGCCCCTCGGCTTGGCCAGACCTTCGAGCTCCCGTGCGATTCGTTCCACCGGTTCCCGGTCGGTCGTGCGAACGGACCGGTAGACCGGAGAGACCTCGGTGAAATGCCGGGCCATGTCGGGCCGGGTGACCATGACAAGCCTCCGGGAAGTGCGTCGTTCTCGGGCGTAACGATGTGGATGTTGCGGCTTTCCAGTCGCTCATTCCAGCTACGACTGGACGGACTCCATCTTGGAGATCCTCTTCGACACGAGCCTATCATCCGCCAGCATGTTGATGAAATCGGTATTGCCGCCCGTACAGGACCGTTTCACGCTGATCGTACGTCCATTCACGTGGGCGGGACCGTAGGGGCGACGCATGCGTCGCCCCTACGGACAACCAGCTCGCGCCGGGTTGGGGACGGGGGCAAGGCCCGCGCGTCAGCCTGCCGTTGCAGTTGTGAACTTCGTCCAGATCGAGCCAGGGACCCACCTCGGCAACGCGCTCTTTGCCCTGGGTGTGCGGGTGGGTGGCCTGGAACGGAGGGAGGGCGTAGCCCGACCGGAGTTTCAGGCCGCCGCCTTGCGAAGATTTCGCCCCGGGCCTCCTGGCGTCGGTGGCCGGTCGGGCAACACTTGGGCTTTCCCGAGTCGGAGGAGAGCGCAGGGGTGCCCGGTCGCCACGTCACCGATCGCCAGAAGAGGCTTTTCATGACCCTGAAGAAGACCCACACAATCGACGTCGCGGCCGCGAAGGCGGGCTTCAGCCGCGCCACGGGATATCGGCTCGCCGAGGATCCGTCCCTCCCTTTCGGGGAAGGCGGCACCACGGGGCCGGCGCCGGCCGGACCCTCTGGCCGATATCTTCGAGACCGAGGTGGTGCCGATCCTGGAGAACAGTCCGGGCATCCGCCCGGTCGGCGTGTTCGAGGCGCTGATGCAGCGGCACCCGGACCTGGACCCCGGCGTCCGGCGCACTCTGGAGCGGCGGATCCGCGCCTGGCGGGCCGAGCACGGCCCCGAGCAGGGAGGTGATCTTCCGCCAGACGCATGAGCCGGGCCACCGCGGCCTCTCGGACTTCACCCATATGGGCTCTCTCGGCGTGAGCGTCGCCGGCCAGCCTCTGGATCACATGCTCTACCACTTCCGCCTGGCCTGGTCGGGCTTCGCCCACGCCCGGGTGGTGCTCGGCGGCGAGAGCTTGGCGAAGTGTTCGAGGAACTTCGTCTTTGTCAGCCGTAAATCCACGATCTCGCCCGTCTCCATGTCGACCCAATAACACAAACCATGCCCCCACCAAACACATCCACTAGCCAACGGCCACCAACAACCCCTAGCCCGGACACCCACATGGCCCAACCAAGCCGCCGGTCCCGGACAACTAACCAGCCGGCCAAAGCAACGATTACTGCCAAGACACACAAACCACCCCCCCCCCACAGCCCACGACGGCCGAAGCGCCCCACCCTGCGCGCCATCCCAACCACCCCGTCCCACCCCCCGCCAGCCCACCCGCCACCGCCCCAGTACACGCGGGGACAGCACAAAGGAACCCCCCCAAACGCCCCACTCGCAGGAGCGTGCCGTCGCCCCCGCATCCCCACCGCACCCCGATCCCACTACAAGCCCCTCCCCCCCCCCCACCCGCCAACCGCCAAAGACCCAGCATACCCCGGAACCCGAACACACACGACCCCCTCGACCCACCTTGCCCCGTCCCGGTCGCTGCCGAGCCGGGACGATGGAGGGAACCCCAACCCAAGACCCAACCACCCGTGAGACCCCAGTCAGCAACAGGCATAAGGCCGCCCAGAACAGCAAACCTACACAAAAGTCGACCCCCCCCCCCCCCGAACACCCGCCACCCCCCCTCACCGACATCACACCCCCAACCCCAAACGACACGACACCCACACACGCCCCCCCAAGCGGCGACTCCCAAACCCACCCCACTGCTCCTGACCGCCCCCCTCACGCACACCGCCGCCTACACCCCCACCCAGCCCCCGCGCAAAGCGCTCCCATCCCCAACGACGACTCAGCGCAGAAATAGAGGGGCCTCAAACCGAGAGCGCGCGCACCCATGCAAGCCCCTCTGGGAAGAAAACACAAAACCCAACCTGTAAAGAACAGAAAAACGGACGCACAGCCGCCACTCGGCACCCGCCCCGGTGTGGCCCCCCTAGGTCACACGCCAAGAGCCCCCCCAAAACACTGGAACGGTGCCCCACCACCACGCTCCACCCTTTCTCACGCCCCGTACACAGAAACCACCCGGCCAGCGCGCCACGTACAGGGCACACCCAAAACCCCCGGCCCGGCGCCCCTAGGCAGCTGGAAAACCGCCCTTGAAGCGGCAGAGACCCCCCCTACCCCCTGCGCCCACATGGGGAAGAGACTCGGGCCCCAGCCCCCGGCCACCCCCCCCCAAATGACCCCAGAAGCGCACACGGGCGCGGGGACGGCGACGGCAGACCCCCACTCCCGAAAACCCAAGCACATGCCCCGCCCCGGAAAAGAATCCGGCTACCGCCGCCAAACTACCCCCGACCGCCCACCCCCACCGCCCCCCCCCTCAGTCCCCGAGCAGGCGACCGCCCTCCCCCGATAACAGCCCCCCATGACAGGCCGCCCCACCGGGCGAGCCGCGCCCACGAAGGCCACCAACCCAAAAGCTGCAAGACCGAGCCCGGTACCAAAGCCCGGTCAAGATCCCTCGTGTGGGGCTCCACCCCGCTCCCGGGACCGCACCCACGTCAGGGAGCAAGCCCAGCACCCTGATTCTCCAATCACACCCCCCACCAGCCATGCTGCCTCCCCGGTAGCCGCTCCCCCCGCCCCCCCGAAACCATGAATCGCCGCGGAACCTACCCAAACGCGACCTACGAGCTAGAGAGTCCAACAAGACACCGCCCTCCGCAGCGAGCCCCCAGCCCACGCACGGTGTCCTCCAACGGCACTCAAACCCCACGCTACACCGGGCCACGCACAGGAAGCTCGGGCGTCCAACGTCGACCGCGGCGCCAGCCAACCCCAAACTCGGGGCTTCCAAATAGAGGCAACTGGCCCCTCCCCCGTCGCCCAAACACAAGCCCCAAAGCCCCCCGCCCCGGACGACCCCCCCTGGCCGACCCCCCAAGAGGACCCAAGCCCACAACCCCAGACCCAACGCGCACTCAGGAAAAGGAGTCACCAAACCACGACTTTGTAAGGCGCCAAGCTACACGCCCGCCCCCTAGCAACCAGGTTTAAACACCCGCTTCGCCGTATCCCCGCCCAGCGACCGTTCTGGCTAATCTCACCTCGGACCTCCTGCTTTGGCCTCGGGAAGAAACCGAAATCTTCCCCCTTGGCACTGTAGATGCCGGCGCGCCAGTGAGGTCGTCCACCTCAACCCTCCCGACCGCCGGCATCAGGGGTGGGACGGAACCTGTCAACGACTTTGAGACACCGACGGTTTCTATTTACTGACTCGTTTCTCCTGTTGTGGAAGTGGCGGGTGGGTTGATCCAGACGGCTTCGGGAAGCGGGGCGGGTTTCGGGGTGCCGTGGACGAAGCGTTCGGGGTGAAGGGCCCAGGCGGCTTGCAGGGTACGTCCGCGCTGAGCCAGCACATCCGGTGCTCGGTGATGATGGACATCATCGGGGGTGAGCATCGCGATCCCGGCATGGCGGTGCTCGGTGTTGTACCAGGGGAAGAACGACCGGCAGAAGGCGATGGCGGCGGTAATGTCTTCGAAGCGCCCAGGGAAGCCGGGGTGATACTTCAGGGTCTTGAACTGCGCTTCGGAGAACGGGTTGTCATCGCTGACCTGGGGGCGGCTCAGAGAGCGGGTGACCCCGAGGTCGGCGAGGAGTTGGGCGGTGCACTTGCTGGTCATCGGCGCGCCGCGGTCCGAATGCAGGGTGAGCACCTGGGGCTCGATGCCTTGCTTGAGACAGGTTTCCTCGATCAGCGTCGCGGCGAGCGCGGCGTTCTCCCGATCGGCAACCATCCAGCCCACGACGCAGCGGCTGAAGATGTCGAGCAAGACATAGAGGTAGAAGGACGTCCAGCGTTTGGGCCCCCGGAGCCGGGTGATATCCCAGGACCAGGTCTGGTTGGGGCCCGTGGCCACCAGCTCGGGCTTGGTGTAGCAGGGATGACTGCGCTGATTGCGCCGCTCTCGCACCGGCTGGTTCGCGGCCAGGATCCGGTACATCGTGCGCTCGGCGCACAGATACTGGCCTTCATCGAGCAGCGTCGCGACGACCTCGGCCGGTGACCGGTCGACGAAGCGCGGGCTGGCGAGCACGTCGAGGACGTGCGCGCGTTCGGACGCACGCAGGGCCCGGGCGGGCTTAGGACGGGGCTGCCGATGCCCGGGAGCGGGCCTCTGACGACGGTAGAAGGAAGCCCGTGGCACCCCCAGCGCTCGGCACGCCGGCGCCACGCCGACCTGCGATGCGAGCGGCTGGACGGCCATCAGCAGTCCTTCCCGTGTTCGAGGCTGAATCCCAGCAGCCCGGCAACTTTTCCCTGGACGTCCAGGATCGTATGGGCGGTGTGCAGCTCCTTCTCCAGCCGAGCCACTTTCGCCTCGAGCTCGTGCACCTTCGCGCTGAGGGGGTTGCGCTCGGCGGGCTTCCGACCGCGTTTGCTCGGGGTCAGCCCTTGAAGCGACCCCTCACGCCGCGCCCTGCGCCATTCCGTCAGATGGGAGCTGTACAGACCCTCGCGGCGAAGCAGCCGGCCCACCGCGCCGGGCTGCGTGCAGCTCTCTGCCTCCTCCAGAATCCGCAGTCGATACTGCGCGGTGAACTTGCGCCTCTTCGGCTTGGCCACGACCTCCGGGTCCGGCGTTGGCCGCGCGTGGCTGGCTCCGGCCCTGGGGGCCTCGTCGCGACGCTCCTCGACCCCCAGGGCCGGAGCGTCCATCTCTTGCAATGTCATCGATTCTCTCTCTGCGGTCATCGGTATTCACCTCCACCGCCCTACAGTAATTCCAAGGGGGCCGGTGTCTCAGTGATGTTGGCAGAGAGGGGTGTTCGCGAGCGATGTACAAGGGAAAACAGAGGACAGATAAAAAAGCGAAAGGCCCTCAAGCGCCAGATGTATGGACGCAGCCAACTCGAACCTGCTGCTGAGCACGCCCGTCGCGCGCGCTGCATGACGAACGAAACGTCATCGAAAGTATGTGACAGTCCAGACCCAAATATGGACGCCGATCACCCCGAGAGGGGGGTCAGCGGGTCAATGTTCCACGCCGATCAACATCTGGTACATGGACCGGACATATCTTGTGTTACCGATACGCGCGCAACGGGGGGCTTGACGGGCCCGCCACGGGGAGCAATATCGCTAGTTGCCTGGCGAGCGGGAGGAGGCCGTGTCATGGCTCCAACACGCAGGGAGTGTATGACATGCTCGGTGCTCCGCCCCGCAGCGACGCCGCTGCTGTCCTGCGGTACGGCCGAGGCCTCGAACGGCGTTTGGCAGGCCATCGATGAATTCACAGGGGGCGCATTGCGCCTGGAAGGCGGTGTGCTTCTCGATGCGCCGGAGATCTCGACAACGGCGGCGCCGTGCCGATCCGGGTCGTCGCCGAGGGCGCGAGGCGCATCGCGCTCTTCAACGACGGAAACCCGAATCCGGGCGTCGCCGTCTTCACGTTCGGGAGGCTGGTGACGCCGGAAGCCACGATCCGCATCCGGCTGGCCGGGAGCCAGAACGTGTATGCGGTGGCGGAGATGGCGGACGGCACATTCCGCCAGGCCTCCCAGAAGATCGCGGTGACGGTCGGCGGCTGCGGCTGAGGAGCGGGCGATGGCGGAACCCAAGCCGCGCGTAAAGCTGCCGAAGTCGATCGAAGGCGGGCATCCCGTTCATGGTCAAGACCCGGATCACCCATCCGATGCATACGGGGGAGCGCCACGACAGCGAGGGCGAGCTCGTGCCCCGCCAGATCATCAACCGCTTTGTGGTGAGCTATCACGGCGAGGTGGCGATCTCCGTCGATCTGGAGCCGGCGGTCTCGGCCGATCCCTACATCCAGTTCGAGATGGCCGTCCCGAAGTCGGGCCTTCTGGAGTTCCAATGGATCGACGATGACGGCTCCGTGTACAGCCTTAGCAAACGGATTGAGGTCGACTAGAGCCTTCGGGCGACACCGGTCCTGGACGACCGGCCTTGCGGCATGTCTCGCCTCCGGCCTGTTCGCCGTGGCGCTGCTGGCGGTTCTCCCGGTCGCCGGCGCATGGAGCGCCGATGCCGGCCGCGGCAAGGCGCTCTTCGGCCAATGCAAGCGCTGCCACCAGGTGGGCGGCGGCGCGGAGCATCGGATCGGCCCGCAACTCAACGATGTCTTCGGCCGTGCGGCAGGCTCGCTCGCGAACTATCGCTACTCCCAGGCGATGAAGGCTGCCGGTGCCGGCGGCTTGGTCTGGGCTGAGGCGACGCTGGATGCGTTCCTCTCCGACCCGCACGTTTTCGTGCCCAGCTCGCGTATGAGCTTCGCGGGCATTGAGGGAACGGGCGACCGGGCGGAACTCTTGGCATGGCTGCGCGGCTTTTCAGGCGCCCGATCAGATCTACCGCCGGCGGAGCCGACCGCCACGCCCGAGGAATACGGCCTCGACCCGCAGATCCTCGCCATCCGGGGAGACCCCGAATACGGCGCCTATCTTGCGGGCGAATGCACCACCTGCCACCGGACGGACGGAGCCGACGAGGGCATCCCCTCGATAACCGGATGGCCGCCCGATGACTTCGTGATAGCCTTGCACGCCTACAAGCGCGGAAAGAGGGTGCATCCCGTCATGCAGCTCGTGGCCGGGCGCTTGTCGGACGAAGAGATCGCTGCTCTCGCTGTGCATTTCCACAGGGCGGAAGATGATCCGTGAGCCAAGGGAAACACGACATGAACCCACGAAACGGAAAGAGCGGCTTGAATCGGCGCCATTTCCTCGCATCCGCGGCTGCGGCGACAACGGCGATATCGGCGCTGTCGGCGCCGGCGGTGCTGGCCGAGGGCCGCCCCCGCGTCGTGGTCGTGGGCGGCGGTGCAGGCGGTGCAACGGCTGCGCGCTACATCGCCAAGGATTCGAAGGGTGCTGTGGATGTAACGCTCGTGGAACCGAGCCGCGCCTACTACACCTGCTTCTTTTCGAACCTCTATATCGGCGGCTTCCGCGACTGGACGTCGATCGGGCACAGCTACGGCGCGCTGGCCGCAAATCACGGGATCAACGTCGTGCACGACTGGGCGGTCTCCATCGACCGCGACAAGCGGAGCGTGGGGCTCGCGGGCGGGGCCAGCCTCGCTTACGACCGCCTCGTCCTGTCGCCGGGCATCGACTTCCGGCCGGGGTCCGTTCCCGGATGGGACCTGTCGCAGCAGAACCGCATGCCGCACGCCTACAAGGCCGGCTCGCAGACCCAGCTTCTCAAGGCGCAGATCGAGGCCATGCCGCAGGGCGGCACCTATTGCATGGTGGCCCCGCCGAACCCGTTCCGCTGCCCGCCGGGGCCCTACGAGCGGATCTCGATGGTGGCCCATGTCCTGAAGCAGGCCAATCCGACGGCGAAGATCCTGATCGTCGATCCCAAGGAGAAGTTCTCCAAGCAGGGGTTGTTCGAGGACGGCTGGCAGCGCCACTACCCCGGCATGGTCGAGCGCATCGGCCGGACTTCGGCGGCGATAAGGTCGAGGTGCGGCCCGACACCATGGAAGTGGTGGTGGACGGCGAGGCGATGAAGGTGGATGTCTGCAACGTCATCCCCGCGCAGCAGGCGGGGCGCATCGCAGCGCTTGCGGACATCACCGACGAGTCCGGCTGGGCGCCGATCGTGCCGCACACCATGCAGAGCCGGGCGGACGACAATATCCATGTGCTGGGCGACGCCGCGCTGCAGGGCGACATGCCGAAGTCGGGCTTCTCGGCCAACAGCCAGGCGAAGGTCTGCGCCATGGCGGTGCGCGGGGCGCTCACCGGGTCCACGGTGTTCCCGCCGCGCTACTCCAACACATGCTGGTCGCTCATCGGCACCGATGACGGCGTCAAGGTCGGTGCCTCCTACGAAGCGACCGACGAGAAGATTGCCAAGACCGACGGCTTCATTTCCCAGACCGGGGAAAGCGCGGAGCTGCGCAAGGCGACCTACGGAGAATCGCTCGGCTGGTACGCCGCCATCACCGGGGACATGTTCAGCTGAGCCTGTTGGCGGCGTTTCTGCTTCGAGCGGAAACGCCGTAGCGGCTGCCGAGCGCTAGCGGGCGGCGAGGAGCACGCCTACGGCCCGCGCCGAGGCTGCCATGGCGGCGAGCGCGAGCAGGGCGGCAAGGCTTGCCGTCGAGACGCCGGAAAGACCGGCGCCGACCGTGCAGCCGCCTGCCAGCACGCCGCCCACCCCCATCATCACGGCGCCGGCAAGGTAGCGCCCGGTCTGCCGCGGCCCTTCCAGGCTCTGCCAGCGGAACTCGCCGGCCGCCAGCGCCGCGACCAGGCTGCCGATCAAGACGCCCGCCGCTAGGCCTGTGCCGAAGCCTGCCGGAATCGATGTCGCCGCCACGGCCCAGAACAGCGTGTCGGCCATCGGCCCCGTGAAGCCCATCGACTGCACGGGGATCGGATCGAAATCGTCCAGCAGCAGGAATCCCGTGCCGATCCAGCCGAGCGGCACCAGCAGCCCGATGGCGCCCGCCATGGCCAGATGGGCGATCCGCGCGCGGGAGAAGAGCGCGAAGAGCAGCGCGGCGCCCGCGATGATGAGCGGCCAGACCTCGCCGCCGGGCCATGAGGAAAGCGCAGCCGCCTCGCCGCCGGGAATGGTCGCGTCGCCGAGCGCCTGGCGGATCGGCGCCAGCGCGCCCTTCATCACCGCATGGGCGGTGACGGCAAAGACAATCAGGACGAGCAGGGCGCGCAGATTGCCGGTGCCGACCAGCACCGTGAGGCGCGAGACGCAGCCGCCCGCCAGCACCATGCCGGCCCCGAACAGCGCACCGCCCAGGAGCACGGATGCAACCGGCAGGTCGGACGCGAGAAAGCGGTGCGCGTCGAAGGAGATCAGGCCCGTGGCAACCGCCGCCCGGGTGCCGGCAATCGCGCACGCCAGCGCCATCGCCCAGGCGCCCAGCGCCGGCAGGCAATCGCGCCACTGGCCGACCAGGCTGCGGCGCAGGCAGAAGGCACTGCGCTGCGCCAAGGCGCCGTAGGCGCAGCCGAGCATGAGACCCAGCAGCACCGACGCCGTGAGCGGTGTCAGTTCCTCGAATCCCAGCTCCTCGAACATCGGGAACCGCCTCCTCCCGGCTGCCCCTCCGCCGGGCGCACGAAATCCAAAACGTCCTCAACCAAGGTGCGCAAGACCGACCGCGATGCTGACAGGGCCGTCCGGACCGACAGTTGAGTTCGCGGCCTTTCTGGGTTATCTCCGGTGGGGCGGCGTCCCCATCGTCTAGTGGCCTAGGACACCGGCCTCTCACGCCGGAAACGGGGGTTCGAGTCCCCCTGGGGACGCCAGTCTCTCAGGCGTATGGCTAAGCCCGCTCACTCAACGGGACGAAACTGCGCTGGGCCGGGCCGGTATAGAGCTGGCGCGGCCGGCCGATCTTCTGCTCCGGATCTTCGATCATCTCGTTCCACTGGGCGACCCAGCCGACGGTGCGCGCCAGCGCGAAGATCACCGTGAAGAGGTGCGTCGGGATACCGAGAGCCTGCAAGATAAGGCCCGAGTAGAAATCGACGTTGGGGTAGAGCTTGCGCTCCACAAAATACTTGTCCTCAAGCGCGATCCGCTCCAGCTCCATCGCGATCTTGAGCAGCTCGTCGCTGAGACCGAGATCGTCGAGCACCTCGTGGCAGGTTTCCCGCATGACCGTCGCGCGTGGGTCGTAGTTCTTGTAGACCCGGTGGCCGAAGCCCATGAGCCGGAAGGGGTCGTCCTTGTCCTTGGCCCGCCCGATGAAGGTCGAGATGCTTTCGACCGTGCCGATCTCTTCGAGCATCTGGAGCACCGCCTCGTTGGCGCCGCCATGGGCAGGCCCCCAGAGCGTCGCGATGCCGGCCGCGATGCAGGCGTAGGGGTTGGCGCCGGATGAGCCGGCGAGGCGCACCGTCGATGTCGAGGCGTTCTGTTCGTGGTCCGCGTGGAGGATGAGGAGGCGGTCCATGGCGCGCGCGTGGATCGGGTTGATCTGATAGTCCTCGCACGGCACCGCGAACATCATGTGCAGGAAGTTCTCGGCGTAGGTGAGGTCGTTGCGCGGATAAACGAACGGCTGCCCGATGCTGTACTTGTAGGCCATCGCCGCGAAGGTCGGCATCTTCGCGATCAGCCGGTGCGAGGCGATCATGCGCTGCTTCGCGTCGTCGATATCGGTGGTGTCGTGATAGAAGGCGGCGAGCGCACCGACCACGCCGATCATCACCGCCATCGGGTGAGAATCGCGCCGGAACCCCCGGTAGAGATAGTTGATCTGCTCGTGCACCATCGTGTGCTTGGTGATGGTGTTGACGAAGCGATCCCTCTCCGCCGCATTCGGCAACTCGCCGTGGAGCAGCAGGTAGGAGACCTCGAGAAAGTCGCTCTGTTCCGCCAGCTCGTCGATGGGGTAGCCGCGGTGCAGCAGTACGCCTTGCTCGCCGTCGATATAGGTGATCTTCGACTTGCAGGAGCCGGTCGCAGTGTAGCCGGGATCGTAGGAAAATTTGCCCGTGCCGGCGTAGAGCGAGCGGATATCGATCACCGGGGGGCCCATCGTCCCCTCGAGGACGGGCAGTTCTACCGTCCCCCCGCTCTCCCGGTCGGTCAGCACGGCGCTGGGCGCCGCGTCGTTCGCCCCGGCGAGAGTCGTCTGGCGTGACTGAGACACCCCGTCTCCCTCCCTCTTCGCCCTGTGCCGGCTCCCGGCCAGGGCGCGTGGAATATAAGGCTAGAGCCGCAATTACACAATTTGGCCCGGAGAGGCGCCGGCAGGCGCAGTACCCAAAACCGGCCGCTTTGACCCGGTCCCGGTGGCTAGTGGCGTGCCCTCTCGCGCTCCACGCTGCTCACTGTCGTCACCGCCCGCAAGGCGGCCATGATATTGCCGAGGTGTCTGGCGTCCTTGACCTCGATATCGACCAGCATCTCGAAGAAATCCAGCGAGCGGTTTGTGATCTTGAGGTTGCTGATGTTGCCGTTGTTCTGGGCGATCGCGGTGGTCAGCTTGCTGAGGCTCCCGGTTTCGTTGGCGACCACCAGGTTGAGACGGCCGACATGGATTCCCTTTTCTTCCGCGTCCCCTTCCCAGGCGAGATCGAGCCAACGCTCGGGCGTGTCCCCAAAACTCTCCAGCGTGTCGCAGTCGATGGTGTGGATCGTCACGCCCTTGCCGGTGGTGACGATGCCGACGATGCGCTCGCCGGGCAACGGGTTGCAGCACTCGGCAAGATGCACGGCCATGCCCGGAATCAGGCCGCGCACGGGGATGCCTCTGTCGCCTGCCTTGGTGCCGCGCCGGCCACGCGCGACCGAGAGCGCGCGGCGTGCGATGCCCTGGAGACTGCGGGCGGGGAAGAGAGTGTCGGCGACTTCGCCGCTGGTGAGATCGCCGCGTCCGAGGGCGGCCAGCAGATCGCTCACGGAGCGCTGCTTGAGGCGGGAGAGCGCACCCTCCAGCAGCGCCTCGGAGTAATCCGCGCCGGCCTCGCGGCAGAGTTTTTCGGCGACGGCCCGGCCGAGGGCGATGAACTGTTCCCGCTCCTTGAGCCGGGTGAAGCGGCGGATGCAGGTTCGCGCCTTGCCGGTCACCACAAATCGTTCCCAGGCTGGCTGCGGTTGGGGGACCCGCGAGCGCAGGATCTCCACCTGATCGCCGTTCTCCAGCTGGGTCCAGAGCGGCACCATGCGCCCGTTGACCTTGGCGCCGACCGTCGTGTCGCCCACATCGGTGTGCACCGCATAGGCGAAATCGACCGGCGTTGCGCCGCGCGGCAGCGAGATCAGCGCCCCGCGGGGCGAGAAGCAGAACACCTCGTCCTTAAACATCTCGAGCTTGGCGTGCTCGAGCAGCTCCTCGGGCCCTGAGGCCTTGTCGAGGATTTCGAGCAACGGGCGAAGCCAGCGCTGCTGACGGACGTCGCGGACGTCGCCCCCCTGCTTGAACAGCCAATGAGCCGCGACGCCGTACTCGGCCTCTTCGTGCATGTCGCGGGTGCGAATCTGGATCTCGATGCGGCGCTGCTCGGGCCCGATCACCGCGGTGTGGAGCGAGCGGTACCCGTTGGGCTTGGGCGTCGAGATGTAGTCCTTGAAGCGGCCCGGCACCATGGGATATGCGCGATGCACGATACCGAGCGCCCGGTAGCAATCCTCTTCGCTCTCGGTGACGACGCGGAAGCCCACGATATCGGTAAGCTGCTCGAAGGCGAGCTTCTTGCGCTGCATCTTTTCCCAAATGGAGTAGGGCCGCTTTTCCCGGCCCGCGACCGTTGCCCGGAGCCGCTGCTTCCTGAGCGTTGCGGTAAGGGACTCGGTGACCCGCTCGACCATGCCGCCGGCCTGATCGCGTAGGGCTTTGAGCCGCGTCTCCATGGTGTGGAAGCCGTTGGGGTTGAGCTCCTTGAAGGCGAGATCTTCGAGCTCCGCCTTGAAGGCCTGCAGGCCGATGCGCTCCGCAAGCGGCGCGTATATCTCCATCGTCTCCTTGGCGATCCGCTGCCGCTTTTGCTCGTCCGGCACGTAATGGAGCGTGCGCATGTTGTGCAGCCGGTCGGCGAGCTTAACGAGGAGAACGCGGATGTCTTCCGACAACGCGAGCAGGAACTTGCGCAGGTTCTCGGCCTGATGCGCCTGATCGGATTGCAGCTCCAGCCGGCTCAATTTGGTCACGCCGTCGACGAGCCGCGCGGTCTCCTCGCCGAACAGCGTGCCGATCTGCTCGACTGTGGTGCCCGTGTCCTCCACGGTGTCGTGGAGCAGCGCGGTCGCGATCGACGTGCTGTCGAGCTTGAGCTCGGTCAGGATGCCGGCGACCTCAATGGGATGGGCGAAATAGGGGTCGCCGCTGGCGCGGGTCTGCGCGCCGTGCGCCTTCATCGAGAAGACGTAGGCGCGGTTCAGCAGAGCTTCGTCCGCTGCGGGCTCGTAGCTCTTAACGCGCTCGACGAGTTCGTATTGCCGGATCACGGCCGCCGATATGCTCCGCCAGCGCCGGCGGAAGCCCTCCGCAGGGGTGCGGGCAGCGGCCCCGCCGCGCCCAGTGCGCCGCCAGCCGGCGCTACTCCTTGGCTTTCGCCTCGGTCTCCGGCGGTCCGGATGGGTTGGCCTCGCCGTCGTGCGCGCCTGCCTCCTCACTGGTCGTCGTCTGGGCGGTCACGCCGGCCCAGGCAGCCTCGGCCGCCAGCACCGCCATGGTGTCTTCGTCCGGCTCGTCGATCTCGGTATCGACTTCCCGCCCATGCTCGAGCTCGTAACGGAGCGTTTCGAGATCGATCGCCTCCTCCGCGATTTCGCGGAGCGCGACGACGGCGTTCTTGTCGTTATCCCGCTCAACCGTGAGCTCGGCGCCCGAGCGGATGTCGCGGGCGCGCTGCGCCGCGAGCAGCACGAGCTCGAACCGGTTGGGCACCATGCCAACGCAATCTTCGACCGTCACGCGCGCCATGAAGTCATTCTCCTAATGGTGAGCCGGATGCTGCCTGCCCACCGGCCCGTCACCCTATCCGCAGGCCCCGCCGGATGCAAGCGCGCCGCGCGTCCGGTCAGGCGGCGAGGAGGCGAAACAGGCGCTCGGCGTCCGCCGCATCGCGGGCGACGCGGGCGCAGCGGGCGGCAAGCTCCGCGTCCTCGCCCCAGCGCTCAAGCTGATAGCGCTCGTCGATCAGCGAGACGTCAGCGGCGGCCTCTGCATCGAGCCGCGCCTCGCGCATGGCGAGCGCGATCACCACCGAGCCGAAGCTCCGGGCGGCAAGGCTTAGCGCGGCAAGCGCAAAGTCGTTTTCCGCCTCAACGGCGTCACGAAGCGCGGCTAGCGCGCCCGGCGTCTGTGAGATGGGGGTAACCGAGGTCGTGACCGCGAGGTGGGCGCCGTAACGATCCGCCGCCCAGGCCACCAGCGGCTGCCACGCGGCTGCCTGGCGCCGGGCGAGGGCCGGCGGCTCGTCGGTGCGATAGCAGACGAGGTCGGTCTCGGCATAGGCCACGACCTCGGCCACGATGTCCGCCCGCCTTGCGGGCACCAAGTCCAGCCCGGTGCAGACGAGGCGGGTGAGCGGCATGGTCTCGCGGTCGATGGTCTCCCCCTGCGCGTCCCATTCCTCAGCGAGCGCACCCGCAAGCGCCGCGCCCGGCATTGCCAGAGGCCGGCCGGCCGGCGTGCGCACCGGCTTGCCGTCGAGCGTGATCCCGTGCCCGCCGACGGCTTCCACTGCAATTGCCGTGTCGTAGAAGCGCTTCGGCTTGGTTCCGCTCACGGCGCAGCCTCGAACACCGCAAAATGGTCTTCGGCAGGCTCCGGATCGAACCCGAGAAAGTGCCACGCGGCGGCCATATGCGGCGGCAGCGGCGCGGTGAGAACCAACGCCTTGCCGCCGGGCCGGGGAAGCGCCAACGCGCGGGCGTGCAGGTGCAAGCGGGGCTCGAAGCCAGCCGGGAACGCCGCCTCGCCGCCGTACTTGCCGTCGCCCACGATGGGATGGCCAAGACCGACGCGGTGTGGGTCCGGAGCTGATGGGTGCGGCCCGTGCGCGGCATGAGCGCGAGCCACGAGAGGCGCCGGCCGGCCGTATCGATCAGTGCGTAGTCCGTTATCGCGCGCTGGCCGCCCTCCGCGGTCGCGATCACCCGCTCGCCCGCGCCCACCTGACGCTTCGCGAGCGGCGCGTCGATCCGCCCCTGCGCCGGCTTCGGCACGCCAACGACCAGTGCCCAATAGAGTTTTTGCAACTGCCGGTGCGAAAGAGGGCGGTGAGCTCTCGCGCCGCCGCCGCGTGGCGGGCGAGCAGGAGGACACCGCTGGTGTCGCGATCGAGCCGGTGGACGAGACGGGGTGCGTCCGCTGCGTCGAAGCGGAGCGCGTCGAGCATCGCGTCGAGGTGGCGGGCGACGCGGCTGCCGCCCTGCACCGGCAGGCCGGGCGGCTTGTTGAGCGCGATCATGTCGCCGTCGCGGTAGATGACCGCCGACTGCACCATGTCGACATCCGCCTCGTCCATCGGCGGCAGGGCGCGGCGGGGCGCGCGCTCCTCGCCGCCTTCGGGCAGCGGCGGCACGCGGACCCGGTCGCCTGGCGCCAGTCGGGTGCCGGCGCGGGCGCGCTTGCCGTTCACGCGGATCTGGCCGGTGCGCAGCAGCTTCTCCAGGCGGCCGTGCCCGATGGCCGGGTAGTGCCGCTTGAACCAGCGGTCGAGCCGCTGGGCGCCGTCCTCGGGTGCGATCTCCAGGGTGGCGACGCCGCTCACGTCAGAGCACCCCGCGTACCAGCTTGAGCCCGCAATAGAAGCCGCCGACCGAGAGCACGACCGAGAGCGCGATGTAGAGCAGCGCCCGGCCGACATCGCCCCGCTCCAGCATGGCGATGCTGTCCGCCGAAAAGGCGGAGAAGGTGGTGAAGCCGCCGAGCAACCCCACGAAGAGGAAGCGCTGCACCACCTCGCCGGCGTCGAAGGAGACCGCGAGCCCCTGCACCAGCGCGCCGAGGATGAACGAGCCCACGACGTTCACCGTCAGCGTGCCGTATGGGAAACCTGCGCCGATAAGCGACGCGAGCCAGCGCTCGGCGGCGCCCATGACGTAGTAGCGCCCGACGGAACCCAATGCCCCGCCCAGAGCAATGGCGAGCGCGATCTTCACCCGTCGTCCTCCGCGTCCCCACTGTCATCGGCGACCTCGCGCAGCTTCTGCCAATAGGCGAGGCGCTTCAGCACCTCGCGCTCGAAGCCTCGCGCCAACGGCTCGTAGAAGGTGGGCCGCGCCATGCCTCCGGAAAATAGTTCTGGGCCGAGAATCCTTCCTCCGTGTCGTGGTCGTAGACGTAGCCCTTGCCGTAGCCGAGGTCCTTCATCAGCCGCGTCGGCGCGTTGAGGATGTGTTTGGGCGGCGTCAGCGAGCCGGTCTCGCGGGCCGACGCCATGGCGTGCGAGAGGGCACGGTAGCTCGCGTTCGATTTCGCCGCCGTGCCGAGATAGATCACGGTCTGGGCGATGGCGAGCTCGCCTTCGGGCGATCCCAGGCGCTCATAAGCCTCCCAGCCGGCGAGGGCCTGCGGCAGCGCATCCGGGTCGGCGAGCCCCACATCCTCGACCGCGAAACGCACCAGGCGGCGGGCGATATAGCGGGGTTCCTCGCCCCGGCGAGCATGCGGGCGAGCCAGTAGAGCGCGGCGTCGGTATCCGAGCCGCGCAGCGACTTGTGCAGGGCCGAGATCAGGTTGTAGTGGCCCTCCTGCGACTTGTCGTAGAGCGGCGCCCGGCGCTGCACCGTCTCCATCAGCTGAGGCACGTCGAGCGGCGTGCTGGCGCCGGCCGCGAACAGGGCTTCGGCCAAGTTGATGAGCGCGCGGCCGTCGCCGTCGGCCATGGCCCGCAGCATGGGGCGGGCATCGGCGCTGAGCGGCAGCGTGCGGCCCTCCGCCTCCTCGGCGCGCGCGAGCAGGGTCTCCAGCGCGCTGTCGTCGAGCCGGTTGAGCACCAGCACCGCGCAGCGCGAGAGCAGGGCGCCGTTAAGCTCGAACGAGGGGTTCTCGGTGGTGGCGCCGACCAGGATGACGGTGCCGTCCTCGACCACGGGCAGGAAGGCGTCCTGCTGCGCCCGGTTGAAGCGGTGAATCTCGTCGACGAAGAGCAAGGTGCCGGTGCCGCCGACGCGGCGGTCAGCGCGCCTCGCCGAACACCTTGCGCAGCTCGGCGACGCCGGAGAAGACTGCGCTGAGCGGCGCGAACAGCATGTCCGTGTGGTCGGCGAGCAGGCGGGCGATCGTGGTCTTGCCGCAACCGGGCGGCCCCCAGAGGATGGTGGAGGCCAGCGCGCCGCTCGCCACCATCCGCCCGAGCGGGCCGTCGGGGCGCAGCAGGTGATTCTGCCCCACCACCTCCTCGAGCGTGCGCGGCCGTAGCCGGTCGGCGAGCGGCCTCGGCGCTGCGTCCTCGAACAGGCTGGGCGCATCCTGGGGCTTCATGGCGCGAGTCTACGCGCTCCGCCGGCGCGCTGGCCACCGTTGCGCGAGTGCTGCGCGTTCCCAGGCGGTAGTGGTCAGACTGCCGGCAGGTTGACCGCGGCGACGCGCCAGGCGCCGCCCCTGGCGGGTCCCTCCACGTGGTCGATGCGGGTGATCGAGAGGTTGTCGATGCTGAATGCCAGCGCGCGTTCCGGATCGAGGCCGAGCGCGAGCGCGAGCGCGGCGCGGATCGAGCCCCCGTGGGCCACGGCAACGATGTCGCTGCCTGCGTGCTGCGTCGTCCGGCGGGTGACGGCGGCGGTGACCCGCTCGATCACGTCGACGAAGCTCTCGCCCTCCGGCGGGGTCACATGGGCCGGCGCAACCCAGTACTTGTGGGCGAGGCCGCCCCGCTCGGTCGCGACCTCGTTCCAGGTGAGCCCCTGCCACGCGCCGAAATCCTGCTCGTCCAGGTCCGCCTCGATGGCCCTCGCCGGCACCGCGTGGCCGGCCTCGGCGATTGCGTCGGCGGTCTGATGGGTGCGCAGGAGGTCGCTCGTGAGCCATACCGCGTCTTCAGGCAGCGCGCGGGCCAGCGCCTCGAAGGGCGGCCGCTCGCTGGTGTTGGCGGGCACGTTGGTGCGGCCGTAGAGCCGGCCGCCATGGTCGGTGACGGGCGCGTGGCGTACCCACCACCACCGGGTCACGGTGCTGATAGAAGTCATCGAACCGCCGCGAGAGTGAGAAGGAACAGAACCTCGGAGAGTTGCTGAACGCCGCCGAGCACATCCCCAGTGTGGCCGCCGACTTGCCGCTCCGCAAGCCAGGCGACTGCGGCAGTGCCGACGCCCGCGACGAGGAATGCGACGAGCCCGCTCCAGGTCAGGAGACCCACGGCGAGCACGGCCGCGAGCGCGAGGCCGGTCCACACATGGGCGGACGGAGGCCTCCCCGCATCGGCCGCGAGGCCGTCGCTCCGTGCCGGCTCCGTCCACAGCATGACCGCCGGCATCGCCGCGCGCGAGACGGCCGCGGCGGCCACCATGCCGGCGATCGCAAGGCCGGTGCTGCCGAGGTCCCCGATCGCGCCTGCCTTCGCCGCCAGCACCACCACCAGCGCAATCACGCCGTAAGCGCCGATGCGGCTGTCGCGCATGATGGCAAGCTTGCGATCGCGCGTATTTCCGCCGCCGAAGCCGTCGGCCATGTCGGCAAGGCCGTCCTCGTGCAACGCGCCGGTGACCAGCGCGCCGGCGCCGACCGCGAGCACCGCCGCCACGATGTCCGGCAGGCCGATCCCTGCAGCGATCCCGTAGACGATCCCGGCGACGAGCCCGATGAGTGCGCCGACGATGGGAAAGGCGCGAACCGCGCGGCCGAGCGGCGGCGTGTCCCCCTCCGGCCGTGCCGCCTTCAACGGCACGCGCGTCAGGAAGAGAAGGGTGGCGCGGAGGTCGCTCCGCCAGACCCGCACCGTGCGGTACGCCGCCTGTTGGAGGGGAGCCTCGTCGCCGTCGTCGTAACGCATGTGCCCTTGTCCGAGCCGCCGCGGCCCGGCATCCTCCCTCAGCCTTATAGGCCAGGGCGCGGTCGTGGCCAAGAAAGCCCGGCAGAGGGTGGTGACTCAGTTCGAAATTTCGCTCCAGACCTCTTGCGAAGGCTCGGCGCGCGCGTGTCTTCTTGACGGTCGGAGTCAACACCCCCACCTCACCCCGGCCCTCTCCGCCCCCAGGGGCGGAGAGGGAGTAACGGGCGGCGCCACCTACGTTCCCCCTCCGCCCGCCGGGGGGAGGGGGACAGGGGGAGGTGGGCTGAACGAGCTGCGACATGTCGGATGAGGCGCGGCTCGGTTCGCTAACCGCCTTCCGCGAGCGCGTCGCGGCCATGCCGGGGGCGGCCGAGGCGGCGGCTGAGAGGGCGAAAGCGCACGATGCGCGGCTTACCAAGCCGGCCGGTGCGTTGGGCCGGCTGGAAGCGCTCGCCCAGTGGGCTGCCGCATGGCAAGGGGATCATCCGCCGCGCGCGGAGCGTATCCAAGTGCTGGTCTTCGCCGGCAATCACGGCGTGGCGGCGCTCGGCGTCTCCGCCTATCCCGCGACGGTGACCGCACAGATGGTGGCCAATTTCGAGGCCGGCGGCGCCGCTATCAACCAGCTCTGCGACGTGTTGGGCGCTGAGTTGACGGTGGTGCCCCTCGATCTGGAGACGCCCACCGAGGACATGACCCAGGCGCCGGCGCTGGGCGAGGCGGACTGCGTCGCGGCGCTGGAGGCCGGAATGGCCGCGGTGGACGAGGGCGCCGACCTGCTCTGCCTCGGCGAGATGGGAATCGGCAACACCACCGCCGCAGCCGCGCTGGCGGCGGCTCTCTGCGGCGGCGACGGCGCAACGTGGGTGGGGCCGGGGACTGGCGTCGATGCCGAAGGCCTCGCGCGCAAGGCGGCCGTGGTCGATGCGGCACTCGCGCGCCATGCCCGCGCCCGGCACGATCCGCTTGCCGCGCTCACCTGTGTCGGGCGGCCGGGAGCTGGCGGCGATCGCGGGCGCCGTCGTCCAAGCGCGGGAGAGCCGTGTGCCCGTGCTGCTCGACGGCTTCTGCCTGCACCGCCGCCGCGGCCGTCGTGGCGCGGCTGCGCGCGGGCGGCCTCGACCACACCCAGGTCGCTCACCGCTCGGCGGAACCGGGGCATCGGCGGCTGCTGGAGGCGCTGGCACTCGAACCGCTGCTCGACCTCGGCTTGCGCCTCGGCGAAGCCTCGGGCGCGGCCCTTGCCGCCGCCCTCGTGCGCATGGCGATTGCCGCTCACAACGGCATGGCGACCTTCGACTCAGCCGGGGTCAGCGGCCCGGCAGACTGAGTCATTTATCGCTCACGGCAGCCGGCCTCCGGCCGGCGCCTCCGCGAGGGCGCCGCATTAGCGGCGGGCCGCGGTCGCGGCCTGTCGCGAGCCCGACGGGGTCGGACTCGCTCTACTCCCCTATCTGATGCAGCAGGCCGCGGATGCGGGCGCTGCGCAGGAAGGCGAGGAAGGAGGCGATGCCGGCGCCGATATAGGCGATGTTGAGCAGGCTCGCGCGCATCATGTGATCGCCGCTGAAGGTGCCGTCGACCAGGAGCTCCCGCATGCCCTCGAAGACGTGGGCAGAGGGCAGGGCGCCGGCCACCGGCTCCAGCCAGTCCGGCAGGATCGAGAGCGGGTAGTAGACGCAGCTGAAGGGCGCCAGCGCGAAGATCAGGAACCAGGCAAGGCTTTCCGCGCCGAGGCCGTAGCGCAACACCAGGCCGGCCACGAAGAAGCCCACGGCCCAGCCCATCACGATCAGGTTCACGAAGAAGCCGATCAGCGCGAAGCCGAGATCGAAGATCGAGAACGCGTAGAGCAGGTAGGCGAAGCCCACCGCGCCCGCCATGCCGATCAGCGTGCGGATCAGGCTGATCAGCATGAGCGCGAAAATCAGCTCCCACGGGCGCAAGGGGCTCACGAAGAGATGGCCGAGATTGCGCGACCACATCTCCTCGATGAACACCAGGGAGAGCCCGATCTGGCCGCGGAACATCACGTCCCACAGGATGACGCCGGCGAGCAGGACCCCGGCTCGCCTGCGCCACCCACGAGCTGTTGGTGACGAGGAACATGGTGACGAGGCCCCAGATGATCATCTGCACCGTGGGCCAGTACATGAGCTCCAGCAGACGCGGCCAGGAGCGCCGCAACAGATAGGTGTGGCGCAGCACCAGCGCGCCGATCCGCCCTGCCGACCCCCGCCACGGCGGGGTCCATAGGGCGCCGGTCTCCGTCACTGCGCCGCCTCGCCGAGGCCGGCCGTGCCCCGCACGATTTCGAGGAAGACCTCCTCCAGCGTGCTCAGGCCGCGGCGCTCGATCATGGCCTCTGGCGTGCCGCTCTCAACGATGCGCCCGCCGCTCATCACGAACACGTCGTCGCAGAGCCGCTCGACCTCGGCCATGTTGTGGGAGGCGAGCAGGATGGTGGCGCCGGTCTCGGCGCGGTAGCGCTCGATGACACCCCGCACCCAATCGGCCGTGTCGGGATCGAGCGAGGCCGAGGGCTCGTCCAGCAACAGCAGCTCCGGATCGTTGAGCAGCGCCTTGGCGAGCGCGACCCGCGTGCGCTGTCCGGCCGAGAGCTTGCCCGTCGGCCGCTTGAGGAAGGTGCCCAGGTCGAGGGTCTCGGCCATCCGCTCGATCCGCCGCCGCACGCCGTCGAGGCCGTAGAGCTTGGCGTAGACGGTCAGGTTCTCGCGCACGGTGAGCCGGTGCGGCAGGTCCGTATAGGGCGAGGAGAAGTTCATGCGGGGCAGCAGCGCGTAGCGGTGGGCAGCCAGGTCGCGGCCGAAGATGCGCACCGTGCCGGCGCTCGGCAGCAGCAGGCCCAGGATCATCGCCAAGGTGGTGGTCTTGCCGGCGCCGTTGGCGCCGAGCAGGGCGGCGGTCGTCCCCCGGGCGACCGTGAAGCTCAACGCATCGACGGCGGTCACCGGACCGAAACGCTTGGTGAGGGCCTCGACCTCAAGTACGGGGCCGCTCATCGCGGCCCCCGGTGGCGGAAGCGCCGTGCCTCGCTCAGAACGAGGTCGGATCGGCGAAGCGGCGCAGGACGTTCTCGGTCAAGCGCGAGACGTTGTTGTCGTGGTCGTTGTGGGCAAGGCTCCCGCACCAGGCGATCGAGCTGGTGGAGAACACGCGCCGCCGTTCGCGGTCTCGTAAAACACGATGTCGGCGCGCACCAGCGGGTCCTGCGTGCCGTCGGCATTGGGCCGGTTCACGTCGAGCTCCTCGCAGACCACGAGGTAGAGGTCGGTGTGGCCTTCGGAGCTCGCGAGCACGTAGGTGTTGGGCGGTGTGCCGAGCAGCGGGTCGGCCCGGTCGAGCTCCAGCCCTGCCGCGCCGCCGCCGATCAGCCCGAAATCGCCGATCTTCTCGTCCTCGCCGATGCCGTCGAAGATCCAGGCGACCTCCGGCTTGAAGCTGTCCGGCTGGCGCACGTAGTAGGACGAGATGTCGAAGCCCTGAGCGCTGAAGCCGGTGCCGACGATTACCTGCGGCGGCCGCCCGTTGCGCCGCCAGAGGCCGCCGTATTCGCCGGTGAAGCTGTGATAGTACTCGCCGGGGCGCGCGATCCAGGTACGGATGCCGTCCTCGGCGCGGCGCACCTCGATGCATCCCGGCACCTCGGTGTGGTAGGCGATGCGCCAGTACCAGCCGTTGGCGCCCATGTACATGAGCCGCCCGCCGCGCTGCTGATAGGCTTGCATCGCGTCCCACATCGCCTTCGAGTGGTATTCGGGGTGCGAGCCGCTGAGGACGACCGTGTAGTCCTGGATCGCCGACAGACCTTCGTAGTGCAGGTCCTCGTCGGTGACGACGTCGTACTCGAAGCCCCGCGCCTCCAGCCACTCGGTCAGATGCGTGTCGGCGTTGAACTGCCAGAGCGTGGATTCGGTCCCGCCGATCCATTCCAGCGCCTTCGGGCGGAAGTTCAGGATCGGCCTGAGCCGCGAGGAGTAGCAGATCCCGCTGCCGTCGATGTGGCTGTCGTAGAGCGAGGTGCCGTATTCCCGGTGCTCGCTGCGTTGCAGGTTCTTCTCGTTCAGCACCGTGAGCCGGCCCGCGAGAATCTGCGCCGCGCCCATGTTGGTGGACATGTTGGTGTTGGCGTAGGCCATGTAGCTCGCGGTGGGGAGCAGGAAGCAGATCTTCGCGGTCGGCGCGCCGCGCGGGGCGCGGACGGCGAAGGGGATGTACTCCTCGCCGCCGCCTTCGCCCCGGAGCCTCGCGGCGTAGACGCCGCTCTTCAGCCGCTTGGGGCAGGTGAGCGAGAAATCGACCTCCCAGCGCGCGTCGTAGACGTCGTCCTCGTGGAAATGGATCGCGCCGTACTGCTCCGGCGCGCTCTGCCAGTTCATCTCGCTGCCGTCCCAACACCAGCCGGTGACGGCGCGCGTCGGCATGTTGACGAGGCTGCCGTGCAAAGCGTTGGCGGTGAGATCGGTCGCCGTCGTCGTCGTGATGCCTTGGGAGAAGTCCCAGGCGCCGATCACCACTGTCGCGAGCGATCCGTGCGTGGGACGGGTCTTGGCAAGCTCCATCTCCGCCGGGCTCAGCACGCGGTTGGCGACGCGCGGGCTGTCGATGCGCCCGTTGTAGAAGCCGCCGCAGACGGTGCGCCCCTTATCTACGCGCTTGAAGTGGCCGCCCATGGTGAGTGGTGCGTCGTGCTTGCCCGGCCCGCTCAGCGCGGACTTTTTCTTCAAGGTCCGGCCGTGGTCCACATTGGGGTATTCGTTGAGCGGCTGCTGCACCAGCGTCACCTGCTTCGACTCGGCGTCGTAGGATGCGGCGACGAAGTACCATTGGTGCGCGATCAGCGGCCGGTTGGTGGCGATCACCTCGATCTCGCCCTTACCGTCACCGAGGCAGAGCGCGAGCGAGCCGTCCTTCTTGGTGATGATGAGCGCGGCACCTGCCTTGTCGCGGTCGCGCCAGTTGGAGATCAGCGCCTGGGTGCCGCGATCGGGCGTCGTCGGCCAGATGAACGCCTGGAAGGTGAAGCTATCCAGCCCCTGGATGGCGGGATGAGCCGGGACTTCCATGAAGGAGCCGTCGTAGCAGACCTGGCGGCGCCCCTTGTAGGTGCCGCTCGCGCCGGTCCTGACGACCTTCTCCTTGACGCCGGGGCCGTCGGGGTTCTCGTCGCCGCAGACGAGGCGGACGATGTCGCATTTGTAGGAGGGAGCTTCGCAACTCACCATGAAGTTGATGGTCTCTCCCGGCGTCACGCTGACGCGGTCGGCATAGCCCGCGATTCTGGTCATGTGTAGCTCCCCAGGGCCTGGCGGTAGATTGTCGGTGGTGCAGAGGGCCGCTCGCGCGGCGGTTATTTCGGCAACGCCTTGCCGGTGTGCTGCTTCCAGCGCAGGCGGAAGACGTAGCGCTCGGCGTCCTCGATATTGTCGAAGGTCTTGTCGAGCAGCTTGACCGGCTTGCCGCGCACGCCGGAGAGCTGGGCCAGGCGCCACTCGCGGCCGGGCTTGGTGCAGACGAGGCAGTGCTTGCCCTTTACGTCCGCTCCCCTCAACGTATTGAGCACCCGCTGCAAGTTGGGGCTGTGGTGGCCAATCGGCTTGGCCATGAACTCGTCGACGACGTAAAGGTCCTTTTCCGTGACTTGGTAGGCCATCGGTTGCTCCTGTGGCGCTAAGGCGGGGGGATTAGACCGCGATGCGCCGGGGCGAGACAACTCCCCCGTTGGTTCGTCATGGCTCCGGCTAATCGCCGCGCTCCAGCCGGCGCCGCCGGTGGACGACCAGGAACATGTAGCCGCCGAAGAGGATGGCGATGGCGCCGAACACCGAGAGCGCGCCCATGGTCGGGATCATCGGCGTGTAGCCGGAGCCCATCTTGGTATAGAGCCATTCGGTCACCGTGCTGTCGGCGCCTGTGGTGAAGGTCGAGAGCGGGAAGTTGCCCCAGGAGAGCAGGAAGGCGAAGAGCGCGCCGGAAAAGAGGCCGGGTGCGAGCGCCGGCAGCGTGATCTCGCGGAAGGCCTGCCAGCGGTTGGCGCCGAGATCGTAGGCCGCCTCCTCCTGGGCTGCGTCGAAGCCGTAGACCTGGATCGAGATCACGAGCGTCACGATCGGCACGATCCAGACCAGGTGGGCGAAGACCGCCGCCTCCCAGCTCGGCAGCACGCCTACGAAAGTGAACCAGAGCAGGAGCGCGAGGCCGAGCACGGCCTGCGGGGAAGAAGATCGGCAGCATGATGAGGCGTTGATAGAACTGGCGGCCGCGCCAGTTGTAGCGGGCGAAGGCCAAAGCGCCGAAGAAGCCCAGCACGACCGCAATGAGCGCGACGCAGCCCGCGACATAGAGCGAGGTGAGGTGGAGAGTCCGTGGTCAGGTTGGCGCCGAGCGTCTGGTCGTACCACTTGTCGCTCCAGGCCTTCACGGGAAAGCGGAAGTAGCGGGACTTGCCGAAGGAGCTCGTGATGACCGAGAAGATCGGGATGTAGAGGAAGAGCGCGATCGCGCCGGTCCAGACCGCGATCAGGCTTATGACCCAGCGCTTGTTTTCCATCTCAGCGCCCGCCCACCCGTGTCATCGTCGGCCGAGCAGCCGGTCGAGGTCGAGCCGGCGCATCACCACCACCACGAGGATGCCGGTGACCACGATGGCCAGCACCGAGATCGCGGACCCCAGCGGCCAGTTCTGGGCGTAGGTGAACTCGTGCTGGATGTCCTGGGCGATCACCGGCGTGTTCTGGCCGCCGAGGAGCTTGGCCTCCGAGATCGCGCCCACCGCCAGCACGAAGGTCAGCAGCGCGCCGATGAGGATGCCGGGCATGGCGATCGGGAGTTCCACCTCGCGGAAGATCTGAAAGCGGTTCGCGCCGAGATCGCGCGAGGCCTCGACCTGATCGCGCGGCACCATGGAGAGCCCGAGCACGATGGGGAAGAGGGTGAAGGGCAGATAGACGTAGATCATGCCCATCAGGATGGTGCCGGGCATGTAGAGCATCGTGCCGGTGTCGATGCCGAAGGTCTTGAGCCCGCCCGCCAGGATGCCGCCGCCCTTGATCAGGAAGAGATACCAGCCGAAGAGCCGCACGTTCTCGGAGACGAAGAGAGGGATGACGAGAACCAGCATGACCGGCGCGGCCCAGCGGCCGAACAGCTTGGCGAGGCCGTAGGCGATCGGGTAGCCGATCAGCAGGTTGCAGGCGACGGTGACGCCGGCCAGCGCAAACGACCAGATGAAGGAGATGTAGTAGCTCTCCGTGAAGATGCGCTCGTAGTTCTCGGTGGTGAAGCCAGCGCCGAGGTCGAAGGTGCGCTCCGGGGTGAAGCTGAAGGCCAGCACGATCACCAGCGGGCCGACGAAGCCGATCAGGAAGAAGACGAGCACCGGGGTCGCGCTGAGCACGCCCGCCGAGCACAGCCAGCCCAGCAGAAGCGACCCGGCCCCCGGCTGCCGGATGATTGCCGCAGGCGCCTCCGCGCGGTCAGCCATCAGTCGGCCACGAGCACGCTGTCTTTGGCGTCCCAGCCGATCATGACGTCGTCGTTGGGCGCGCCCCGATAGGCCTGCTCGCGGAGTTTCTCGACGACGAACATCATGCCGCCGGCGCTCACGTGATATTGCACCCGGGAGCCGAGCGCGTATTCGTTGAAGAGCGATCCCTCGAGATGGTTCTCGGCCTCCGAAGCGTCGTTCAGGAAGCGCATCGATTCGGGCCGGATCACGAGATAGCCGTCGCTAAACCCATCCGGCCTGGCCGGGCTGGTGAAGCGACGCTCGAAGTGGGGGCAGTCGATGCCGCCATCCGCGCCTGCGCGCACGGCAAACGTGTTCACCTCGCCCATGAACTCCGAGACGAACTTGTTGCGCGGTTGCAGGTAGATCTCGTTTGGCGAGCCGATCTGGATCAGGCGCCCCTCCTGCATGATCCCGATGCGGTCGCTCATCACCATCGCCTCTTCGAGCGAGTGGGTGATGTAGACGAAGGTCTTGCCGGTGGTGCGGTGGAGGTCCTTGAGCTCGACCTCCAGCAGCTTGCGAAGGCGATAGTCGATGGCGGACAACGGCTCGTCGAAGAACAGGATTTCGGGATCGGAGGCGAGCGCGCGGGCGAGCGCCACGCGCTGGCGCTCACCGCCCGAGCACTTGGTCACGGACTTGTCGTAAAAGTCCTCCGGCAGCTGGACCACATTCATGAGCGAGAGGCCGCGCTCGCGGCGGACACGGCGGCTCTCGCCCCGCATCTTCAGCGAGAACTCGATGTTCTGGCCGACCGACTTGTGATTGAAGAGGGCGAGGGACTGAAAGACCATGCAGGTCGGGCGCCGGTTGGCGGGCACCGCGTTGACCCGCTCCCCGCGCAGGATGATGTCGCCCGCCGTCGGCTTCTCCAGGCCGCCCAGCATGCGCAGCAGGGTGGTCTTGCCGCTGCCCGACGGGCCGACGATGGTGAAGAACTCGCCCTCCTGGATGTCGAGGGACACGTCGTTCACCGCGACCAGACGGCCGAACTGCTTGGTCAGGTTGACCATGCGCAGGATGGGTGCGGCATCCACCATGGCGCTCGTCTCGATCCTTTAAGGGCAACGCCGCCCGGCCGGGGCCGGCCGGGCGGTGGGAGCGGAGCGGCGGCCCGCGGCACCCGCTGCCGCGCGCCGCCGCAACCGTTGGGTCCTACGACTTCTCGCGCCGCGCCGCCGTGTAGATGTCGTAGAGCCGGTTGTAGTCCGGCACCACGTCGAACTCGACGGAGTGCGAGATGCGGTAGTCGAACTCGTCCCACTGGAAGGAGTCGAGCTCCTCCGCCGAGAACTTGTCGAGCAGCTCCGGCTGCGCCATCTGCCCCACCGGGAGCAGGAAGCCGCCGGCGGTGGCCACCGCGTAGGAGGTGTCGGGCTGGAGGATGTATTCCATCCAGTCCATGGCCTGGGGATGAAGGTCGGGATTGTTGACGACCGAGTTGAGCTCGATCCAGTTGATCCCGCCCTTGCCGTCCGCCGGGCCGCTCTTCGGCACCACGTGGTAGAGGTTGGTGAGCCCGTCGAGCCGGGCTGACGAGATCGAATAGGTGCCGCCGCCGAAGTACATGTCGATCTCGCCGTTGACCACGGCGAGGTTCACGGCGACGAAGTCGTCCGAAACCATCTTCGCGCCGTTGATGAGACGCCGCGCCGGCCTCCTCGAAGGTGGCGACCTGGTCGTCGGTCTTCTCCTTGAACGGATGCAGGCCGGCGGCCATGCAGATGTGCATGATGTTCCAGTTGTCGTAGGCGAGGATGCCGTAGCGGCCGGCCATGTCGGGATTGTTGAAGAGATCCCAGCCCTCGTCCTTCGCCATATCGGCCGAGACGATATCGGTGTTGACCACGAAGTCGAAGGTGTCGACCCGCTGGCAGACCCCCAGCAGATGCTCGTTGTCGAGGCTCATCGCCCATTTGTAGGGCGGCTGGAACATCGGCAGCATCGCCTCGAAGTAGGGATCGAAGCGGGCGCGGTCGAGCTCGACGATGAGCCCTCCGGCCACATCATCTCACGCGCCCACGGGTTGTTCAGGTTGATGATGTCCCAGATCCTGGTCTCGCCGGCACGGAGCTTGTTGACCGAGTCCGGGTCCGAGGTGTGCAGCTCGTAGTCGATGCCGGTTCCGTACTGGTCGGTGAAGCCGTCGAGCACGCGCGGGTCGACGTAGCCGTCCCAGGTCAGCATCGCGAGGTTGTCGGCGGCTTGCGCCCGGCCCGTCAACGCGCTGCCCGCGCCCAACGCCAGCGCGCCGGCGCCGATCCCCTGGAGCACCTGACGCCGGGTGGCGGCCGCGCCGCGCACCGGGTCGCGCTTTAGCATCTGCTTGAGAAGTTTGTCCTCGTTCATGGTCGTCTCCCCTGTGGCGCCGCACAGTGAGGCCCGCGCCCAGCCCCGTTTAGGCGGCAACGATCGGTCATGACGCGCCAAGCGCTCTCCGAATCGTTACGGAGGCGATCATCCTGCCAATCTAAACACAATCGCCGCGAAGGCTCATCCCGAAATCGCCCGAGGATGCCCCGCAGTATCCGCGCCCGTTGTTGGCGGGTTAGCTGGTGCTGGCCAGCAGGTCGGCGCGGGCGCGATCCATGTGGGCGGAGACGACTTCCACCGCACGGTCGGCATCGCGGCGGGAGAGCGCCGCGAGAAGGGCGCGATGCTCGGCGTTATAGGCGGAGAATCTGCACGGGCGTGAGGATCTTGTCCTTGATCGAGTCCCACTGCTGGTGGGCGCGGACGTGGTTGATGCGGTGATAGATTTCGACGATCAGGGGATTGTGGGTGGCCTCCGCCAGCCGCAAGTGGAACATCTCGTCGGCGAGCGAGAATCTCTCGGCGTCCGCCACGCCTTCCATCTCGGCGACCGCGCGCTCCAGCGCGGCCATGTCGCGCGCCGTGGCGTTGAGCACGGCAAGCCTGGCCATCTGCGGTTCGATAGCGGCGCGGACCTCGACCAGCTCGAGCGGCGAGGTGATTTCGGAGACGATCGGTCTCACCGACGTCCGGCTCGTAGATGACGAAGGTGCCGCTACCCACCCGGCGCGCCACCAGCCCGCGCGCCGACAGCGAGCGCAGGGCCTCGCGCACCGTGCCGCGTGAAGCCGAGAAGGATTCGGCGAGGCTCCGCTCCGGCGGCAGGCGGTCGCCCATCGCGAAAGAGCCGTCGAGGATTCGTTGCGCGAGCTGGGCCGCGATCGCGTCTGCTGCCGAATCGGCCATCCGCGGCGTACCGATACTTTCGCCGCCGGGCCGTATGCTTCCCAACTCCATCGCGCCAGCCTGTCGCATGCTTCGCTCCGCTCCGCCTGACAGCCCCTGGCCCAATCGCCCTCGAAATGCGGCATACGCCACGAAGCCGGTCGGTGGGCCTCATTGCTTTAATCAATTTCGATACAATGTTCAACCATTCATTCATATTGGTTCATAATTGGTCGATCCGGTCGGACCACAATTGGCTTGACAAATGTGAGGGTGCCCGCTTGAGTGCGCCCCCGACAATCGGCCGATCGAAGGCGGAGAGAGCGCACAGATGACGCTTCCGGGGCACGTCAAATATCTGATCATCGGGGCCGGAATCCACGGCCTCAGCACCGCCTACCACCTCGCGCTTGGGCTGAAGGCGCAGGGCCGTGGCAACGGTGCCGACATCGCGATTGTGGACAAGAGCGACATCGCGGCCGGCGCCTCCGGCATCGCCTGCGGCGTCGTCCGCAACAACTACTTCCAGCCGGCGATGCGCGAGCTGATGGCGGCCTGCGTGGAGGCCTGGGAGAGCGATCCCAAGGCCTATCACTACCATTCCGTAGGCTACATGCAGATCAGCCCCGAGAGCATGCATGCCGATGTCGCCGAGATCGCCGAGCAGCAGCGGGCGATCGGCTACGAGTCCGAATTCATCGAGGGCGAGGCCGACTGTACGGCGTACATGCGGCGCCTGTTCGGCGACTGGCAGGCGCCCGGTATCACCTCCATCCTGCACGAGAAGAGGGGCGGATACGCCAACAACCGGGCCTCGATGCTAGGCCTCGCCGACAAGGCGAAGGGCGCCGGCGTCCGCATCCTCACCGGGGTCGAGGTCAAGGGCTTCGGCTTCGGCGCCAACTCCAAGGCGGTGACCTCGGTAGAGACCGACCAGGGAAGCATCGGCGTCGATCAGGTCGTCGTCGCGTCGGCCCCTGGGTGCCGCGCATCTGGGACATGCTCGACCTGCCGGATCGGATCGACGTCAAGGACCTGAAGGGCACGCTCCACGCCGATGTCGATATGTGGCGTTTCTGGTGCCTCCAGGAAGGGACGATCGCCGTCGAGCCCTCCTTCGGCATGGCCGACGACGGGTCGATGCCGCCGGTCATCCACGTCGATTCCGACGAGCCGCTCTACTCCGACGTGGACGGCAGGCTGATCACCGACGAGATGTGGGGCATCTACTACAAGCCGGACTTCAACTTCGGCGGCATCCAGGGCGGTGCCGCACCCTACAAGGTGGAGACCCCGGTGCCCGACGTGGCGATCGACCCCTACGGGCCGGAATCGCCGGAATTCGTCGTCGACGGCGAGTTCAGGGAGATGTGGTGCTCGGCGCTCGCCCTCTGCCAGAGCCGCTATAAGGGCCAGATCGGGCGCTGGCTCGATGAGCCGTCCGGCGGAATCGGTGCGTTCACCGCCGACAGCTTCCCCGTGTTCGACCGCTTCCGCGAGAACTGCTACGTGATCGCCGATTCGAACCACGGCTACAAGATGCTCGCCGTCGGCAAGCTGGTTGCGGACGAGCTGATGGGCCGCGAGAGCGCCCTGCTCGAGCCCTTCCGCTTCTCACGCTTCGCGGAGGGTCGCCTTCACCCGGTCTCCAACAGCCCCTTCCCGTGGAGCTGACGAGACCCGCCGATCGCCAGGGAGGATGCGGAGATGACCGATCTTGAAGCCCATGTGAACAGGGAGGGCGCGCCGAGCTGGTGCGGCAAGTGCGCGCCAAGATCGACGATCTCGGCGTTACCTACATCTACTATCAGTTCGTTTCCGTCACCGGGCGGATCGTCGGCAAGGGCATCCCCGCCGATCACTGGGAACAGATCGCCGAGCGCGGCTTCCAGCTCGTCTACGGCTCGACAGCCAACCTCTTCACCGACCGCCACTCCAACTACATCGGCTACGGGCCGGAAGCATCCGAGCTGGTCGGCATCCCCGACCCCGAGACCTTCGTGCAGCTGCCCTGGGACAAGCGCGTCGCGCGCGTCTTCTGCACCTGCTTCCGCAACCGGGAGGAGCGGGAGAATCCGGGCGGGCACCTGACTTCCGATTGCCGCGGCAATCTGCGGATCCTTCACGAGGAGTTCCAGGCCAAGCACGGGATGCAGATGCGCCACGGCACCGAGCCCGAGATGATGTGGCTCAAGCGCGGCGCGGACGGCAAGACCGACGGCGGCGTCACCAAGCCCAACTGCTACCACATCGACCAGTTCGAGGAGCTCAGGCCGATCTTCATGCGGGTGATCGAGTATTCCCAGGCCATGGGCTTCGACATGATTCAGGGCGACCACGAGGACGCGCCCGGCCAGCTCGAGCTCAACTTCACCTTCGACGACGCGCTCAGGACCGCCGACCGGCTCACCACCTATCGCCAGATCTGCGCCCAGGTGGCCCGCGAGCACGGCGTCATCGCCTGCTTCATGTCGAAGCCCTTCATGGGGGTCTCGGCGAGCGGCTGCCATCACAACGTCTCGCTCTGGAAGGGCGGCGAGCAGCGGGTCAACACGCTCCATCAGGACCCGGTCGCCGGCATGGACGACACCTTCAGCTATTGGAAGGGCGGCGAGAACCTGTTCATGCCGGACCCGTCCCTCGACTCCCACAAGCCCGGGCCGGTCGGCCTCAACTGCATCGGCGGGGTGATGGAGCATCTTGCGGCGCTCACCGCCCTCGGCTCGTCGACCGTGAACTCCTACCGCCGGCTGTGGGATACCGGCTTCTGGGCGCCGGTCTTCGCCGACTGGGGCTATCAGAACCGGACCTGCGCCTTGCGCGTCTCGGCGCCGGGCCGCTTCGAGTACCGCTCGGTCGATTCGATGGTTAATCCGTACCTGATGGCCGGCGCGATTCTCAAGGCCTTCGACGACGGGATCACGCGCAATCTGGACCCAGGCGAGCCAGAGGAGCGCAATATCTACCAGGCCATGGAGGCCGGCAAGCAGGTGAAGAAGCTGCCGATGTCGCTTGGCGAGGCGCTCGACGCGCTGGAGAGAGACGAGGTGATCAACTCCGCGCTGCCGGACGAGATGCTCCGCGTCTTCTTGCACTACAAGCGCGACGAGTGGGAACGCTTCATGTCCACTGTCACCGAGTGGGACGTCGAGACCTATCTCGACTGCCTGCCCTAACCAAATCGAAAGACGAGGCGCCCATGTGCGGGATAGCAGGACTGATCCACCGCGGATCGAGCGGCGACATCGGGGCGGAGATGACCACGATGCTCCAGGCCCTGAAGCATCGGGGGCCGGATTCCACCGGCTTCGCCTTCTACGGCGTTCCGGTCGAGAACAACCATGTGATGCGCTTCAAGGTGGCGGAGCAGGAGGACATCGGCAAAGGCTTCGAAATCCACCAGCAGATCAAGGATCGCAAGGCGGAGGTGGATGCGCGCATCCGCAGCATGGAGGTGGAGATCCTCGGCGAGGACGCGGCTACCGAATATGCGTTCCGCTACCGCCTGCGCTTCCCCGGTGACGACGATGGCGGCCAGCAGCGGCTCAAGCGCTTCGCCGACTACATCGAGGATGTCGAGGGGGCGGAGATCCTCTCCCTCGGCCACGCGCTGGAGCTGATCAAGGACTTGGGCGACGCCAGCATCGTGAGCGAGCAGTACAGCCTCGCCGGCTTCCACGGCACCCACGCCATCGGCCACACCCGGATGGCGACGGAATCCGACGTCGATATCCGCTCGGCTCATCCCTACTGGGCCTATCCCTTCAACGATATCGCCGTGGTCCACAACGGCCAGCTTACGAATTACTGGAAGTTCCGCCGGGCGCTGGAGCACCGGGGCCATCGCTTCGTGTCGAACTGCGATTCAGAGCTGATCGCCGTCTACCTCGCCGACCGCATCCAACACGGCGACATGCTCAAGGAGGCGATGGATCGCTCGGTGAGCGAGCTCGACGGCGTCTTCACCTATCTGGTGGCGACGGCGGACAGCCTGGGGATGGCCAAGGACATGATGGCAGCCAAACCCATGGTGCTCTACGAGAGCGACGACTTCGTGGGCCTCGCCTCCGAGGAGGTCGCCATTCGCGGCATCATGCCCGACGAGATCGACACCTGGGATCCCTACGAGGGGGAGGTCAAGGTATGGCAGAACTGAGCCCCGCCGACCGGCACAAATCCCATGACATGGGGCTGCACGCGGAGCAGCTCGCGGGCCGCACCCAGCAGGTCTTCTTCTCGCCCGAGGAGGGCGACAACTACACCTATCCCGAAGGCTTCGACGTCGATTTCACCAAGAAGGCGACGATCGACGCGGCGGAGATGGAGGGGCCCGCCATCAACCTCCGTATCCGCGAGCTGTTGGGCGAGGGCTACGGCCACATCGTGGTCCAGAACCCGCTGGCCAAGCATTCCCTCGGCGTCGGCATCCTCAACCGCCTCAAACTCGATTTCGAGGGCAGCCTCGGCTACTTCGGCTGCGGCCTGATCGACGGCCCCAACGTCCACATCAAGGGCCGCGTCGGCTGGTCCTGCGCCGAGAACATGATGGCGGGCGTCGTGGTCATCGACAAGAACGCTGGCTCCACCTTCGGCGCAGCACTGCGCGGCGGCGACCTCGTCTGCAAGGGCGACGTGGGCTCCCGCACCGGCATCGACATGAAGGGCGGCACCATCCTCATCGGCGGCCGCGCCGGCGCATTCACCGGCTTCATGATGCAGCGCGGGCGCATCGTCATCCTCGGCAACGCCGGCCCCAACCTCGGCGATTCGCTCTATGACGGCACGATCTTCGTCGGCGGCACCATCGCCTCCCTCGGCGTCGATGCCGTGCCCGGCGAGATCACCGATGTCGAGGCGGGCTGGCTCGAGCGAAAGCTCGCGGCCTACGGGATGAAGGCGCCGAACGGCGTCGGCAACCTGACCAAGATCGTCGCCGGCAAGCAGCTCTGGAACTACGACAACCTCGAGCCGGCCGAGAAGAAGATCGCGCTCTGAGCGAGCGCGGCCTCTCGCTACCCTGCAAGGAGTCCGTCATGGCCAGCGACAGACGCGAAGCCGTCGCCAACCGGCCCAGCCGCAACCGGCATATTCTGGGCGAAGCAGCATCTTTTCGCCGGAGGTGATCGACGACATCCACATCAAGGCGGAGCTCGGCCGCTACCGGATGCGCGGCTTCTCGCTCTTCAAGAACATCCCGACCTTCGACGATCTGACCTTCCTGCCGGGCACGCTCACGCGCTTCGTCATCGAGGGCTACCGCGAGAAGTGCACAACCACGACGGTGATCGGGCCCGAGGCCAAGCGCCCGCTGGTGCTCGACATCCCGGTCTATATCACCGGCATGAGCTTCGGCGCGCTCTCTATGAGGCCAAGACCGCGCTCGCCCGCGGCGCCACCATGGCCGGCACCGCCACATGCTCCGGCGAGGGCGGCATGATCCCGGACGAGCGCCGCTATTCCGAGAAGTGGCTCTACCAGTGCATCCAGTCCCGCTACGGCTTCAACCCCCACCATCTGAGGCTCGCGGATGCGTGCGAGTTCTTCATCGGCCAGGGCTGCAAGGTGGGGCTCGGCGGCCATCTGATGGGGCAGAAGGTCACCGACCAGGTGGCGGAGATGCGCTCGCTGCCGGCCGGCATCGACCAGCGCTCGCCGGCGCGCCATCCCGACTGGCTGGGGCCGGACGACCTCTCGCTCAAGATCAACGAGATCCGCGAAGCAACCAACAGCGAGATTCCGATCCAGCTCAAGCTCGGCGCGGCCCGCGTCTATGACGACGTGCGCATGGCGATCAAGACCGGCCCGGACAGCATCTACATCGACGGGATGGAGGGCTCGACCGGCGCCGGCCCGCATCTCGCCACCGAGGAGACCGGCGTGCCCGGCATCGCGGCGATCCGCCAGGCGCGCAAGGCGCTGGACGACCTCGGCGCCACCGGAAGCATCAGCCTCGTCTACGCCGGCGGCGTGCGCAACGGCGGCGACATCGCCAAGGCGCTCGCGCTGGGTGCCGACGCGGTCGCCATCGGCCACTCGGTGATGATGGCTCTCAACTGCAACAAGGACATCCCGGAGGCCGACTACGAGACCGAGATCGGGGTCGAAGCCGGCTATTGCTACCACTGCCACACCGGGCGCTGCCCCGTGGGCGTCGCCACCCAGGACCCGGAGCTGCGCAAGAGGCTCGACCCGGACGAGGCGGCGGAGCGTGTCTACAACTTCCTCCACACGCTGACGCTGGAGTGCCAGATGATGGCGCGCGCCTGCGGCAAGACCGATGTCCACAGCCTGGAGCCGGAGGACCTGGCCGCGCTCACCATGGAGGCCTCGGCCATGGCCCAGGTGCCGCTCGCGGGCTCCCAGCACACCGTCGGCCGCCCCGACATGAACCGCTACTAGGACCGGAGAGGCGCCATGAGCGATAAGACCGGCGACGTCGACTATTTCCTGAGCCAGAGCGGGCTCGACAGCGAGCGCGAGAAGGAGATCGGCCAGCACATCGGCTATCGCTACGATGTGAACCTGGTGCCGGACTACGAGCGGCTCACGCCCTTCCTCAAGCGCTATGTCGAGACCATGGGCTGGACCGACCTGAACTGGCTGGAAGACGTCCACATGGGCTACGAGGAAGGCCGGCCGGCGGTGTTCGACCGCAATATCAACGGCTGGGTCTCGGTGCCGGAGGAACCTGGAGCTGCCCGACAATCAGCAGGACCGCGACATGCTCGCCCGCGAGCTGCTGGTGAAGTTCCAGATGTCGCCCCGCCACCCGATGGCGGACCTCAACGGGGTGTATCGGAAGTTTTAGGCTGAAGGTCTCGCCGAAGCAGCGGGTCGGCGGCGCAAACGGAAAAATTACAAAACGAACCCAATTTCGCGTAGTCCCTTATTTTACAACATAAAATCCCCCACCTCTCCCCGGCCCTCTCCGCCCCCAGGGGCAGAGAGGGAGTAACGGGCGGCGCCACCTGCGTTCCCCCTCCGCCTCCGGGGGAGGGGGACAGGGGGAGGTGGGTTTTCTGCGGGCTGAGCCGCGCGTGTCGACGAGGGGGTTCGTGACATCGGCATACGATCCGGCCAGCGTGGATCGAGTTTCAGTCGCTATCGCGTCCCCTCCGGGGCGGGATCGGCGGTGGCCTCCAGCCAGCGGGGGGCGAAGGCGAGGACCGGGCATGTCCGGCGGGAGCTGCGGGTTGAACAACGCGTTGTGCCACCAGGTCTCCTCGCGGCGCGGATCGTCGCGCCCCAGCCGTTGGACAGTGCACGGCAGCGTGTAACGCTGGCGGTCCTGGCCGAAGGCCAGGACGCAGCGGCCCTCCCGCACCAGATCGGCGGCAAGGGCTGAGTCGGCCGCGAAGGTCGCCGTCAGCAGGTCGCTGAAGTCGCGCGCATACTGGTAGTAGCGCTCGGCCAGCAGCGCGAGCGCCGCCTCGCGCCGATCCCGCGGATCGTGGGTGCGCCGTATCAGATGGCGGAACTCGGGCGCGAAGGAGTCGGCCTCGCGCCGCACGAGAAGCGTCGTCACCGCCGGCGCCAGCGTGTCGCCCGCCGCGCTCAGCACCTCTGGGCACATCCCCCGCGACGGCCGCCCGGCCCGGCGGCGCATGGCGTCGGCGCGTATCCGGCACTGCCAGCCGATGAAGTGATCGCGCAGGCGCTCGGCCCTTGGCGCGGGTGTCACGGTCTTTCAGCCCCGGTTCGCACGGTCCGCATGGTGCGCCTGCGATGGTAGCCGCGGCCCAGGGTCGCGGCCATCGGGATCGGTGCCAGGCGTGCCCAGCGCTGTCGGGCGGGGGCGGACGGGAAGGGTCTCTTCCCTCCCAACTCCCCGGATCATAGTGCGGTGCACGGCGCGCGGCGTGCGCGCGACGATCGCGTCATGCAGTGCAAGAACATGCAGCGCACGAGCGCGACTCTAACTTTCGCGCGCACGACCCTGCGAGCGTGCGCGCGCACGCCGCCGTGCGCGACGCCGTCGCCGCCACCGTTATCGAGGACGGCCGCTGCCTGCCCCGCGGAAATCCATTCATCCCACTTAATCCCGCCGAATCCCGCATGCAAAATTAACCTACTGCTTCCATCGTGCGTCCGCGCACGGTGACGGAAGACGCGCGGGACGCGACGCAGGCCGTGACCGTGGTGAGAAATCCGGGCTAGGATCGCAGGCCGCCCCCACCAACCGAACGAGGCCCCCATGTCGCGCGGTCCGGAACTTCCCTCCGTCAATCAGCTCGCAGCAATCGCCCAGGATTTCGGGCTCGACATGACGCTCGACGACCTCACCAACCAACGGGACGCCATGCGGGGCGCGATCGCGAGCCTGCGCCATATCGACGACATGCCGGAGGAACGCCCGGCCGTCGCCTATCCGCGGACCTCGGGTTACCGGCCGCATCCGGACGAGAACCCCTACAACGCCTGGTACTGGCGGGCCGAGATCAAGGGCGCCGAAACAGGTCCCCTCGCGGGCGAGGAGATCGGCATCAAGGACGTGGTCTCGGTGGCGGGTCTGCCGATGATGAACGGCGCGCGCGCCCTCGAAGGCTACGTGCCCATCATCGACGCCACCATCGTGACCCGCCTGCTCGACGCGGGCGCCACCATCGTCGGCAAGACGGCCTGCGCCGACTTCTCGTTCTCCGGCGGCGGCCACACCAGCGGCTACGGCCCGGTGCGCAATCCGCGCAAGCCCACGCATGCGCCCGGCGGCTCGTCGAAGGGGAGCGCCGCCGCGCTCGCCGCCGGCGACGTGGCCATGGCCATCGGCGGCGATCAGGGCGGCTCGATCCGCATCCCCGCCTCCTGGTGCGGCGTGGTCGGGCACAAGGCGACCTTCGGCCTCATTCCCTATACCGGGTGCCTCGCGATCGACATGACCCTCGACCACATCGGGCCTATGACGAACACGGTTGAGAACACGGCCCGCATGCTCTCGGTGCTGGCTGGCCCCGACCCCCTCGATCCGCGCCAGCGGGGCGTGATCCCTGCGGATTATGTGCAGGACTACATGCCGGCCATCGGCGCGGGCTGCGAAGGGATCCGCATCGGCGTGCTCAGTGAAGGCTTCGGCCAGACCACCGAGAGCTGGCCCGAGTTCGGCCTGCCGGGGAGCGAGCCGGCGGTGGACGAGGCGGTGCGCGCCGCGGTGCGGCGGCTGGAGGAGCGTGGGGCCACGGTCACCGAGGTCTCGGTGCCCCAGCATTACCATGGGCTCAGGGTCTGGTTCGCCATCGCGGCCGAGGGCGCGACCGAGTTCATGCTCAAGTCGGGCGGCGTCGGCACCGGCTGGTTCGGCTACTACAACACCCAGTTTCTGGAGCATGCGTCCCGCGCCGCACTCACCCGCCAGAACGACTATCCGTTGACCGTGAAGAACGTCCTCCTGCTCGGCGGGTATCTCAAGCGCTACTACCACGGCACCTATTATGCGAAGGCGCAGAACCAGCGCAGGCGGCTGACCGAGGCCTACGACAAGGCGCTCGCCGAGGTGGACGTGCTGGTGCTGCCGACCATTCCGCACCTGCCGGCGCCGATCCCGAGCCTGGATGCCGATTTCGGGGAGTACATGTCGCGGGCGCTCAGCATGATCAACAACACGCCGCAGTTCAATCTGACCGGCCATCCGGCGATCAGCGTGCCCTGCGGGGTGAGCGACGACCTGCCGATCGGCTGCCAGATCGTGGGCCGCCACTTCGACGATCTCACGGTGCTCAAGGTCGCCGACGCGCTGGAGAAGAGCGCGGATTGGCAGAGCGTGTAGCACTCGTGCTGCCCGGCCCTCCCTGCGGCAGGCCTGAGTTGCGGCGGTGACGGAGAATCCGGAACGCTGGGTCGTGCGCAAGCCCGCGGTGACGAGCCGCGGCGGCGTGGTCGCGACCCAGCACCAGGCCGCGTCCGAGGTCGGCGCACGGGTGCTGCGCGGACGGCGGCAATCGCCGTCGACGCCGCCATCGCCGCGAGCCTTGCGCTGGCCACGGTCGAGCCCTGGATGAGCGGGCTCGGCGGCGGCGGGTACATGCTCGTCCGCCCCGCAGGCGAGGCCCAGTCGTACGCCGTCTCCTTCGGGATGGTGGCGCCCGGCGCATTGGACCCGGCGGACTACCCGCTCACCGGCGAGGCCGGCGCGGACTTGTTCGGCTGGCCGGCTGTCGAGGGCGACCGCAACACGCGCGGTCCGTTTGCGGTCGCGGTGCCGGGGCAGGTCGCGGGCCTCGCGTTGGCGCGGGAGCGCTTCGGCAGCTGGGGCTGGGCCGACCTCGTGGCGCCCGCGTGCGCCTTGGCCGAGCGGGGCATGGAGGTCGACTGGCATGCCACCGTCGCGATTGCGGCGTCGGCGCCGGAGCTCGCGCAGGACCCCGGCTGCGCCGCCACCTATCTCGCGGATGGCTTCCCGCTGGCGACGCCCTGGACCGGCGACGCGCCCCGCATTCGCTTGGGATCGCTGGCGGAGACGCTGCGGAGGCTCGCCGAGGCCGGGCCCGCCGACTTCTATACGGGCGAGATCGCGCGCGCGATTTGCGCCGACATGGCGGCGCTCGGCGGCCGGTTGTCGGACACCGATCTGGCGGACTACGCGGCCCAGGTCGAGGAGGCTCCGGCGACCCGCTACCGCGATGCTCTGGTCAGCACCGCGCCGGGACTGACCGCAGGGCCGACGCTGATCGATGTCCTGAACCGCCTCGCCGCCTCGCTCGTTCCCCGGCGCGGCGCCCCCCGGCGGCGAGGCCTACTGCGCTTATGCCGAGGCATTGCGTGCCGCCTACGCCGAGCGTCTCCGGGGCATGGGCGAGGGCACCGGCGGGGACCCTGCGTCCTGCACGAGCCATCTCGGCGTCGCGGACCGGGACGGCACCGTGGTCGCGCTGACCCAGACCCTGCTTTCCCCCTTCGGCGCCAAGGTGATGCTGCCGCAGACCGGGATCCTGATGAACAACGGGCATCATGTGGTTCGACCCCCGGCCCGGCGGACCCAACTCGATCGCGCCCGGCAAGCGGCCGCTCTCCAACATGTGCCCCACCCTCGTCGAGCTCGCGGACGGGCGGCGCGCGGCGCTCGGCGCCTCCGGCGGGCGCCGCATCCTCCCCGCCGTTGCGCAGCTGCTCTCCTTCCTCGCGGATTTCGGGATGAGCCCGGACGACGCCGCGCACTGCCCGCGCATCAATGTCGATGGCCCCGATCTCGTGGAGGCCGATGCCAGGCTGCCGGCGGAGACGCTTGCCTTATTGGAGGCGCGGTTCGCGCTCGCGGTACGGCCTCACGGGGTTCATCCGTCGGCGTATGCCTGCCCGAACGCGGTCGTTTGGGATCCGCAGAGCGGCACCGCAACCGGCGTTGCCCATGTGATGTCTCCCAATGCGTGCGTGAGCGCGCCCTGACCGAAGACGCAACGTCGGACTGGAGCAACCCATGCAGAGCCAGACGCGCATCGGCATGATCACGCCGTCGCTCAACACGGTGCTGGAGCCTGTGACCTATGCCCTGCTTAGCGATCTGCCCGACGTGACCGCGCATTTCAGCCGGGTGCGGGTGACCCATATTTCGCTCGGCGATGACGCAGCGTCTCAGTTCGCCGATGAGCCCATGCTCGCCGCCGCGCGCATGCTGGCGGACGCCCGCGTCCACGCCATCTGCTGGAACGGCACCGCCGGCAGCTGGCTCGGCCCTGACTTCGACCGCCGGCTCTGCGAGGCGATCGCGCGCGAGACCGGCATTCCGGCGACGAGCGCGACGCTGGCGCTGGCCGAGCTCTTCCGCAGCCGGGGAATCAGCGCTTCGCCCTGGTGACGCCGTTCGAGGACGCGCTGCAGGAGGCGATCATCGAGACCTATCGGCGCGAGGGCTTCGAGTGCGTGGCCGAGCGCCATCTCGATAGCGACGACACCTTCGGCTACGCCACGATCCCCGCGGCGGAGACCGAAGGCATGATCCGCGCCGTGGTGGGTGCCGAGCCCGAGGCGATCGCCGCCGTCTGTACGAACCTGAAGGGCGCGCCCCACGCCGCAGCGATGGAGGCGGAAGCCGGCCGCCCGGTCTACGACAGCGTGGCGGCGGCGTTATGGGGCACGCTCGTGCTCGCCGGCGTCGATCCGAGCCGCATCGCCGGCTGGGGCGAGATCTTCTCCGTCGCGCCCGCTTCGCTGGAGCGTCTCGGCGCCCTGGCGTGAGGGTGCACCCTCCAGAGCGAGTCCGTCTGTGACGGACTCGCGGTAGGCCGCGACCGCGGCCCGCCGCTCCTGCGGCGCCATCGCGCGCCCCGCGCGCGTCAACGCGCGACGCGGAGGCGCCGGCCGAAGGCCGGCTGCCGTGAGCGAAAAAACTTCTAGCGCTAGCCGCCTGCTCTTCTTCGTCTTCCAGCAGGTCGGCGACCGGCGTTGCGTGCCACCCGTCTGCGCGCTTCGACCAGTAGAGGTCGGAAAGCCGGCCGGTGGTGATGCCGGGCGCGCCGTTGCCGATGGGCTTGTCGTTGACCCGGACAACCGGCATGACGCCCCCGCCGGAGGACGAGATGAACGCCTCGCCGGCTTCTTCGAGGTCTTCCGCCTTCAGGTCGGCCGCCTCGGCCTCCAAGCCGATGTCCTGGCAGAGATCGAACACGGTCTTGCGGGTGATGCCCTCCAGCAGGTTGTCGCCGGGGGTCAGCGCCTTGCCGTCGCGGATGATCCAGACGTTGAAGCCAGGGCCTTCCGTGAGGTAGCCGTCGGTGGAGAGAAGCACCGGCTGGTCCGCGCCGTTGTCGAGCGCCTCGAAGTGGGCGGCGGTCAGGTCCATCCGGTTGAAGTTCTTGCACCGCTGGTTGATGGCGGCGTCCGGTGCGCGGCGGGTTCTTGCCGATCCAGAGATGCGCGCCCGACTTCACCTTCGGCTCAGGCACGATGGTGTAATAGGGCACCGCGTAGGCGATCAGCTCGTTTTCCGACGAACGCGGGTCGCCGAATGCAGCACCGCCGGCGTAGCGCCCGCGCGTGCAAAGCACATAGACGATCGAATTCGTGAAGCCTGCACGGTGGGCGCACTGCGCCATGATCTGCCTGATTTCTCGCGTCAGGCAGCGGCGGTGTGAGCCGCACATGCGCGCACGAATCGTAGAAGCGCTGCATATGGTCGTCGAGGCGGAAGAAGACGCCATCGCAGACCGTGACGGCGTCGAACACCACATCGCTCTTGTGGAAGGCCGGGTCGAGGATCGGTATCGACGCCTCCTCGATCGGCATGTAGCGTCCCTGGCAGTAAGCGATTCCCTTCGATTCCGACATGGCTGCAGCCTCCCCGGCGGCGTTGCGCGATCTGGCCCGGACGGTAAGGCGGTGCTGCCCCTGCCGTCAATGTCTCGCGTTCCGGGCTTGCGCCTGCCGCTCAACAATTTCGTACGCGGGATGCGGAGCGCGCAGAATAAAATGTGGAGCCGACGCGGAAGCCGCTATGATGTTGCTCCCAACGAAGCGGGAGAACCCGCCGAGGCGCCCATCTCACAGCAAACAAGTTGGTCCATCATGTCAGACATCAGTTCACCGCCTACCGAAGGCGAGTCAATCACGGCCCAGGTCAAGTGGTTCAACCCGACCAAGGGATTCGGCTTTCTCGTGCCCGACGACGGCTCGCCCGATGTCTTTTGCCATGTGTCCGCGGTCGAGCGGGCTGGCTTCGACTCGCTGCCCCAAGGGGCCACCGTCACGTGTGAGATCGTGCAGGGGCAGAAAGGCCCGCAGGTCTCGCAAATCCTTGACGTCGATACCTCGACCGCGACCGTCATGCCGCCGCGAGGAGACCGCCCGCGCCGCCCCGGCCCCGGCCCCGGCCCCGGCGGCTTCCAGAGCCGGCGCTATGACGAGCCGACGGGCCCGACCGAGGAAGTCGAGGGCACGGTCAAGTTCTATAACGTGGGCAAGAGCTACGGCTTCGTCACGCCGGACAGCGGCGGGCAGGACGTGTTCATCCATGCCAAGGTGCTGGCCCGTTCCAGCATCGACGATCTGGAGCCTCAGCAGCGCGTGCGGCTGACGATCACGCAAGGCCCGCGCGGACCCCAGGCGACCAACGTCGAGCTGATCTGAGGCCGCTCGCCATCGGCGAGCACTTGTTTGCCGGCGGCGGCGGCGAACGATACGAGGGGCGCCGCTCCGCGGGTCGGCCGGGATGATAAGGGAGCCGGTCGCCACGCCCATTCTGGCGTGACGCGTCGACGCCATCGTGCGCGAGATGTCGAATGCGCTCCTGCGCCGGGCGCTCAATCGGCGCGCGCGCCGCGCCCGCGGGAGCGGATCGAGCCGATCACCATCATGACGAAGGCGGCGAGCATGAGCCCTGCCGCGCCCCACACATAAGCAGAGTGGGTTTCGTCGAAGAAGAGGACGCCCCAACCGATACCGCCGACCACGCCGATGATGGTCATGATGGAGAAGAGCGAGGCGCCGGCGCGGCGCACGATTATGTAGAACATCGGCCACATGATCGCGTTGATGACGACCGCCGCCACGAGCGCCAGATCGCCGTCCAGATCCGGCCCAGGGAAGAGGTAGAGCTGGCCGGTCGCCGGCAAGAACGGGAGGAGCAGCAACGCACCGGCGAAGAGGTTGCCGATCGCAAGCCCGAGCGACGACGCCTCAGGCGGGCGAAAGCGCTCGACGATCACGTTGAGCGCCCCGAACCCGAAGGGAATCAGCAGCGCGATAAGAAACCAGACGGCCATGCTCGGTGCCGGCAGGCTGTCGCCCGGAATGACGATGAGGAGGACCCCGGCGATGCCCGCCAAGAGCCCTGCGGCGCAAATCGGTTGAAAGCGCTCCAGCCGCGCGATGACCGCGAGGGAATAGGTGAAGAGCGGCGTGAGCGTGATCAGGAGCACGGTGACGCCGGAGGGCAGTTTGGTCGCCACGAAAGCGAGCAGTGCGAACGGAAAAGCGAAGCCCAATGTGGCGCTGATGAAATAGAGCCTGAGGTGCGGCACCGTGAGTTGCGGCAGCTCGCGACGGATGATCGCCGGGATTAGCAGGATCAACCCGGCGCCAAGCGCGTACCAGAACACGTAGGCGAAATTGGGGAACCCGGCGTCGCCGGCGATCTTGTTGACCGGGATCAGCAGGCTGAAGTTGATGCCGGCGATGAGGATGAGGACGAGCGAGAAGGCCATGACGACCGTCAGCGCGCGGTGGGCCGGTGGCCGCGCCGCGCCGTTCCGTCGATCATGTGCAGCACAGCCTCGGCGGCGCGTTCGCTCGGCGGCGGGCCGCCGCGTCCGAGCCGGGCAGCGATCTCACTGAAGCTCTCGATCTGGTCGCGCCGGCGGTCGTCATCCTGCAGCAGCTGCTCGATCGCGGGAACGAGGCGTCGAGGGGTGCAGTCGCGCTGCAAAAACTCCGGCGCGGCGCGGCGATCGGCGATGATGTTGGGCATCGCGACATGCGGCACCGTGACGACGCGCCGCGCGATCGCCGCCGTCAGCGGGTTGGCCCGATAGCAGACGATCATGGGAACACCCGCGAGCGCGAGCTCCAGCGTCGCCATGCCGGAGGCCGTGAGCGCCACGTCGCTCGCCGCGAAGGCGGCATACTTTTCCGCCTTGCCTTCGACCACGGTGACCGACGCCCCCCATGACGCGGTCTGGGCGGCAACGGTCGCGCGGTTCTGCGGCAGCGTCGGCACCAGGATGCGAAGACCCTCGATGCGCCGGGCGAGCGTGCGCACAACCTCTCCGAACACCGGCTCATGCCGGCGCAGCTCGCTGGCCCGGCTGCCCGGCAAGACGGCGATCACGGGTTGCGCCAGCGCGATGCCGTGGCGCCTGCGGAAGGCCGGCCCGTCGGCATCGTCGATGGGCTCTTCGACCAGGGGATGGCCGACGAAGCTCGCGTCCAGCCCCTCCGCCTCGAAATAGGGTGGCTCGAACGGGAAGAGGCAAAGCACGCGGTCGAGATAGCGCGCGATCTCCGCCGCGCGCCCCGGCCGGTAGGCCCAGACGGTGGGCGCCACATAGTGGATCAGGGGAAAGCCCGCGCCCTTCAGTCTGCGCGCGACACGAAGCGCGAAGCCCGGCACGTCGACCGAGACGAAGGCCGCCGGCCGCAGCCGGCGCGCGGTGCGCGCGGTGGCCCGAATACGCGCAAGCAAGCGCGGCACGTGGGGCACGACTTCCAAAACCCCCATCATCGAGAGCTCGGAGTAGGGAAACAGGCTCTCCAGCCCCTGTTCGGCCACGAGCGGACCGCCGATACCGGCGAACCGCACGCCATCGTCGGTACGCCGCTTGAGCGCCGCCATCAGGCGGGAAGCGATGAGATCGCCGGACGGCTCGCCGGCGATCAGAAAGATCAGCGGCGCGTCCCGAACCATTTCGGCCGTCAGCTCACGCCGATCATGAACACGCCGTGCTCGTCGGCGCGCGCGACCGCCTGACCGCGCTCCAGGATCAGCGTCTCGCCCGCCTCGAACGCCACGCCGCTGAAGCCGGCCTCCGCGAGCTTCTCGATCGTGGTGAGTCCCGATCGTCGGAAGGTCGGCCCGACGCTCCTGGCCCGGCTTCTTCATCTTGACGAGCACCGCGCCCGGCCCCGCCTCCTGAAGCGCGGCACAGCGTTCGATAAGCCCGTCCGTTCCTTCGACGCCCTCGACACCGAGCACCCGCCCGGCCTGCACGACAACGGCCTGGCCGATATCGTGGGCGCCGAGCGCGCGTGCGGCCTCGACGCCGATGGCGATGTCGCGTTCGGCAACGTCGTCGGGTGCGCGCTCGCCGATCACGCCCGCAGGCGCGCACAAGGACGCAATCAGGTCGTCGACGCCGACCACGGCATAGCCCTCCTCCTCGAGCTCCGCGATCACCAGCGAGAGGAGTGCGTCGTCGCCCTTGCCCCGCGCGCTGGCAATGCGTCCCATGAGGCGCATGCCGCGCAGGTCCGGCCTGATGGTGGAGAGAGACGGCCGGCGGATCGAACCGGCAAGCACCACCTCGCGGCAGTTTGCCCGCCGCAGCGCCTTGAGGAGGGCGCCGACCGCGCCGAGCCCGAGCCAACGGTGCGGAACGCCTTCGCAGGTTGCCGGGTCCGTTTCGCCTTCGAAGGCGATGACCAGGACATCGCGGCCTTCGCCGACCGAGGCTCGCGCGATGAGGCCCGGCAGCGGCCCGCCGCCGGCAAGAATCCCGAGGCTACTCCCCGCCATCGTCCCGGGGCTGGCATATCGAGCGCTCGCGATCGAGCCGCATGAAGTCGACGATGTCCATGACCGGTTCGTTGTCCTGGAACAACTCGGCGACGTCCGCGAGACGCTCCGACATGGTCCCCTCTTGCGCGAAGAGCAACCGAAAGGCGCGCCGGAGATCGTGGACGATGTCGCGGCCGAAGCCCCGGCGCTTGAGCCCGATCAGGTTGAGCCCCGTCAGCCGGGCGCGGTCGCCCATAGCCGAGCCGTAAGGGATGATGTCGTGCTCGACCCCGGACATGCCGCCGACGATCGCGTGGCGGCCTATGCGGACGAACTGATGCACGCCGGCGAGGCCGCCGAGAATGGCCCAGTCGTCCACCGTCACGTGGCCGCCCAAGGTCGCATTGTTGGCCATGACGACATGGTCGCCCACGATGCAGTCATGAGCGACGTGGGTCGCGATCATGAACAGGCAGTTGTTGCCGACGCGCGTCAGCATGCGGCCGTGAGGCGTCCCCGGACTCATGGTCACGTGCTCGCGGATGACGTTGTCGGCGCCGATCTCGAGACGCGACGGCTCGCCCCGGTACTTGGTGTCCTGGGGCGGATGACCGATCGAGGCGAAGGGATAGATGCTCGTACGCGGCCCGATGCTTGTGCGTCCCGCAACGACGGCGTGCGAGACCAGACGAACCTCGTCGCCGAGCACGACGTCGGCTCCCACCATGCAGTAGGGGCCGATGCTGACGCCCTCGCCGAGCTCGGCGCCGGGCTCGACGATCGCGGTCGGGTGAATATCCGCCACGTCAGCTGTCGTCCAGGATCATCGCCGAGTATGTCGCTTCCGCGACCGTCTGGTCGTCCACTGCAGCTCTGGCCTCGAACTTCCACACGTTCCGGCGGCGGTGCTTCTTGGTCACATGGACGAAAAGCTGATCGCCCGGCACCACGGGCCGTCGGAAGCGGCAATCGTCGATCGACATGAAGTACACGAGCTTGCCCGCCATCGCCGGGCCAAGGGTCGCCACCACGAGCACGGCAGCACTCTGTGCCATCGATTCGATGATCAGCACGCCCGGCATCACCGGCCGGCGCGGGAAGTGGCCGTGAAAGTATGATTCGTTGATCGATACGTTCTTGATTCCGATGGCGCTCTCGTCCGGGATCACGTCGATGACCCGGTCGATCATGAGGAAGGGGTAACGGTGGGGGATCGCCTCGAGGATATCCTCGATGTTCATGCGCTCCACCGTCTTCTTCGGTGTCGTCTCGTTCATTCCGGGGACGCTCTGCCTCTTGCCAGTCGCGCCAACTGTGCGGTTTGACGGTGCCATTGCCGGATCGGCACGGCGGGCGTGCCGGCGTAGGTCTCGCCCGGCTCGATGTCGCGGATTATGCCGCTCTGGCCGACAAGCTGCACACCGTCGCCAACCGTGAGGTGGCCCAACACCCCTACTTGTCCGGCAATTTGCACGAAGTCGCCGATTCTGGCGCTGCCCGCGACGCCGGATTGCGCCGCGATCATGGTGCCGCGCCCGATGCGCACGTTGTGGGCGATTTGCACCAGATTGTCGATGCAGCAGCCTTGGCCGATCACGGTATCGGGGCCGGCTCCGCGGTCGATGGTGGTGTTGGCACCGATCTCCACATCGTCCTCGATCAGGACGCGGCCAAGCTGGGGAACCCTCACGTGGCCGCTCTTGTCGACGGCGAAGCCGAAGCCCTCCTGGCCGATCCGCACGCCGGGAAAGATCGACACCCGTGCGCCCACGATGCAGTGGCTGAGCGAGGCGCCGGCCGCGATCCGCGTATCTTCGCCGATCTCGACCGCAGTCCCGATGGTGACGTTGGCCCCGATCAGGCAGCGAGCGCCGAGGCGCGCGCCGGCCTCGATGACGGCGCCGGCCTCGATCCGGCACCCTTCGCCGACCACCGCTGCAGGGTCGATGACCGCCGCAGGATGCACTCCTGGTGCGGGCGCTGACACGGGATAGAACAACGCTGCGGCCAGCGCGTAAGACTTGTACGGAGCCTCGCTGGTCAATATCGCGACGTCGGGCGGCGCGCGGTCGGCCAACGCAGCCGGTGCGATGCAGGCGCCGGCGCGGCAGGTGGCGAACGCTTCGACGTACTTGCGATTGTCGAGGAAGCTCAGGTGCTCGGGCCCCGCTTGCCCGAGCGGAGCCACATCGCTGAGCGTCTTCGCCGGATCCGCACCGGCCGCGAGAAGCGCGCCGACGGCCTCGGCGATCTCGGCCAGCGCGAACGGACCCGCCACGGCGAAGAAGCGTGGATCGGGCATCAGCTCTCGTCGAAGGTCAGCGCAATCTCGGGGAACGCTTCGTTCAACCGTTCGATGACCAGGTCGGTCAGATTGAACTCCGCGACGGAGAACAGCGATGCGTGGACCGGCAATACAATCTCGATACCCCGCGCCTCCGCCAGCTCCGCGACAACGGTGCCGAGGGCCTCGCGGAAGCCGACCTCACCCTCCGCGACGGCGCGCTGCAGCATTTGGCTCTGCGCCTTGGCCCTCTGGTCGGCGGTCGCGACTTCGGCGTTGAAAACGCGCTGGCGTTCCTCGAAGGCGGCGGGCGCGAGCAACGTCTGCTGCTGAATGAGCTCGTCTCGAATTCCACGTAGCCGCTCCGCCTCGCGCTGTGCCTCTTCGGCATAGGCCCTGCGCTGCGCCTCGCCTTGGCTCCGGATCGAGTGGATCGCCGTCGCCTCCTGGAGAATCCGCCCCATCTCGATGATGGCGATCCGCGTCCCGTGCTCTTCTGCCCAGACTCCGGCGGTGCTGCCCAGGGCACAAGGGACCGCGAGCGCGAGCACCAGCCAGAGCCGTCTCCATCCCCGCATGTCTAGAACCTCGTTCCGAAACTGAAGCGGAAATTCTCGGTTCGATCGAAGTCTTCCTTTATCAGAGCCCGCGCGAAGTCGAGCCGGATCGGACCCAGCGGCGAGCGGAAATTGATCCCGACGCCGAGGGAGAGCCGAGGCGAGCTTTCGTCCAGAAGCTCCGGCCCTGATTCGTCGATCGTGGTAAGGGTGCCCACGTCCAAGAAGATCGCGCCCCGCAGGTTGATCTCATCTGGAAGGCCGAGTGGAAAGCCCAGCTCGCCCGACAGCGAATAGAACAGATTGCCGCCGAGCGCATCGCCGGTTTCGGCATCGCGAGGGCCGACGCCACTCGGCTCGAAGCCCCGGAGCCTGCGGCCGCCGAGGAAGAAGCGATCGACGATACGCACATCGTCGTCGATGCCGAAAATATGGCCGGCACGCGCGATCGCGCTCAACACCCACCCGTCCGCGACCGAGTAAAAGTGGCCATAGGTGAGGGTTTGCTTGAGGAACTGCGCATCGCCGCCGAGCCCGGCGAGCTCCTGCCCGAAGCGGACGACGTAGCCATCGGTCGGGTCGATGCGGCTGTCGCGCAGGTCGTACTCCAGCCTATGGGCAACCGCCGAGGTGATCGTCTCGCCCTCCTGCGCGGCAATGAATCGCGATGTGGAGGAAGAAACATCGCTGACTTCATCGTTCTTGAGTGTGTAGGAGACGGTATGCCGCAGCCGCTCGGCCAACGGATAACCTGCTCGCGTCACGAAGCCGACGGTCTCTCGATCGAACGAACTCTCGTCCTGCAGATCGATCGTTCTCCGGAACACGTCGACGCCGGCGGCGACGTCGCGGTCCATGAAGTAGGGCTCGGTGAAGCTCAGATCGATCTCCTGGCGGCTTTCGGAAACCGTAAGCGCGAGCCGGAGCTCCTGTCCTCGGCCGAGCAGATTGCGCTCCCGAATGGCGATGTCGCCGAGCACACCCTCGGCGGACGAGAGGCCGGCGCCGAAGCTGAGCTCGCCCGTGGACACTTCGCTGACCTCCACCGTAAGGACGGTGCGGTCCGGTGCCGTGCCTTCGCTGGTGTCGATATCGACCTGGCTGAAGAAGCCGAGGTTCATGATGCGCTGTCGCGAGCGGCGAATGAGGGCCGTGTTGAAGGCATCTCCCTCCGCCAGCCGGAACTCGCGACGAATTACCTCGTCAAGGGTGCGGACATTGCCGACGATGTCGATGCGCTCGACATAGACCCGCGGGCCCTCGTCGACTTCGAAGGTCACGTCGACTGTCTTCGCCTCGCGATTCGGTTCGACTTGGGGGCTGACGTCGGCAAAGGCGTACCCGCGGCTGCCGACGACTTCCGTCAGCGCGAGCAGCGTGTCCTCGACCTGATCCGCGTCGTACCAGTCTCCCTCTTCGATTTCGACGATGGGGAAGAGGTCCTCCGGCGCGAGGTCCCGCAGCCTGCTTTGAATATCGATGGCGGCGACCCGATAGCGCTCGCCCTCCTCGAGCGAGAAGGTGATGATGAAGTCGCGGCGATCCGGCGTCAGCTCGGCGACCGCTGAAATCACGCGGAAATCGACGTAGCCGTTGGCGAGGTAGAAGCGGCGAAGCAGCTCGCGGTCGAACGTCAACCGGTCGGGATCGTAGGTGTCGGCACTCGTGGCGAAGCGATACCACGCACTCTCTACGGTCTGGATGACGTCCCGGAGCGCACTGTCGCTGAAGTGAGTGTTGCCGAGGAAGTTGATCCGCTGCACTTCCGTAATCGGCCCCTCGTTCACCTCGAAAACGAGATCGACCCGGTTTTGCGGAAGCTGGATGACCTTGGGCTCGATGGTGGCGGCGAAACGACCGCTGCGCCGGTAGATCTCAGTCAACCGCTGCAGATCCGTCTGCACCCGCGGCCGGGTGTAGACCGCGCGCGGCTGGAGCTGAATCTCGGCTTCGAGCTCGCTGTCGTCGATCGCGTCGTTTCCTTCGAAAGCCACGCGATTGATGATCGGGTTCTCGATCACTCTGACGACCAGCGCGCTTCCTTCCCGCCGAATGGCCACGTCGGCGAACAGGCCGGTCGCGAACAGGCTCTTGAGGGACTCGTTGACCGCATCGGAATCGAATTCGTCGCCCGGGCCGATCGCCATATAGGACCGTACGGTGTCCACCTCGATGCGCACATTGCCCTCGACGAGGACGGACCCGATCGTGCTCTCCTGCGCCGTCGCAGCACCGATCCACAGGCCAAGGATGAGCGCAGTCAGCCAGACGATGTGTCGCATGCGGCCCCTTGGGCGTGCCGTTGTCGCTCCTGGCATTTGCTTTGCTCGCTGGGTCATGAGGTCAGGCCGATGATGTCCTTCGTGGTCACCCATACCATCAAGGCGATAACGAGCGTCAGCCCGACCATCGCGCCGATCTGTTGAATCCGGGCGGTGAGCGGTCGCCGGAACGCGGCTTCCAGACCGTTGTATAGCAGGTGTCCGCCGTCGAGCGGCGGAATCGGGAACAGATTGATCAGGCCGAGGGCGATGGAGATCAGCGCCGCAAACTCGACGAAGCCGGAAACGCCACGCTCGAGCACGCTTCGCGACATGACGGCGATGCCGACGGGGCCGCTCAGCTGCTCGGTGGATCGGGCTCCTACGATCATCTGGCCGATCGCGCGGAGGTTGGCGGCGGCGAGCGTATAGGTGTGTTCGACGCCGGCCCAGATCGACTCGCCGACCCCCAGATCGCGGAACGCAGTTTGCTCTTCGGGGTAGACGCCGATCCGCCCCGTCCCGTTCACGTCGTTCGGGGTCACGGTCAACGGGACCTCGCGACCACCGCGTTCGACGACGAAGGTGAGGGGTACTCCCGCGTTCCGCTCCACGATGGTGCGAAGGTGGTCGAAGCTCTCGATCGCCGAGTCTCCGATGCGGACGATGTTATCGCCCGCTTGCAGGCCGCCCCTCTCTGCCGGGCTGCCCGCGACCACCTGCGCGACGGAGGACGGCGTGAACGGCCGGACGCCGATGTCGCCCAGCTGCTGCGGCCGGTCGAAGGCGTCCAGCACCTCGACGATCTCCGGCTTCACGGTGAACTCGAGCTCTGCGCCGCCGCGCTCGACCGCAAGCGTGATCGGCTCGCCCAGACTCTGGAGGAGGGTGAACTGGAGTTCCTCGAACCGCTCGACGCGGCTGCCGTTGAGCTCGACCAGCCTGTCGCCCGGCTGGAGCCCGGCGACGGCGGCAGGGCTGCCGTCGCGCACGGCGCCGATCTCCACCGGCGTGTATCGTTGGCCGACGACGATGAAGAAGACGGCGAAAATCGCTGCCGCGAGCAGCAGGTTCGCAAACGGACCCGCGAACGCGATGGCCGAACGTTTCCCCACCGATTTGGCGTAGAATGAATCGGGCGGTGAGTGGCCCGTCGCCTTCGGCCGACATGCTGGCGACGTCGGCGTCGCCGGCGAACTTCACATAGCCGCCGAGCGGAAGCGCGCAGAACTTCCAGCGCGTTCCGTGACGGTCGTCGATGCCGAACAGCTCCGGCCCGAAACCGACCGCGAACACTTCCACGCGCACGCCGTTGATCCTGGCCACCAGGTAATGGCCAAGTTCGTGGAAGAAAACCACGGGCGTGATTATCGCGAGAAACGGCCAGATATAGTTCAGCTTGTCGACGAGTAGATCCATGGGTGCCACTTTGCGGCTATGATGGGGCGCGGGCGCCGGGTCGAGCCGGGCCGAGCGATCGGTTCGGTGAGGCGATCAGGGTAGCATTGCCGAGTATATATCACTGTGGCGCCTGCGCCGTGCAATTCAATCGCAATTCAACCGCAATTCAACCGCAATTCAATGTGAAGAGCAGCTTGAGATGCGTGCTGATCGGATGCGCTCACAACGGGCACGAGCCCGATCGACACGTGCGCGTGCACCTCTCAGGCCGCTGTGCGCTTGCGGGTGGGCGGTATTCGGGGCAAGGTCCGGGGCCATGGGATCCGGCTCGGCGTGGGCTTCGCGTTCCGGCGGGGTACGGCCCACGATGGGTTGCAGCCCGCGTGTGCAGCGATGAGTGCGTCCGACGCGCGGCCGGCGGCGCTTTTCGACCGGCGGGCTTTCGCGCAAGCGGTCGCCCGGCTCGGTCGAGATGACCGGAAGACCGTCCTGGAGCTTGCGAGAGGCGCCCGCGACGAGGGCCGTCGGGAGCTCTGCCGGCGCCTCGAAGCCGGGGCATCCGGTGCCGAGATCGTTGCGGCCCAGACCTCCCTGATCGACCAGCTGCTGCGCGTCGCTGCTCGAGTGGGGGTCGCACGTCGTCTATCCCGAGCCCAATCCGACCACGGCGAGCCGCCTCTCCCTGGTGGCGGTCGGCGGCTATGGCCGGGGCGATCTGGCGCCTCACTCCGATGTCGATATATTCTCTTCCTGCGCCCCTACAAGCTGACCGGCCGAAGCGAGCAGATCATCGAGCATCTGCTCTACATGATGTGGGACCTCGGCCTCGCCGTGGGCCACGCGACCCGCTCGGTCTCCGATTGTCTGCGAAGGGCGCAGGAGGACATGACGATTCGGACCTCCGTGCTCGAATCGCGCCATGTGTGGGGCGATCAGGCGCTCTACGATGCGTTCCGCCGGCGTTTTCTCAGCGAGTTGGTGCCCGGCACCGAGGCCGAGTTTGTCGCCGCGAAGCTTCACGAACGCGACGCCCGCCATCTGCGCGCGGGCGATTCGCGCTATCTCCTCGAGCCCAACGTTAAGGACGGCAAGGGCGGATTGCGCGATCTCCACGTGCTGTTCTGGATCGCCAAGTACCTCTTCCGCGTCGAGCGTTTCGGCGAGCTCGTCGAGCGTGGTGTGCTCAGCCGGCACGAGTATGGTCGCTTCGCGCGGGCGGAGGATTTCCTCTGGCGGGTGCGGGCGCACCTGCACGTCGTCTGCGCCCGCGCGGAGGATCGCCTCACCTTCGACCGCCAGTCCGAGATCGCGGCGCGCATGGGCTATGGGCCGCGCCGCGGCAATCTGGCCGTCGAGCGGTTCATGAAGCACTATTTCCTCGTCGCGAAGTCTGTCGGCGAGCTCACGCGGGTATCTGCGCGGTGCTGGAGGCGGAGCGTCTCCACACCGCGCCGGTCCACCGATCGGGGACGGAGATCGGGCCCGCCCGCGACGGGCTCTTCGTCTCGGGCGGGCGCATCGCGGCGGTCAGCGAAAGCACCTTCAGCGAGCGCCCGGTGCGCCTCGTGACGATCTTTCGCCGGGCGCAAACCGAAGGCCGCGACATTCATCCGGCCACGCTGCGCCTGATCCACCAGGGCCACGGGCTGATCACCGCATCGGTGCGCGACGACCCGGAGGCCAACCGCGCCTTCCGCGCGATCCTCACCGACAGGCGCAATCCCGAAAAGATCCTGCGGATGATGAACGAGGCCGGCGTGATGGGTCGCTTTCTGCCGGATTTCGGCCGCGTCGTGGCGCAGACCCAGCTCGATCTCTATCACGTCTACACGGTCGACGAGCACAGCATCCGGGCCATCGGCGTGCTCGCCGCGATCGAGAGAGGCCGCCCTGGCCGACGAGCTGCCGCTCGCCAGCACGCTCATTCACCAACTGCGGATGCGCGATGTGCTCTATCTCGCGCTGCTCTGCACGATGTCGCGAAGGGGCGCGGCGGGGACCACTCGGAAATCGGCGCCGAGATCGCGCGCGAGGTCGCAACCCGGCTGGAATTCGCGCCCGACGAGGTCGAGACCGCCGCCTGGCTGGTCCGCTGGCATCTCCTGTTCAGCATGACCGCGTTCAAGCGCGACCCGAACGATCCGCGCACCGTCGACGATTTCGTCGGCCGGGTCGGTTCGCTCGAGCGTCTCAGGCTCCTGCTGATTTTGACCGCCGCCGACATCACCGCCGTTGGGCCGGGGCGCATGATCGCGTGGAAAGGATCGCTCTTGCGCATGCTCTACCACCGCGCCGAGGCCGTTCTGGCTGGCGGCCGCGAGGCCGAGGACCGCGACGCGCGCGTGGCGAAGGCCCGGCAGGCCCTGCGTGCCCGCCTCGCGGACTGGACCGAGGCCGACATCGCGCACTTCGAGGCCAGGCTCCCCGGTACCTATTGGCTGTCCACCGACAGCGCGATGCAGGAGCGCCACGCCCGGGCTTTTTTTTGTCCGTTTTTGGGGCGGGGCGGGGACAGGGGGCCCTTGGTCGAGACCCGCATCGACCGGGCCAGGGACGCGACGGAGATGACGCTCTACACGCCCGATTACATCGGCCTGTTCGCCGCCATTGCCGGCGCGGTGGCGACTACCGGCGCGAACATCGTCGATGCCCGCGTCTTCACCACCGGCGACGGGATGGCCATCGACACGATCTGGATCCAGGCCGCAGGTGGCGGCGCGTTCCGCGACGAAGAGCGCCTGGAGAGGCTCAAGCAAAGCGTGGTCCGCGCGCTCTCCGGGATGTGAAGGTAGTGCCGCGGCCCGTGTGGATGAGGCGGCCTTTCGTGCCGCGTCCGCGGCCGGAAGAGCCGCCGCCCGATCGCCCTCGAGCCCCATGTCCTCGTCGATAACGGCGCGAGCCGCGGCTACACGGTGATCGAGGTCAGCGCGCGCGACAGGCCGGGGCTCCTCTACGACATCACGCGGACGCTCAGCGCCTGCGGCGTCTCGATCGGCTCGGCGCACATCTCGACGGTCGGCTCCCGCGCCGTCGATGTCTTCTACGTCAGGGACCGCTTCGGCCTGAAGCTCTCCCGCGATGCCCAGGTCGCGCAGGTGCAGGGCCGCCTGACCGAGATGCTCGGGCGCGAGACCGGCGTCGCGCCCGGCAGGCGCGCGGACGATCCCGCGCCGCGCCGCCGCGCGGCCGGCTGAGCCGCCGGCCCTCCGCCGGCCCCCGCGCAAGCCATGGCACTCGCCCGCTGGGCCGCAACCGTCGGCGGCTACACCATGGGCTCGCGCGTGCTCGGTTTCCTGCGCGACATCTGATCGCCTCGGTCCTGGGGGCAGGGCCGTGGCGGACGCCTTCTTCGTCGCCTTCAAGCTGCCGAACTTCCTGCGGCGGCTGTTCGCGGAGGGCGCGTTCAACGCAGCCTTCGTGCCGCTCTTCGCGGGCGTGCTGGAGCGCGACGGGCGCGCGGCGGCCAAGTCGTTCGCGGAGGACGTTCTGACCGTCCTGCTGTGGACGCTGCTGGTGCTCGTCATCGCAGCCCAAATCGTGATGCCGTGGCTCATGCACGTCCTGGCACCGGGCTTCGCCGACGAGCCGGGAAAGCTCGATCTGACCGTGCAGCTCACGCGCCTCACCTTCCCCTACATCCTCCTGATCTCGCTCGTGTCGCTGCTCGGCGGCGTGCTGAACTCGCTCTATCGTTTCGCTGCGGTCGCGGCCACGCCGATCCTGCTCAACCTCTGCCTGATCGGGGCCTTGCTCGGCCTTTCGCACTGGACCGAAACGCCGGGCACGCGCTCGCGATCGGGGTCACGGTCGGCGGAATCGTTCAATTCGTCTGGTTGATCGTTGCGGCCTCCCGCGCAGGGATGTCGCTCCGCCTGCGCTGGCCGCGGCTCACGCCGGGGGTCAAGCGCCTGCTCATCCTCGCCGCACCGGCGGCGCTCGGCGCCGGCGTGGCCCAGATCAACCTGGTCGTCGATATCATCATCGCATCGCTGCTGCCGCCGGGCTCCGTCTCTTTTCTCTACTACGCCGATCGCGTGAATCAGCTTCCGCTCGGCGTCGTCGGCGTCGCGGTCGGGACCGCGCTATTGCCCCTGCTCAGCCGCCAGCTGCGGGCGGGCGAGGTCGAGGAGGCGGTCGGGAGCCTGAACCGGGCAATCGAGATGGCGCTCCTGCTGGCGGTGCCGGCGGCAGTCGCGCTCATCGTCATCGCGGGCCCCGTGATCGCGGTCCTGTTCGAGCGCGGCGCCTTCGGGGTCGACGAGAGCAGCGCCACGGCCGGCGCCCTCGTCGCCTATGCCGCCGGGCTCCCTGCCTTCGTGCTGATCAAGGTGCTGGCGCCCGGCTACTTCGCGCGGCAGGACACGCGGACACCGGTGCGGATCGCGATCCTCTGCCTGACGGTGAATGTCGTGCTCAACCTCGCGCTCATGGGGCCGCTCGCCCATGTCGGGATCGCGCTGGCAACCACGCTCGCCGGCTGGCTCAACGTGGGCCTTCTGGCCGCGGGTCTCGCGCGGCGAGGCTTCCTCAAGCCGGACGGTCGGCTGAAACGCCGGCTCCCGCGCATGATCGCGGCGGCGGCCGGCATGGCGCTGCTCTTGTGGGGGATCGCACTCGGCCTGGAGACCCCGCTCGAAACCGCGGGTCTGCGCATTGCGTCACTCGCCGCTCTCGTCGCCGCCGGCCTCGTGGGCTACGGCGCTCTCGCCGCCGCCATGGGGGCCATATCGGTGAGCGAGATGCGCGCGCTTCTCAGCCGCCGGAAAGGCCAAGGTTGACGGCGCCGCGCCGGGACGCGATAAGGCGCGCCCCGGCGGAGCGTTCATGACATGAAGCGGGTCTTTTCCGGCGTACAGCCGACCGGCAACCTGCACCTCGGCAACTACCTTGGCGCGATCAAGAACTGGGTCGCGATGCAGCGGGAGTACGACTGCCTCTATTGCATCGTCGATCTGCACGCGATCACGATGCCGCAGGAGCCCGAGGAACTCACCAGCAACACGCGCGAGGTCACGGCCGGGCTGCTCGCCGCCGGGCTCGACCCCAAGACCTGCATCATCTTCAACCAGAGTCGGGTGGCGGCGCACGCGGAGCTCTCCTGGATCCTCAACTGCTTCACGCCGCTCGGCTGGCTCAACCGCATGACCCAGTTCAAGGAGAAGGCGGGGAAGAAGCGGGACAGCGCACTCCTCGGCCTCTACGCCTACCCGGTGCTGATGGCCGCCGACATCCTGCTCTACCATGCGACCGCAGTGCCGGTGGGCGAGGACCAGAAGCAGCACCTCGAGCTCTCGCGCGATATCGCCGGCGCCTTCAACCGCGCCTACGATGTGGAATTCTTCCCGCTGCCCGAGCCGATGATCTTCGGCGCCGCGACGCGGGTGATGAGCCTGCGCGACGGGCGCAGCAAGATGAGCAAGTCGGATGGCTCCGATTACGCGCGTATCAATCTGACCGACGACGCCGACACGCTCGCGCTCAAGATCAAGCGCGCCAAGACCGATTCCGAGCCGGGCCTCGCCTTCGACCCCGAGCGGCGGCCCGAGGCGGCGAACCTGCTGAGCATCTACGCTGCGCTCGCCGGCGAGCCCGTGGAGCGGGTTATCGCCGAGCACACCGGGACGGGCTTCGCGGCCTTCAAGGGCAAGCTTGCCGATCTCGCGATCGAGACGCTCGGCCCCATCGCCCAGCGTATGCGCGAGCTGCAGGCGGACCCCGCCTATATCGACGGGGTGCTGGCCGACGGCGCAGAGCGCGCACGGAACATCGCCGACACCAACCTCGCCGAGGTGCGGCGCATCATGGGGCTGCTCGACGCCTGAGCGATGCCGGGCCGTGATGTACGGCCCGATTTGCCCAAATTCTGCGCGATTCCAGACTTTTCGCTTGCGCACCTTGAGCGGGAGGCGCATGTAGCGGGCGCACTCTTGCCCGCTACATGCGCCTCCCGACCCGGCCGATGGAGATCTATCTCCCGATCGCCGAGCTTTCAGCCAACGCGCTGATTCTGCTCGCGCTCGGCGGCGGCGTGGGTCTGCTGTCGGGCATGTTCGGCGTCGGCGGCGGGTTTCTGATGACGCCGCTGCTGATCTTCTTGGGCGTCACGCCGTCGGTCGCCGTCGGTACCGGAACCAACCTGATCATCGCCTCGTCGGTCTCCGGCACCATGGCGCACTGGCGCCGCGGCAACGTCGATTTTCTGATCGGTGCTCTGATCTCCGGCGGCGGCATCGGCGGTGCGTGGCTCGGCGCCTTCATCTTCAAGCTGCTCAGCGATGCTGGCCAGATCGACCTGGTGGTGTCGCTCGCCTACGTGCTGTTTCTCGGGGTGGTCGGCTGCCTGATGGTGGTCGAGAGCGTGGGCGCGATGGCGCGCCGGCAACGCGCGTCCCGCCGCAAGGCCCACGTCCACACCTGGATACACGGCCTGCCGCTCAGGCTCCGCTTCCGGCGCTCGCGCCTCTATGTCAGTGCGATCCCGCCGTTCGTGCTCGGCTTCCTCGTGGGCATCGTCGCCTCCATCATGGGCGTCGGCGGCGGGTTCTTCATGGTCCCGGCGATGATCTACCTCATTGGTATGCCGACCGCGGTGGTGGTCGGCACATCGCTCTTCGGCATCATCGTGATCAGCTCGGTTTTTCCTGCTTCGCTCACGCCGTCAACAACAACAACGTCGATATCATCCTCGGCCTCCTGCTGGCGGTCGGTGCCGTCATCGGCGCCCAATACGGTACGCGCATCGGCGGGCGCATCCGGGCAGAACATCTTCGGGGTTTGCTGGCGCTCTTGGTGCTCGCGGTCGGCGGGCGGCTCGCCTATTCGCTGGTCGTGATGCCGGACGATCCCTTCGCCGTCGCGCCGCTGTGGGCCAGTCCGTGATGCCTGTTCTTCGCCACATCGGGATGGCGGCTATCGCCGCGGTGGTGGCGGCGCAGGCGGCAACGCACGCGGCGGCGGCGGAAGAGGGGCCTGACGAGCCCCTGTTGATCGCGCTCTCGACGCAGCGCATCGAGATCGACTCGAACTTCGCCGGCACGTCGATCCTGCTCTTCGGGCGCGACCGACGTGGTGGGTGACGTCGTGGTCTCCGTGCGCGGCCCCGAGGAGCCCGTGGTGGTGCGCCGCAAGCGCCAGACCGTCGGCGTCTGGATCAACCAGGAGTCGATCGCCTTCCGCAACGTGCCCGGCTACTACTTCGTCGCCGCGTCGCGGCCGCTCGAAGAGATCGCGCCTGCCGAGTTCCTCGACCGCAAGCAGCTCGGCTCCGGGCGCCTGTTGCTGGAGGCAATCTGGTTCGACACGTCGGGCGATGCGAATGAGTTCCGCGCTGCCCTCCATCGCGGCCGGGAACGCGACTCCCTCTATCGCTCGGAACCCGGCGTGGTCGAATTCATCGACGAGCGCTTGTTCCGCACGACGATCGACCTTCCCGCCCACGTGCCGACCGGCGACTACGTGGTGGAGGCGCTGCTCATGGTCGACGGCGAGATGCTCAGCACGCGCTCGGCATCGCTGAGTATCGAGAAGGCCGGCTTCTCGGCGGACATTTCCACCTTCGCGCGGGCGGACGAAGCCCTCTACGGCGTCATTGCTATCGCGTTGGCGCTGGTGGCAGGATGGGTGGGCAGCTTCGCCTTCCGCAAGGGCTGAGGACGCGGCGGGATCGATGCCATGACTGAGCAGGCGCCGCCCGAACCGGGCGCGGCCCATGTCGCCGGGCAGGTCACCTTCCTCGTCTGCGTTGCGGACGACGGCCACTCCGAGGTCGCGGCGCGGTTCGCTGCGCTGCGCGCGCGCAACTCCGGCGGGCATGTCGCGCTCCTCCACGTCGTGCAGCCGCCGGAGTTCCAGCATTGGGCAGCGGTCGGCGAGCTGATGCGGCAGGAGACGCGGGAGGAAGCCGAGCTTCTTCTGCAGTCCATGGCCGCAAAGGTGACGGAGGTCACGGGAGAGGCACCGAGCATGACGGTGCGCGAGGGCCGCATCGGCGACGAGATCCTGGGCCATATCGGCGAGAACGAGGCGATCAACCTTCTGGTCGTCGGCGCCGCCCCGCCCGATCAGGGACACGGTCGCTGATTTCATGGTTGGCCGGTCAGCTCGCCGGTCAGCTCAACATCCCGCTCGTGGTCGTCCCCGGCAACCTGAACGATCGACAGCTCCAGGACCTGACCGTAAGCCCGGGCTCTCGCCAGGTCTGGACGCAAGGTGGCGGCGATGCGCTCCGGCGCTGTGGATAGCTGTGCAGATCAAACACTCGTCGAGTAATTATCAACGCATGCCGTCGGGCTTGACTCGAAGGCACTCTGGACGGTCTAGCGCCCATAGTGGGCAGGGTTGGGAAAAGCATGTTCATCCAGACCGAGCGGACCCCGAACCCGGCGACATTGAAATTTCTGCCCGGAGAGGCGGTGATGTCGTCTGGGACTGCGGACTTCCGCGATGTCGAATCGGCGGAACGTTCCCCGTTGGCGCGGCGACTGTTTCAGATCGAGGGCGTCACCGGGGTCTTCTTCGGCGGCGACTTCGTCTCGGTCTCCAAGTCCGACGACGCCGATTGGCAAATGCTGAAACCCGTGATCCTCGGCGTAATCATGGAGCACTTCGTTGCGGGTCATCCGCTTCTCCTCGACGATGCCGCGCAGACGGCAGAGGCGGAGGCGGACGACGGCGCCGATGCGGAGATCATCGCTCAGATCAAGGAGCTCCTCGATACCCGAGTACGGCCGGCCGTGGCGCAGGACGGCGGTGACATCACTTACCAGGGTTTTCAAAACGGCATCGTGATGCTTCAGCTGCAGGGGTCGTGTCAGGGCTGCCCCAGCTCGACCATGACCCTGAAAATGGGCATCGAGAACATGCTGAAACACTACATCCCGGAAGTCGTGGAGGTACGCGCCGTCTAGCACGGCTCGTGCGCTCCCGGCGAAGCCGGGGAGGGAGATAGGGCGTTTTGACGAGTGCCGAAGGGCGGGCCTCTGCGCGCGCGCGCAGGGGGAGTGCCCTCTACTGTGGGTGGAGTCGGTCTTCGCTTCCACCGGCGAAGGAGATGGCGAGCGGCGGGAGAACCGCTCCCCTGTCAGCGCTGGGTGCGCTGGGGGTGGCAACGCTGGCGCTTCTCGGTGTTTCCGCGGCCGGCACCGACCTCATTCAACCGGCTGCGGCCCACACGCCGATGCATTTGACTCTTGCTGCCGCAAAGTGGATGCAGGCGGCCGACACTGCGACGGCAAGGTTGGCGCCCGCAGCCCTCATGCCGGCCGTGCCGGGCCGTGTCAGGTTGGTTTTCTCCTTCTCGGACGTACCGCCCGGCGAACCGCAAGAGGCCGCATGGCAAGAGGCGGTCGTGGTGCGCGCTCGGCCAATCAGCGCGTCGTCTGCCGCCGTTATGCGCCTCTCTCCGGCAGACCTGCAGCCCACGCCGGCACCGGCGCCGGTTATGAAGCCGCCGGTGGTGGCGCGTGCCGTGCCGGACAGCGCAGTGCCGTCGGTCGTCCCGAAGCCCAAGACGTCAAGGGCATCCGTCACCGCCGTCATCGCGAGTTTCGCTTCGTTCGGCTACGAGCTCGACCAGGTGCGGGCGGCGGCGAGACCGGTTCCGCGTCTCTATCTGGAGGCGCTGCCGCACGACCTCGCCAACGTCTCGTCCGTGGAGACAAAGAAGCGGCTCTTCGTCCAGACGGTTCTCCCGATCATCCTTCGGGTGAACGAGGAGATCGCCACGACGCGCCGGCGGGTCGAGCGGCTGGGAGAGAGGCTCCTGTGGGATGGCGCGTTGACGGCCGCCGACCGGGAGTGGCTGATCGCCATCGCCGAGCTTTACGGCGCCGCGCCTTTCGACGTGCCTGGCCTGCTGAGGCGGATCGATATCGTGCCGCCGTCGCTGGCGCTGGCGCAGGCGGCGGAGGAGACGGGATGGGGCACCTCCCGCTTCGTGCGGGAAGGCAACGCGCTCTTCGGTCAGTACACGTACAAGTCCGTCACGGGTATGGTGCCGGAGCGGCGCGACGCCGATCGCCGGCATCGCGTACGCAGCCACGACAACCTGCTTGCTGCGGTGCGGTCCTACGTCCACAATCTCAACAGCCATTGGGCCTACGAGGACTTCCGCGACCGGCGGGCTCTGCTGCGCCGCGCCGACCGGCTGATCGATGGTTACGACCTGGCCGGGGAGCTAGGCCAGTATTCGGAGCGGCGGGCGGCCTACGTCCAGGCTATCCGCCAGATCATGCGTCAGAACCGATTGCGCGATTTCGACGGGGCCTGGTTGAACGATCGTCAGTGGACGGCGTTGATCGGCCTGCCGAGCGAGCAGCCCATCTGATCGAGGCGGTGCCTGCCGCCATCAGCGCCGGTCAGAGCGTTTCCGCCTCACACGGAAACGCTCTCGTATTTTGTCGCTCACGGCAGCCGGCCTGCGGCCGGCGCCTCCGCGAGGGCGCCGCAGGAGCGGCGGGCCGCGGCGCGGCCTGTCGCGAGCCCGTCAAAGACGGACTCGCTCTAAGGCGCCATGAACTGAAGCCCGAACCAGTGCCAGCGCCCGCCCTCGGCAGGGGCGGTGCAGTTGAGCCGGGCCCGACCGGTTGGGAAGGGCCGGTCGAACTGCACCTCGACCCGGCCGTCGCCCGTGTGGTCGAGCGTGGTGGCGACTCCACTGAGGCATAGCAGGCGAGGGAGGCGGGTTCGAAAGCAGCGGCTCGATCGTGAAACCGACCGTCGGCGGATTCTCCACCATGATCTGATCCGTCGGCGTCACATCGCGGGCGCCGAGCGGCAGGGTGTCCACGATCAGCCTGAAGCGGTTGATGTCTCCGTAGCTCGCATTCAACGCAAAGCGCGGGAGGTTGAGCCTGTCCGAATGCGCCGCGACGCCGCCGGAGTGTTGGCCGAAAGCCGCAGTGAAGCCGAGCTCCGCGACGAGCGTGCGCAGCGCCCCGTTCCATTCGCCGTAGGGATAGGCGAAGAGCGCGGCATCCACGCCGAGCTCCTCCTTGATCCGCTGTTGCGCGCGCAGCAGGTCGGCCCGGTTCTCGTCGCTATCCCCCTGCCACATGTGCCCGTGCGCGGCGCTGTGATTGCCGATGGCCACGCCCGCCGCGACCAGTTGGCGGAGCTCGTCCCAGCCCATGATGCCGGCGTGGCCCTGATCCACCGCGTCGGTGGAAACGAAGACGGTGAACGGGAAACCCGCCTCCTCGAAACGCGGCCACGCTTCCTCGAAGGTCGAGCGCGTCGCGTCGTCGACGGTGATGCCGACGGTACGCTCCGGCAGGGGCTGGCCGGCGTCGATCGCCGCGAGAATCTCCGGAACCGGCAGCACGCTGTAGCCACCGCTCGCGAGGTGCTCGATGTGCGCCTCGAGCTGGGCGATCGTGACGCTCGTCGACGGGTACGAGTCCTCGCCGAACCGGTGGTAGATCAGGATGACGGCGGAATCGGCGGCAAGCGCCGCGCTGCTGCCGGTTGCAACGATGATTGCGGTGGCCAGTGCGATGCACATGGAGCGACCGGAGAGGAAGAGCGAGCGGATCGTCACGGTGCCATCAACCCGGTGCCCGCAGCGGTATCCCAGAGCAGGGGATAACGGCGGGTGCGAACATCTGATAGTGCCACCATTCGTTGAGATAGTGATCCCAGCCGGCCGACGCCATCAGGCCGAGCAGCAGCATCCGGTTGCGCTGGGCAGCCGGCGTCGGTGCGGCGCTGCCGTGGAATGCGCGCGGCGTCAGATCGTCGAAGCCGGTGCCCATGTCGAGCGTCGCGCCGGTCTCCCGATCCGCAAGGCTCAGATCGACCGCGACGCCCCGCGAGTGCGGCGAGCCCGCCTCGGGTCCGCGAGGAAGGTCGGGTCCGGGCACTGCCGCCAGAGCGCCCATTGCGCTTCGACCGGGCGATAGCCGTCGAAGATGACGAGTTTCAGGCCCTGCGCGCCGGCGAGATCGATGGCGCGGTCGAGCAGCGCCGCGGCGTCGGCGTGGAGGTAGCAGGCTGCCCTGCGGTAGATGCGGCGGCCCGTGATGTTGTCGTCGCTGGCGTACGCAAGCGCCAGCGACACGTCGAAGCGAGGCGGAGCGATCTCGATCAGGCCGGTCATGGATGTCGTCGCGTTGCGACCGGGAGCATTCGCCACAATAGCACCGGTTTGCCCGGCGATGCATGGTTGCGGCCGCAGCCGCGCGGGTGCTAGAGCCGCCACGAGCGGACGCAAGGCAGCAATTGGCGAACGGCTCCGCACGGATGAGGCTACTCGGGTTCGACACGGCGACGACGGCCTGCTCGGCCGCGCTCTGGGCCGAGGGCGAGGTGACCGCCCACAGGCGCATCGAGGCGGGCGGCAGGCATGCGGAGGCGCTCGTGCCCATGCTGCGCGAGGTCGCGGCCGAGGGGAGCACGACGCTCGCTGCGATCGACCGGTTCGCGGTCACGGTCGGCCCCAGGCTCCTTCACCGGCATTCGGATCGGCCTGGCAACCGCGCGCGGTCTCGCCCTCGCTCTGAAGCGGCCTTTGATCGGGCTTTCCACGCTCGAGGTTCTCGCTGCCGGCGTTCCTGCCGGTGAGCGCGACGGGCCGGTTCTCGCTGCTCTCGATGCCGGGCGGGGGACGCCTCTATGCCCAGCTCTTCGACCGTTCGCTGCGCGCGCTCTGCCCGCCGCAGGCGCTGGCGGCCGAGGCGTTGCCTGGGTTCGTGGCGGCGGGGAACGGCAGTCCACTTGTCGTGGTGGGAACCGGGCAAGAGGTCGCGCTTGCGGCGTTAGCACCTGCGATCGAGGCACGCCCGGCAAGCGGCTCCCCAACGCCCGATGCGCGCGTGCTCGTCCGCTGCGCCGCCGCCCGTGCCGAGGCGGAGGCCGAGGCCGAGGGGGGCGTTGCGGCGCCCGTGCGACCCTCTTTACCTGCGCGAGGCCGGGGCGCGGCCCAAGGCCCGGCCCGACCGGAGGAAATGCCCCTCGTGGGTGATCCGCCGGCGATCGCGGCAGCGTCGATCGCGGAGATCCGCGGGGGCGACCTCTCCGCCGTCGCGGCGCTCCACGCCTGCTGTTTCGACGAACCGTGGCGGCCCGAGTTGATCGGCCGCATCGCACAGGCTCCGGGTGGCTTCGGCCTGCTCTGGCGCTGCGAGGACGAGCCGCTGGGCTTCGTTCTCGGCCGTACGAACCACGCCCGCGCCGAGGTGCTGTCGCTCGGCGTGGCGCCTGCGGCGCGCGAGCGCGGCATCGCGCGCGCCCTGATGCATGCGGCGATCGATTGGGTGAGCCGGCGCGACCTCCGCGCTCTCTATCTCGAAGTCGCGGAAGACAATACGGCCGCGCTGCGTCTCTACCGTGCCTTGGGATTCGCTCCCGTCGGACGCCGCCCCGGCTATTACGCCAGACCGCAGACCGAGCCGTGGACGCGCTCACCTTGCGCCGGGCGATCGTGCCGGCTGCCCTCGCCGGCGAGGGCGATTCAGGCGGGTCTCGGTGCCCAGAAGCGTTTTCTGATCGGCGGCGAGAGCTTGCCGCTGATCGCGCGGGAGACCCCGTCGGCGATCGCGATCTGGCATGCCTCGGCCATTTCCTTGCGGGAGCGGAACTGCTCGATGGTCACCGGGGGGTGAAACTGAATGGCGATCGTGGCGTTGCCGAGGCCGGCGACGGTCCACAGGTGACTGGCGAGCTCCATGTCGCCGTACCAGGCGTAGAAGGGCCTGTAGGGCCGCCCCATGGGGATCCCGTTCAGCCGCGTGTAGGCGATCGAGACCGGCTGAACCACGAGCGGCTTGCCCCTGACCGGCTTCTCGGCGATGCCGAAGAAGGCGCTCTTGAACGGCAGCACCCTGTTGCCGTCGTTGCTGGTGCCCTCCGGGAACAGGATCAGGTTGTCGCCCGCCTCGAGCCGCGCGGTCATGTCGTCGAGATGGTGGGCGGTGCGCGACGCGCGGCGCTCCACGAACACGGTCCGCTGCATCCTGGCGAGGAAAGCCGAACATCGGCCAGCTGCGCACTTCGGCCTTGGCGACAAAGCTTCCCGGTACCACGGCGCCGAGCGCGCTGATGTCGAGGTAGGACGTGTGGTTGCAGACGAAGAGGGTGGGCACGGTCCGCGACACCGTACCGTACCGCTCGATCCTGAATCCGAAGATGCGGCACACGCCCCGGTGCCAGACCACGGGCAGACGTTTGGCAAGCGGCGCCCGGATCGCCATGAGAACCAGCTGAAACGGGACCAGGCAGACGGTCCAGCCGAAGAAGCGGAGCAGCACCGCGAAGGCGATCATGTGAGCTTGTCCAGGTAGCGCTGTGTCACGAGGTCGGTCTTGACGACGATGCTGACATCGACGCTGCCCCATTGCCGGTCGATGACCGCGCCGTCGCCCACGAAGCCACTAAGCCGGAGATAGCCCTTGATCAAGGGCGGCACCGCCTTGAGCGCGGCGCGCCTGTCCACCGCATCCTTCGGCATCAGGTTCATATTGACGTAGTGCTCGTCCCTCGCGCGCGGGCAAAGTGCCGGCGGCGCGCGGTGGAAGTGATGAAGGTAGGAGAGTGGCGCCGCATGCGCCGCCGGGTCCGTACCCGGGAAGCTGGCGCAGCCGAACATGATCGGAACGTCGTAGTGCATCACGTAGGCCGCGTTGCCCCGCCAGAGCAGGGTCATCGTGGTGCCGTTGCGGTACGCGGGATCGACGCAGGAACGGCCCAGTTCCAGGACCTCGCCGGGCTGGGCCACGATCGTGTCGATGTCGTACTCCCATGACGAATAGAAGCCGCCGTGCGCGTCCGCCACCGAACGCCTGAGCAGGCGATAGGTGCCGACCACCTTGTCGCCGGCGCTGCGGTCGTGGTCGATCACCAGCAGATGGTCGGAATAAGCATCGAAGCGGTCGAAGTCGCGCTCGCGCGCCGCCATCTCGCTGCTCGGGTCGGCCGCCATCTCCTCGTAGAACACGCGGTAGCGCAGCGCCTGGGCGGCGTCCACCTCAGCCGGTGAGCGCGCCAGGCGCACCTCAAGGCTCCCGGCGACGATCCCGGCCATGATGAAATCATCGTCGGTCATGGGCTTCTTCGTGCGTCAATCCTCGGGTGTTTCCAGCGGGACAGCGTAGAGCTCCAACCGGTGATCCACGAGCTTGTAGCCGAGCGCCTTGGCGACGGCGGCCTGAAGCGCCTCGATCTCCTCGTTCTGGAATTCCACCACCTTGCCCGACGTCAGGTCGATCAGATGGTCGTGGTGCTCGTCGGGGTGTTCTTCGTAGCGCGACCGCCCGTCGCGGAAGTCATGGCGTTCCAGCAGGCCGCACTCCTCGAAGAGGCGGACCGTGCGATAGACCGTCGCCAGGCTGATGCGGGGGTCGATCTCGGTCGCGCGCCGGTAGAGTCCCTCGACGTCGGGATGATCCGACGCATCCGAGAGGACGCGCGCGATCACGCGCCTCTGTTCGGTCATCTTCAGGCCGATTTCGCCGCAGCGCTGTTCCAGCGTGGATACCGGCAAGTGGTCCCGCTCCTCCTCGAGCGACTCTCTCCGAACATTATAAGCCAGGGCGGCCCAAGGCGACCGCCGCTGCCCGGAATCGGTGCGCGCGGTGGCAATCGTGACCGGAATAACCTAGGCTCGGAGCCGAGCCGCGTCACGCGCCCGCCGGCACGGGGCCATGACCAACCGAAAGCCCAGCGACGACCTATCGAAGGAGCAGATCCTGGAGTCGATCGGCCGGATCGTCTCGGAGGGCGAGAGCCGCGGGCGGAGCGCGGACGCAGGCGCAGCGACCTTGGCCCCACCTTCGCCCCCGCCCGCGCCCAAGCCTTCCGGGGGCGATGACGTGCTCGATCTGGTCGACGTGGTCGACGAGCAGGGCAATGTGATTCAGCGAGGACAGGCCGCCGAGGGCGCGCCAGCGTTCTCGTTTCCGCCCTCCGGCGAGCGACCGCCCCGGCCGACCGGCGAAGGCAGCAAGGCCACTGACGAGCAGATGTTGGAGGCGCTCAGGCCGATGCTCCAGACGTGGCTCGACACGCACATGCCGCCGATCGTCGAGCGCCTTGTACAGCGCGAGCTCGAACGGGCTACGCGCCGCTCCGAGCCCGAGTGAGAGCGTCCCCAAGGGTGCGTTCATTCACGCCTACCCCTTACTAGCACTACTAGCCCATAGCCCATCCCGACACACGGTTACGAGACGACGATGCTTGAGAAGACCTATCGGCCTGCCGATTTCGAGGGCCGCCTTTACGATCTCTGGGAGAAGAGCGGCGGCTTCGCCGGCGGGCCCGGCGAGAGCGCGCCGTGGTGCGTGATGATGCCGCCGCCCAACGTCACCGGCAGCCTGCACATGGGGCATGCGCTCAACAACACGTTGCAGGATGTGCTCACCCGCTTCGCCGCAAGACCGGCGCAACGCGCTCTGGCAGCCGGGCATGGACCATGCGGGATCGCGACGCAGATGGTGGTCGAGCGCCAGCTGGCGGAGGAGGGGACGGACCGCCGTGCCCTCGGCCGCGAGGCGTTCATCGACGGGTCTGGTCCTGGAAGGCGGAAATCGGCGTGCTTCGTGTGCGGTCTGCGCCATCTCCGCCTCTCGTCTCCTCGACTGGTCCGCGCAGCGCTTCACCATGGACGAGGGCCTGAGCCGGGCGGTGATCGAGGTCTTCGTCACCCTCTACCGCCAGGGCCTCATCTATCGCGACAAGCGCCTGGTCAACTGGGACCCGGTGCTGGGCACGGCGATCTCCGATCTGGAGGTTGAGCCGCGCGAGATGCGGGACGGCAAGCTCTGGCACGTCCGCTATCCCATCGCAGGCCGGCCCGGGGCGCACATCGTCGTCGCCACCACCCGGCCCGAGACCATGCTGGGCGATACCGCCGTCGCCGTGCACCCGGAGGAGAGCTATCGGGGCCTCGTCGGCAGCGACGCCCTGCTGCCGCTCGTCGGCCGCCGCTGCCCATCGTCGCCGACGAGTACGCCGATCCCGAGCAGGGGTCCGGCTGCGGTGAAGATCACCCCGGCCCACGACTTCAACGACTTCGAGGTGGGCCGCCGCCACGACCTCGACATCGTCAACGTGTTCGACGCCGAGGCCCGGATCAACGACAACGCGCCGGAGGCCTATCGCGGCCTCGACCGGATGGAGGCGCGCGCGCGCGTGCTCGCCGATCTGAAGGCCGAGGGCCTGATCGAAAGGTGGAGCCGCACGTCCACACCGTGCCCCACGGCGACCGCTCGGGCGCGGTCATCGAGCCGTGGCTGACCGACCAGTGGTACGTCGATGCCAAGACCCTCGCCGAGCCCGCGATCGAGGCGGTAGAGGACGGCCGCATCCGCTTCGTGCCCGCGCGTTGGGAGAACACCTATTTCGAGTGGATGCGCAACATCCAGCCCTGGTGCATCTCGCGCCAGCTCTGGTGGGGCCATCGCATCCCGGCGTGGTACGGCCCCGACGGCCAGGTCTTCGTCGCCGCGACATCGAGGCAGAGGCCGAGGAGCAGGCGGCGCAGCACTACGGCAGGCCCGAGCCGCTCGCGCGCGACGAGGACGTGCTGGACACCTGGTTCAGCTCGGGCCTCTGGCCGTTCTCGACCCTCGGCTGGCCCGAGCGCACCGATGCGCTCGAGACCTACTATCCCCAACAGCGACCTGATCACGGGCTTCGACATCATCTTCTTCTGGGTCGCCCGGATGGTGATGCTTGGGCTTCACTTCATGGGCGATGTCCCCTTCCGCACCGTCTACATCCATGCGCTGGTGCGCGACGAGACGGGGCAGAAGATGTCCAAGAGCAAGGGCAACGTGATCGACCCGCTGGCGCTGATCGACAAGTACGGCGCCGACGCGCTGCGCTTCACGCTGGCCGCGATGGAGGCGCAGGGGCGCGACATCAAGCTCGCCGAGAGCCGCGTCGCCGGCTACCGCAACTTCGCCACCAAGCTCTGGAACGCCGCGCGCTTCTGCGAGGCGAACGGGTGCGAACCCGACGCCGGCTTCGATCCCGCCCGCTGTGAGGGCCAGATCAACCGCTGGATCGTGGGCGAGGCCGCCCGCGCCGCCCGCGAGGTGACCGCAGCGCTCGATGCCTACCGCTTCGACGCAGCGGCGGGCGCGGTCTACCACTTCACCTGGGATGTCTTCTGCGACTGGTACCTGGAGTTCTCCAAGCCGACGCTTTCCGGCCCCGACGGGCCGGGGAAGGACGAAACCCGCGCCACCGCCGCCTGGGTGTTGGACACGATCCTCGGCCTCCTCCATCCCTTCATGCCCTTCGTCTCGGAGGAGCTTTGGGGCCGGATCGACGAGGGAAGGGCGGGCACCCTGATCACGGCGCCTTGGCCAGTGCTCGACGAAAGCATCGGCGACTCCGACGCCGCGCAGGAATGGACTGGGTGGTGCGGCTCGTCACCGCGGTGCGCGCCGTGCGTGCCGAGATGAACGTTCCCGCAGGCGCGCGCATCGCGCTCGGGCTGCGCGGGGCCGGGCCGGAGACGGCGGCGCGCCTGGGCCGCCATCGGGACGTGGTCGCGCGCCTCGCCCGGCTCAGCGAGGTCGAGTGCTAGATGGCGAGGTGCCGTCCGGCTCGGTGCAGATGATGCTGGACGAGGCGACGATCGTGCTCCCGCTCGCCGGCGTGATCGAGTTCGACAAGGAGCGTGCGAGGCTCGACCGTGAGCTCGGCAAGGTCGGCAAGGAGCGCGACAAGCTGGAGCGCAAGCTCGATAACGAGCAGTTCCTCGCGCGGGCGCCGGCGCACGTGGTCGAGGAACAGCGCGGCCGGCTGGACGAGGCGCGCAGGGCACAAGCCCGGCTCGAGGCGGCGCTGGAGCGGATCGCGGCGTCGTAACGGCGTGTTGACATCGCCGCGGCGATGTTCGCGGCTTGACCGCAGCCCACGGGGGCGAGTAAGCCGTGCGCCGGCGGGCCCGGCCTGACGGGCGGGTCCGCGCAGCAGATATTGCGCCGACCCTGCAATAGTGGGCGGTACGCAAGGGAAGGGCGCCATGAGCAGGAAATTCGACAAGTCGAAGCTGCCGAGCAGGCACATCACCGAAGGGCCCAAGAGCGCCGCACACAGGGCGTTCTTCTACGCCATGGGCGTCTCCCGCCAGGCGGTGAGCCGGCCCATCGTGGGCGTCGCGACCACCTGGAACGAGACCGCGCCCTGCAACATCACGCTCCGCCGCCAGGCGCAGGCTGCGAAGGCGGGCGTGGACGAGGCGGGCGGCACGCCGCGCGAGTTCACCACGATCACGGTGACCGACGGCATCGCCATGGGCCACCAGGGCATGAAGTCCTCGCTCGTCTCGCGCGACGTGATCGCGGACTCGGTCGAGCTCACCATGCGCGGGCACTCCTACGACGCGCTGGTGGGCATCGCCGGCTGCGACAAGTCGCTGCCGGGCATGATGATGGCGCTGGTGCGGCTCAACGTGCCGGGGGTCTTCCTCTACGGCGGCTCCATCCTGCCGGGGCGCTTTCGCGGCAAGGACGTCACGATCATGGATGTCTACGAGTATTACGGTAAGCTCAACGAGGGCAGCGTGACCGAGGAGGACCTCGCCGAGATCGAGGCGGTGGCCTGTCCCTCCGGCGGCTCCTGCGGCGGGCAGTTCACCGCCAACACCATGGCCTGCGTCTCGGAAGCGATCGGCCTTGCGTTGCCCGCACTCCGCCGGCGCGCCGGCGGTCTACGAATCCCGCGACGAGTTCGCCGTGGCCTCGGGCACCTGCGTCATGGACCTGATCGAGAAGAACCTCCGCCCGCGCGACATCGTCACCCGCAAGGCGATGGAGAACGCGGCGACGGTGGTGGCGGCGACCGGCGGCTCGACCAACGCGGGCTGCATCTGCCCGCGATCGCGCACGAGGCGGGGATCGACTTCGACCTCTCCGCGGTGGCGGAGGTGTTCAAGCGCACGCCCTATATCGCCGACCTCAAGCCGGGCGGCCGCTACGTCGCGAAGGACCTGTTCGAGGTGGGCGGCGTGCCCATCGTGCTCAAGGCGCTGCTTGAGGGTGGCTACCTCCACGGCGACTGCATGACCGTGACAGGCCGCACGCTTGCCGAGAACCTCGCCGATGTCAGGTTCCCCACCGAGCAGGACGTGGTGGTGCCGACGTCTGCACCACTCTCGCCCACTGGCGGCGTGGTGGGGCTCAACGGCAATCTCGCGCCGGAAGGGGCGATCGTGAAGGTCGCCGGCCTCTCGCGGCTCCGCCATGTCGGGCCGGCGCGCTGCTTCGACACCGAGGAAGAGGCGATGAAGGCCATCGTCAGCCGCGACTACCGCTCGGGCGACGTGATCGTCATCCGCTACGAGGGGCCGAAGGGCGGCCCCGGCATGCGCGAGATGCTGGCCGTCACCTCGCAGATCTACGGCCAGGGCAAGGGCGAGGAGGTGGCACTTATCACCGACGGCCGGTTCTCGGGCGCGACGCGGGGCTTCTGCATCGGCCATGTCGGGCCGGAAGCTGCGGTGGGCGGCCCCATCGCCCTGCTGCGCGACGGCGACCAGGTGACCGTCGACGCGGCCAGCGGCGAGCTCAGCGTCGCGCTCTCCGATGCGGAGCTCGCGGAGCGCCGCAAGTCCTGGGCGCCGCGCTCGCACGACTATCAGGCGGGCGTGCTCTGGAAGTACGCGGTGACCGTGGGCCCCGCCTACCAGGGTGCGGTGACGCATCCCGGAGGGGCTGCGGAAACGCATTGCTTCGCGGACATTTGATCGGTCGCGCGTTCACGGCCGCACGGCCAAGCCATGACCAAGGATAGCGGCGACAAGGGGCGCTACCGGGACGAGACCCTGCTCTCGGTGCTCGGCCGCGACCCGGCGGCGAACCACGGTGTGGTCAACCCGCCCGTCTATCACGCATCGACGATCCTGCATGAGTCGGCGGCGGCGCTGAAGGAAGCCACGTTCGGCCCGCGCGAGTACGGCAAGACCTATTACGGCCGCTACGGCACGCCCACGACCTTCCCGCTGCAGGATTCCATCGCCACGCTGGAGAAGGGCTACCGGACCTACCTGTTCGGCTCCGGCAAGGCGGCGATCGTGGCGGCGCTGCTCGCCTTCGTGAAGAGCGGCGACCACGTGCTGATGACCGACAGCGCCTACGGCCCGACGCGGAGCCTCGCGAACGGCCTGCTGAAGCGCATGGGGGTCGAGACCACCTTCTACGACCCCTGCATCGGCGCCGGCATCGCTGACCTGATGCGGGCCAACACCAGCGTGGTGGTCGGCGAATCGCCGGGCTCGCTTACCTTCGAGGTTCAGGACTTTCCGGCGCTCGCGGCTGCCGCCCATGAGCGGGGCGCGGTCCTCGTCGTGGACAATACCTGGGCCTCGCCGCTTTTCTGCCAGCCGCTGGTGTTGGGCGCGGATATCTCGATCCAGGCCGGCACCAAGTACATCGTGGGCCATTCGGACGCGATGCTGGGCGCGGTCACCACCACCGAGGCCCATGTCGAGGCGCTCCGCCGTATCTTCGAGGAGCTTGGCGCGGCACCCGGCCCCGACGACTGCTATCTGGGCTTGCGCGGCCTGCGCACGCTTTCCGTCCGGCTGCAGCGGCACCAGGAGACGGGCCTCGCGCTCGCCCGCTGGTTCCGCGAGAGGCCGGAGGTCCGCCAGGTGCTCCACCCCGCGTTGGAGGACGACCCCGGCCACGCCTTGTGGAAGCGCGATTTCTCGGGCGCATCGAGCCTCTTCGGCGTGGTGCTGGAGCCGGTGCCGGAGCCTGCGGTCGATGCCTTCCTCGATTCCCTCGCGCTCTTCGGCCTCGGCTATTCCTGGGGCGGCTACGAGAGCCTGGCGCTGCCCACCTATCCCTGGAAGCTCCGCGATGCGACCCGCTGGGATCCGGCCTATCCGCTGCTCCGCATCTACGCGGGGCTTGAGGACCCGGACGATCTCATCGCCGACCTGGAGCGGGGTTTCGAGCGCATGGCGGCGGCGCGCGACGCCTAGTTCGAGGCCGGTTGAGGCGCCCGACCTTTTCCTCTTTGCCGCCCGCGAGATGTCGACGCCGCCGGAGCGCTGCCTGGTGATCGAGGACAGTGCTGCGGGCATCGAAGCGGGGCTGGCCGCCGGCATGAACGTCTGGCGCTACGTGGGCGGATCGCATATCGCCGATGTCGCTCGGGTGCGCGACGAAACACCTGCGGACGTACCGGTTTTTGACAACTGGGACAGTTTTACTTAATGGCGCCTGAACTGAGGGCGTGACAGGCAAGCATGGCTAGCCCGCATTTCTCACCATGGTCACGGCCTGCGTCGCGTCCAGGCGTTCGATCCGCCAGGAGCGGGCCGAAAAGCGTAGCGGGGACTACGGTTGAGGCCCGTGACGCCGCGGGCGGGCGCCTGGGCGCGACCCGAAGGGCGGCGCTTTCAGGCCGACAGAGTGCGTCAAGCCACTTGCCCGATGCACCACATCGCGCTACGCGGCTTTCCTGCTCTGTCGGCCTGAAAGCGCCGCGCAGACCATGACCCTGGTGAGAAATGCGGGCTAGGAGCAACGGCGGCGGCAACCGCCTGGACGACGCGGCCCGGGCCGGATGGCTCTATTATGTCGCGGGCAACACCCAGGACGAGATCGCCCGCAAGCTGGGTGTGTCGCGGCAGTCTGCGCAGAGGCTGGTGTCGCTGGCGGTCAGCGAGAAGCTGATCAAGTTCCGGCTGGATCACCCCATCGCACGCTGCATGGAGCTTTCAGCGCAACTGAGCCATCGGTTCGGCCTGCAATCCTGCGAGATCGTGCCGTCGGACCCGGGTGCACCCGAGTCCATCACCGGTGTTGCCATTGCCGGCGCTGCCGACACCGGGATCGCCCTCCAAGACCCGAGGAGCGATCAGTTGACCTCTGCAGCCCGGGCCGCTCGGAGCGATCCCATGGCGTTCCTCGGTCTCTCCGAGGTCTTTGGTGACCTCTGCCGGAGCAAACCGTTGGCGGAAGCCTTCGCACGGCAGCTTGAAGAGCTCTGGTCCAGGGGTCCGCGCGAAGCCCTGCACCGGTTCTTCGACGCTGTGGAGGCATGATCCTATGCTCCTTTGCTGCGGCGAAGCTCTGATCGACATGATCCCGACACCGACCGTGTCGGGGCACGACGGTTTCGTGCCGCACGTCGGTGGTGCGGTCTTCAACACCGCGATCGCGCTTGGGCGACTGGGCGTGCAGACAGGAATGCTGACCGGGCTTTCCACCGATCTGTTCGGCCAGCAATTGATCGCATCGCTTCACGCGAACCATGTGGATACATCGCTGCTTGTCACCTCCGACCGTCCCACCACGCTCGCTTTCGTACAGCTCACGGACGGCCATGCCTCCTACACGTTCTACGACGAAAACTCGGCCGGACGGATGCTCGACCGGGCCGACATGCCCATGCTGCCCGACGAAGTCAGCACGCTCTACTTTGGCGGCATCAGTCTGGTCTTTGAGCCCGGTGCCGAGGCCTACGCCGCACTGCAAAAGCGCGAGGCCGCGGCCCGTGTTGTCATGCTCGATCCGAATATCCGCCCAAGCTTTATCCGGGACATCAGGCGATATCGCGACCGTCTGGATCGGATGATCGCGTTGTCGGACATCGTGAAAGTTTCGGACGAGGATCTGAACTGGATTTACCCCGGTCCGCAATCGCTGTTCGAAAAACTGGATTTCGTGCGCCAGGCCGGGGCATCTGTCGTGATCCTGACGCGCAGCGGCGAGGGCGCCACCGCCTTCCTGAAGCACGGCACCAAGGTCTCGGTTCCGGTTGACCGCGTCGACGTCGTCGACACGATCGGTGCGGGCGATACGTTCAATGCGGGCGTACTGGCCAAGCTCGCGGAGCTCGGACTGCTCATCAAGGACTCCCTGGCCGCCATCGATCCGGACCGGATGCGCGAAGCCATACGCTTTGGCGCACAGGTCGCTGCGATCACCGTTTCCCGAGCCGGGGCGAACCCGCCTTGGAGGCATGAGATTTAGCCCCCATTTCTCACAAGGGTTCTGGTGAAATATGTGGGCTAAATCTGTTTGAGGTGGACTGATCATGGTTGCGCGAGTCATTCCGGTCGATCCGTTCGATCTTGTGGTCTTTGGTGGCACTGGCGATCTTGCGCAGCGCAAGCTGCTGCCCGCGCTCTATCGCCGGATGCTCGGCGGGCAGGCGTTGCAGGGTTCGAGGATCATTGCCGCTGCCCGAAGAGAGCTCGACGCCGACGGCTTTCGCCATATGGCCGAGGCGGCGCTCAGGAATCATGCGGGGCCGGGCAAGCTCGATCCCGATCAGTTGGCAGTCTTCCTCGCCATGCTCGACTATGTGCGCATCGATGCGGAGGGCGAGGGCGGCTGGGCTTCACTCTGCGACAGGCTCGAGGGCTCGGAGCGCATGCGGGCCTTCTACCTTTCGGTGGCGCCGCAATTATTCGGCCCGATCAGCGAACGGCTGGCGACGAGTGGCTGCCGGACGCCGGACACGCGCTTGGTCGTCGAGAAGCCGCTGGGCCGCGATCTCGAGAGCGCGCAGGCGCTGAACCGCCAGCTCGCGACGCTGTTCGAAGAGCGCCAGATCTACCGGATCGACCACTATCTCGGGAAGGAGACGGTGCAGAACCTGATGGCGCTGCGCTTTGCCAATGCGCTGTTCGAACCGATCTGGAACGCGCGCCATGTCGACCATGTGCAGATCACCGTCGCCGAGCGGGTCGGTGTCGGCGGCCGGGGCGCCTATTATGACCGGAACGGCGCGATTCGGGACATGATGCAGAACCATCTTCTGCAACTGCTCTGCCTCATCGCCATGGAGCCGCCGGCGCATTTTGAGCCGGATGCGGTGCGCGACGAGAAGCTTAAGGTGCTGCGCAGCCTGAAACCGCTGGACGGGCTTGGCGACGTGGTGCGCGGCCAGTATCGCGGTATCAATGGCGAGGCGGGCTATTGCGAGGATGCGGAGAACCCCGGATCGCGCACTGAAAGCTTCGTGGCGATCAAGGCGGAGATCGCCAACTGGCGCTGGAACGGGGCGCCGTTCTATCTGCGCACCGGAAAGCGGCTACGGGCGCGGATGTCCGAGATCGCCGTCGTCTTCAAGGACGCGCCACATTCGATCTTCCCCGAGAGCGCGGGTGGCACGCGTCCGAACGTGCTGGCGATCAGGCTGCAGCCCGACGAGGGGATCACGCTGAGACTGACTATCAAGGAGCCGGGCCCCGGCGGCATGCGGCTCTGCGAGGCGCCGCTCGACATGACCTTTGCCGAGACCATGGGTGCAGAGGGCCTGAGCATGCCGGACGCCTATGAGCGGCTGGTGATGGATGTGATACGCGGCGACCAGACGCTGTTCATGCGCGGTGACGAGGTCGAGGCGGCCTGGCGCTGGATCGATCCGATCATCGCTGCGGCGGAGGCCGCGCCCGAGCGGCCGCAATCCTATGACAGCTATTCATCGGGCCCTGAAGATGCGCTGATGCTGATGCATCGCGACGGCCGGCGCTGGCGCGCGGTCGCGGCGTGACGCGGATTGTCGAGGCCGCGGACCGGGGCGCGCTGGCCCGTCTTCTGGCCGGCGAGATCGCGGCGTGCTGGAGGCGGCGATTCGAGGCACCGGCCGCGCCGCGCTGGCGGTGCCAGGCGGCACCACCCCGGCGGCGTTCCTGTCCGCGCTCGGCGGCCATGCGCTCGACTGGGCGGCTGTTGCGGTGACGCTCACCGACGAGCGCTGCGTCCCCGCCGATCATCCGCGCTCGAACCGGCGCCTGCTCGACGGAACGTTTTTCGCCGGCCCGGCCCGCGCGGCGCGGTTCGTGGCGCTCAACGACGAGCAGGCACTCTCGGCGCTCCTGCCGCTCGATGCCTGCGTGCTGGGGATGGGGGAGGATCTGCACATCGCCTCACTCTTCCCCGGTGCCGACCGCCTGGACGAGGCGCTTTCGGCGGAATGCGGCTCTCCGGCCCTGCGGTTACACGCCCCCGGCGCGCCAGAGGAGCGCATCACCCTGACCGCGCCGGCGCTGACCGGGGCGGGCCGGTGCTTCGTGCTGATCCATGGCGCGGGCAAACGTGCGGCGCTTGAGGGGGCAAGGGCTGCGGCTGGCCCTGCCGATGCCCCGGTCCGGCTGGTCCTCGACGGGCCGAACCCCGCCACCGTCTACTGGGCGCCGTGAGGCAATGACCGGGAGAACCCGATGCCACTGAACGATACCGTGCACAGGGTGACCGAGCGGATCCGCGCGCGGAGCCGGACCCTCCGCACGGCATACTCCAGCGCATGGCCCGGGCCGCTGACGCCGGGCCGGCGCGGGCGCATCTCTCCTGCGGCAACCTCGCGCACGCCTTCGCCGCCAGCCCGGAAGCGGACAAGACGCGCCAGACCGGCAGCGCCGCCGGCAACATCGGCATCGTCACCGCCTATAACGACATGCTCTCGGCCCACCAGCCGTTCGAGGGCTTTCCCGCGCTGATCCGCGAGGCGGCCCGGCAGGCAGGTGGCACCGCCCAGGTCGCCGGCGGCGTGCCGGCGATGTGCGATGGTGTCACCCAGGGCCAGCCGGGCATGGAGCTCTCGCTCTTCAGCCGCGATGTGATCGCACTGGCGGCGGGCGTGGCGCTGTCGCACAACTGCTTCGACGCTGCGATCTTCCTCGGCGTCTGCGACAAGATCGTCCCCGGGCTTGTGATCGCGGCAGCCACCTTCGGCCATATCCCGGCGATCTTCGCGCCGGCGGGGCCGATGACCTCGGGCCTGCCGAACGATGAGAAGGCCGCCGTGCGCCAGCGCTTCGCCCGCGGCGAGATCGGCCGAGACGAGCTGATGGCCGCCGAGATGGCCTCGTATCACGGCGCAGGCACCTGCACGTTCTATGGCACGGCGAACTCGAACCAGATGCTGATGGAGTTCATGGGCCTGCACCTGCCCGGCGCGAGCTTCGTAATCCCGGCACGCCGCTCCGCGAGGCGCTGACCCGAGCGGCAGCCCGGCGGGCGCTCGAGATCACCGCGACCGGCAATTCCTACACGCCCGTCAGCGCGGTGCTCGACGAGCGCGCCTTCGTCAATGGAATGGTCGGCCTGCACGCCACGGGCGGGTCGACCAATCTGACCCTGCACCTCGTGGCGATGGCCCGTGCCGCGGGCGTGCTGATCGACTGGTCCGACATGGCGGAACTCTCCGCCGTCACGCCGCTGATGGCGCGGGTCTATCCCAACGGACTGGCCGACGTGAACCATTTCCACGCCGCCGGCGGGCTCGGCTTCATGATCGGCGAGCTGCTCGAGGCCGGGCTCCTGCACGGCGACGTCCGCACCGTCGCCGGCGACGGTCTGGCCCGCTACACCCTGGAGCCGGTGCTGGGCGACGATGGGCTCGCCTGGCGCGAGGGTGCGCGCACGAGCCTGAACGACAGGATCCTGCGCCCCGCGGCCGATCCGTTCCAGCGCACCGGCGGGCTGGCCGTGCTGACCGGCAATCTCGGCCAGGCGGTGATCAAGACCTCGGCGGTCAAGCCCGAGCACCATGTCGATCGAGGCCCCGGCCCGGGTGTTCCAGGATCAGGAAGAGATCAAGGCCGCGTTCCGCAATGGCGAGCTCGAGCGCGATTTTATCTGCGTGCTGCGCTTCCAGGGCCCGCAGGCCAACGGCATGCCCGAGCTGCACTCGCTGACGCCGGTCCTCAGCGTCTTGCAGGATCGCGGCTTCCGTGTGGCGCTGCTCACCGACGGGCGCATGTCCGGCGCGTCGGGCAAGGTGCCCGCGGCCATCCATGTCACGCCCGAGGCCGCGGCGGGCGGGGCGATTGCGCGGGTGCGCGACGGCGATATGCTCCGGCTCGACGCCGCAGCGGGCCGGCTCGACGTGCTCGGCGATCCGGCGGAATTCGCCGGGCGCGCGCCGGCGCAGGCCGATCTCTCGGCCAATGCCTGCGGCATCGGGCGCGAGCTCTTCGCCGCCTTCCGCCGCAATGTCGGCCCAGCGGAAACCGGTGCCGCGGTCGTTGTCTAGGGGATCATGACCCCGCTCGAAGCCGCCTGGGAGAGGGTTCACCGCGAGGCCGCGCGCCTGCGCCCGATCCATCTGCGCACGCTGTTCGCCGATGATCCGGCACGGTTCAAGCGGCTCTCCTTCGCCTTCGAGGACCTGAGCATCGACGTCTCGAAGGAAAAGCTCGATGCCGCAGCGCTCGATGCGCTCCTCGCGCTTGCCCGGGCGGCGGATGTCGAGGGCCGGCGCGAGGCGATGTTTGCGGGCGCGCCGGTCAACCGGACCGAGGGCCGGGCGGCTGCTCCACATGGCGCTGCGCGGCGGCGCGGCGCGCGCCGCCGGGCGATGATGTCGAGGGTGCGCGCGCCGATGTCCTCGCCTTCGCCGAGGGCGTGCGCGCCGGCAGCTTCACCGACGTCATCAACATCGGCATCGGCGGCTCCGATCTCGGCCCCGCCATGGCCGTGCGGGCGCTGTCGCCCGACCATGACGGACCCCGCGTGCACTTCGTCTCGAATGTCGACGGGGCGCATCTGGCCGACACGCTCCGAGGGCTCGACCCGGCAACAACGCTGGTCATCGTCGCGTCGAAGACCTTCACGACGCTCGAGTCGATGACCAATGCCCGCTCCGCCCGGGCCTGGCTGGGCGGTCACGCAGCAGACAACATGGCGGCGGTCTCGACCAATCTCGCGGCCTGCGCCGAGTTCGGCGTCCCCGCGGAGCGGGTCTTCGGCTTCTGGGACTGGGTCGGCGGGCGCTACTCGCTCTGGAGTGCGATCGGGCTGAGCCTGGCCATTGCCATCGGCGCCAGGCGGTTCCGGGCCTTTCTTGCCGGGGCCGCCGCGATGGACCGGCATTTCCGCGAGGCGGCCCTTGAAGAGAACCTGCCGGTGCTGTTCGCGCTTGCCGGCATCTGGCGGCGCAACGCGATGGGCTGGCCGACCGTGGCGCTGATCCCCTACGACCAGCGGCTCGAGCGCTTCCCGGCCTATGTCCAGCAGCTCGAAATGGAATCGAACGGCAAGTGCGTCACGCAGGACGGCAGCGCCCACCCCTGCGCCACCGGCCCGGTCGTCTGGGGCGAGCCGGGCACCAACGCGCAGCACTCGTTCTTCCAGCTCCTGCACCAGGGTACCGACGTGATCCCCGTCGACTTCATCGCCGCCGCCCGGCCGCGCGATGCCGACACGGAGCACCATCGGCTCTTGCTTGCCAATTGCCTGGCGCAGAGCGCGGCACTGGCCTTCGGCCGCGCGCAAGCCGAGGCCCGCCCCGGGCTGACGGCGGCCGAGGCCGACCGCCTCGCGCCGCACCGGACCTTCCCGGGCGACCGGCCGTCTACGACCATCCTGCACCGCCAGCTCGACCCGTTCGCGCTCGGCCGGCTGATCGCGCTCTACGAGCACAAGGTGTTCACGATGGGGGCCATATGGGACATCAATTCCTTCGACCAGTTCGGTGTCGAACTCGGCAAGGCGCTCGCGCAACGCCTGGCCCCGGTCATGCGCGGCGAGGACGGAGCCGACGCCGGGCTCGACCAATCGACGGCCGGGCTGGTCGCCCGCATCAGGGAGCTTGAGGGATGAACGCCGAAGCGATCTGCCGGCTCGCCCCGGTTATCCCGGTCCTGACCGTCGAGGAGACCGCCCACGCCGCGCCACTGGCGCGGGCGCTGTCCCGCGGCGGGCTCAGGGTGCTCGAGGTCACATTGCGCACGCCGGCCGCCCTCGACGCCATCCGGGCGATGACCGAGGCGGCCCCCGACACGATCGTCGGCGCCGGGACGCTGCTGACGCCTGAGGACGTGCGCGCCGCGGTCGCCGCCGGGGCCCGGTTCGGCGTCTCGCCCGGCTTCACCAGACAGCCTGCTCGACGCCGCCGAGGATGCCGGCCTGCCGATGCTGCCCGGCGTCGCGACCCCGGGCGAGGCGATGCGCGCGCTCGAGCGCGGCCTCGACGTGCTGAAGTTTTTCCCCGCCGGCCCGAACGGCGGGCCACCGGTCCTGGCCGCCTGGGCCGCCGCCTTGCCACAGATCCGCTTCTGCCCAACCGGCGGCATCGACGCCCGCAACGCCGCCGACTACCTCGTCACTCCCGAACGTGCTCTGCGTCGGCGGCAGCTGGATCGCACCAAGAGACGCCGTCGCGGCCGGTGACTGGGCCAGGATCGAGAGGCTCGCGCGGGCGGCGGCAACATGACCCGAAACTCGATACGGAGGTCTTCCGGCACCTCTGCGCGCTGAACAACAGGCGGAGAGGGCCGGGGCGAGGTGGGGGTATTCGCGCCCGCGGGCGATTGAGACGCCCGCGCTTGGCGCCCTGCCGCACGCTCCCTACATTAGTCACTCGCCATCGGGAGTTCCCATGTACAACTGGTATTTCGAGGATATGGCGCCCGGCATGCGGTTCGAGTCGTCGGGCAAGACCCTGAGCGAGGCGGAGATTATCGACTTCGCCTTCAGTACGATCCGCAGCCCTTCCATATCGACGCCGCCTACGCCGAGGCCGGGCCCTACGGCGGGATCATCGCGAGCGGCATCCAGACCATCGCCACGGGGCTCCGCATGATGATCCAGGCGCGGGTGTTCGCACCCGAGATCGTCCTGGGTTCGCCCGGCGTCGAAGAGCTTCGCTGGCTCCAGCCGGTTCGCCCCGGCGACACGATCCGCTCCACCGGCGAGATTCTCGAGGTGCGGGCGTCGCAATCCAAGCCCGAGCGCGGCATCGTGCGCTACCGGATGGACGTGCTCAACCAGCGCGACGAGGCGGTCATGACCATGACCAGCACCACGTTCCTTCGGCGGCGGCCGGCGGCGGCGGGCTAGCCCCTTGGGAGCGGCGATGCAGCGGTGGGTCGGCGGCCGCGCGATCCCGCTGCTCGTCGCGGCGGCGAGCGCCGCGCTGCTTCTCGGCGCCTATCTCTCCCAGCACGTGGGCGGCCTCGCGCCCTGTCCGCTTTGCTGATCCAGCGCTATCCCCACTTCGCCGTCTTCGGGCTGGGGCTCGCCGCCGCCGTCGTCACCGGCGGCCGGGCGCGGATGGCGCTGCTCGCGCTCTGCGGCCTCGCCCTTCTGGTGACCGCCGGTTACGGGGTCTACCATGTGGGTGTCGAGCAGGGCTGGTTCGCGAGCAGCTGCGCCGCGCCGATGAGCGGCGGCACGATCGAGGACATCAGGGCCCAGGTCATGGCGGCGCCGCTCACGCGCTGCGACGAGGTGCCCTGGTCGCTGATCGGCGTCTCGCTCGCGGGGTGGAACGCCATCGCCTCCGTCGCGCTCGCCGCGTTGGCGGCCTTGGGCGCGGTCCGGCTGTGGAGGGCGCGCGCATGAACGACGAAGAGAAGCGCGAAGAGGCGCGGGCCCGCGGTCACGGGCGAGGACCGGCTCCCCGGCGACCCCGCGCCAGAGGAGACGATCGCCCGCATGATCCGCGTGGATCACGCCGGCGAGTACGGCGCCAAGCGGATCTACGACGGCCAGCTCGCGGTGCTGGGCCGCAGCGGCGCCGCGCCCGCCATCCGCGAAATGGCCGAGGCGGAGCAGGCGCATCTGGATACCTTCGACACGCTGCTGGTCGAGCGCCGGGTGCGGCCGACCGCACTCTCCCCGGTCGTGGCACGTCGCAGGCTATGCGCTGGGTGCGGCGAGCGCGCTGCTCGGCGAGCGGGCGGCGATGGCGTGCACCGTCGCCGTCGAGGAGGTGATCGAGCAGCACTACGCGGGCCAGGCCCAGGCGCCTCGGCGAGGACGAGGCCGAACTGCGCCAGACGCTTGAGGAGTTCGGCGCCGACGAGGCCCGGCACCGCGCAGACCGGCCTCGCCCACGGGGCGGAGCGGGCGCCCGGCTACGAGGCGCTCGGCGCCGCCGTCAAGCGCGGCACCCGGCTCGCGATCTGGCTCTCCGAACGGATTTAGAATCCGGTTTAGAGCGCCGCCTCCAGCTCGTCGACGAAGCCCGCGATCACGTCCAGGCCGCGCGACCAGAATGCAGGCTCGCTCGCGTCGAGGCCGAACGGGCGGCCAACAGCTCCCGGTGCCTGAGGCTGCCGCCTGCCCGCAGCATGTCCAGGTATTTTTGCTCGAAGCCTGCGGGCTCGGCGCGATAGACGGCGTAGAGCGCGTTCACCAGGCATCTCGCCGAAGGCATAGGCGTAGACGTAGAAGGGCGCGTGGATGAAGTGGGGGATGTAGGCCCAGTAGAACCGGTATTCGTCGTGGAAGCGCAGCGCCGGGCCTAAGCTCTCGCTTTGCACCGCCAGCCAATGCTCCGAGAGGCGCTCGGGCGTGAGCTCGCCGGCGCGGCGCTCCTCGTGCACGCGCCGCTCGAAGGCGCAGAAGGCGACCTGGCGCACCACCGTGTTGAGCATGTCCTCGACCTTGCCGGCGAGCATGACGCGGCGGCGCTCAGGCTCGCTCTCGCCATCGAGCAGGGCGCGGAAGGTGAGCTGTTCGCCGAAGACCGAGGCGGTCTCGGCAAGGGTCAGCGGGGTCTCCGCCATCAAGAGGCCCTGCCCGCCCGCCAGCACCTGATGGACCCCGTGCCCGAGCTCGTGGGCCAGAATCATCACGTCGCGCGCCTTGCCCTGATAGTTGAGCAGCAGGTAGGGATGGGCGCCCGGCACCGTGGGGTGGGCGAAGGCGCCGGGCGATTTGCCGTTGCGCACGGGCACGTCGATCCAGTCATTATCGAAGAAGCGCCGGCCGATTCCAGCAAGTTCGGGTGAGAAGGCGCGGTAGGCCGCGAGCACGGTTGATATAGCCTCGTCCCAGCCGACCGTCCGGTCGTCGTCTTCAGGCAACGGCGCGTTGCGGTCCCAGTAGTCGAGGCGGTCCACGCCCATCCAGCGCGCCTTGAGCGCGTAGTAGCGATGCGCAAGGCGCGGCGCCGCGGCCTCGACGGCCGCGATCAGCGCGTCCACCACCTCGTCCTCGACCCTGTTACCCAGATTGCGCGCGGAGATCGGCCGCTCGAATCCGCGCCACTGGTCCTCGATCTCCTTGTCCTTGGCGAGCGTGTTGGTGATGAGCGCAAAGGTGCGGACGTTCTCGCCGAGAACGGTACCCAAAGCCTGCGCCGCCTCCTTGCGCACCTCGCGGTCCTTGTCCGAGAGCAGGTTCAGCGCCTCGGCGCTGCCGAGCGCCTCGCCCCGCACCGGGAGAAGCGCAGCGCCGCCATGGTCTCGTCGAAGAGCCGCATCCAGGCCGCGCGGCCGGCGACCTGCTTCTCGAGCAGGAGCCGCTCCACCTCGTCGGAAAGCTGGAAGGGACGAAACGCCCGCACGTCCCGCACCCAGGGCGCGTAGCGGGCGAGCGCCGGTGCCTTGAGCTTGTCGGCGAGCGCGTCGTCCTCGATCCGGTTGAGCTCGAGCGTGAGGAAGAGCAGCCGGCTCTCCGTGGCGGTGGTCTCTTCCCGAACGGTCTGGAAGAACTGCGCCGTCTCGGCGTCGTCCATCGCCGTGCAGTAGACGAGGTAGGCGTAGCTCGTGAGCCGCTCCAGGGTCTCCTTGATCGCCTCGTAGCGGGCGATCAGATCGGCCAGGATCTCGCCGTCGAGGTCGCCGACCCGGCCTGCGAATTCCTCGTGCAGCGCCTCCGCCGCCGCTGCGGCCTGCTCCAGGTCGCGCCGGACCTCATCCGAGCGGGGCCCGGGGTAGAGGTCGGAGAGGTCCCATCCCGGAAGCGCCCCCGCATCGGCCTTCGCGGCTGCGGCGCGCCTCATGAGCGCCCCCGGCCGCGGCCGAACGCGGGCTTGCGGCGCTCGCGGAAGGCCGCGAGCCCTTCGCGATGGTCGGCGGAGACGTTGGTCAGGCTTTCGTAGGCGATGGAGGCATCCATCATCGCGTGCGCGAGCTGTTTGAGGCCGATGTTGATCGAGACCTTGGTGTAGCGGATCGCCTGGGTTGCGCCCCGCTCCAGCTTGCCGACCATCCGCTCGACGCGGGCATCGAGCTCGCGGCCGGCACCGCCTCGTTCACGAGCCGAGCGCCGCCGCCTCGGCGCCGTCGATCAGCCGGCCGGTCATCAGGAACTCCTTGGCGCGCGGGTAGCCGATGAGCTGCGGCCAGATGATCGCCCCGCCATCGCCCGCCGAGAGCCCGATATTGACGTGGAGATCGCCGATCCGTGCATCGTCCGCAGCGATGATGATGTCGCAGAAGAGCGCGACCGTGGCCCCGAGCCCGACCGCGTCGCCGTTGAGCCGGCAGATCACCGGCTTCTCCAGGTCGAGGAGGCCGAACACGATCCGCTTCGCCTCGACGGCGATCTGATCGAAGACGGAGATGTCGTCGACCGCGCTCTGGAGCCAGTCCATGTCGCCGCCGGCGCAGAAGGCGCGCCCCGCGCCGGTGAGCACGACGATGTCGGTCTCGCGATCGGTGGCGATGTCGTAGAAGAGCCGCGCCATCTCGCTGTGCATGGCCGCGCTCACGGCGTTGAGGACGGCGGGCCGGTTGAACGTCACGGTGAGCACGCGCCGCTCGCGCGCGAAGGTCATCGTGGTGTAGCCGTCGTAGCCCTTCATGCCCGCCTCCTCGGCCTGTCGCGTACCCGCCGCGCCGGGCGAGGGTGTCAGCAGGGTGCCGCGAACGCAATGCATCGCGCGCGCCGCGCGGGTGCGCGCACACGACGGGCGCAGTCGGCGGCCGCCGGCGGCTTCGCATCAGGAGCCCCCGGTCTCGTCGTACAGGTCCTCGGCCCGCTCCCCGGTCAAATCAGCCGCGCAAAAATGTCTGCCCCAAGGGGCCCACACCTCGACGAACAAACGTTCAAGACCGGGTCGGTGACGACCGCTGAGCTAAACGATGTGGCGGAACGGCGCGTAATGCGCGGCGGTCTGCTGCCCGAGCCGCTCGAAGCAGCGTTCCCAGGCCAAGAGCCCGTCACGAAAGCTCGACAGGCGGAAGAACTCGTTGGGTGCGTGGAAGTCCTCGTCTCCCGTCGAAAACGAGAAGAACACCGTCTCGATTCCCAACTCGGTGCGGAAGATGCCGCCGATGGGGATCGACCCTCCCATACGGACGCGCAGCGGGCGCGCGCCGCGCACCTCCTCCAGCACATCCTCGACGACGGCGAGCGCCGGATGGTCCTCGCGAACACGGGCCGGCGGCATGCCGATCCCATCATCGGCAAACGCGAGCCTGACGCCTGAAGGCGCGTGCCGTTCGCAATGGCGCTTCAGCAACGTGCGGATGCGCTCGGGGCGTCTGATCCGGCACCAGCCGGCACGAGATTTGGCTCGCGCCCTGTGCGGGATCACGGTCTTGACGCCGGGCCCCTGATAGCCGCAGCCAAGGCCATTGACGTCGAGAGTGGGGCGGAGCCACTGGCGCTCCAGCGTGGAGTAGCCGGGCTCGCCGACCGGAGCCTGCGCGCCGACCGCGGCGAGATAGGCCGCCTCGTCGAACGGAATAGCCGCCATCGCCTCGCGCTCCGACCGGGTCGGGGGGCGAACGTCGTCGTAGAAGCCGGCAACGGCGACGCGACCCGTCTCGTCGTGGAAGCTCGCCACGAGGCGGCCCAGCGCGTGCGCGGCGTTGGCGACGGTGCCGCCGTAGCGGCCCGAATGGAGATCCTTGGCGGCCGTCGTCAGGGAGAGGTTGAGGGACACGATGCCGCGGCTGGCGACGTTCACGGTGACGAGGTCGGGCCGCCACTGCGCACCGTCCGCCGAGAGAACCAGGTCGGCCTGCAGGCGGTCGCGATAGCGCCGTACCCCGGCTGCGAGATGGGCGCTCCCCATCTCCTCCTCGCCCTCGATCACGAACTTGAGGTTGACGGGCAGGCGCTCGCCGGTCCGCAGGAAGGCTTCCGCCACGCAAACCGGGATGAACATCGGTCCCTTGTCGTCCGAGACGCCACGGCCGTAGAGCCGGTCGTCCCGCACCTCGGGCTCGAAGGGCGGGCTCGTCCAGTCCGCCAACGGATCGGCCGGCTGCACGTCGTAGTGGCCGTAAACCAGCACCGTCGGCGCGTCGCCGGCGTGCAACCAGTCGGCATAGACCAGGGGGTGGCCCTCCGTCGGCAGGAGGGCCGCGTTCTCCAGGCCCGCGCTCTCCATCCGGGCCGCCACGTAGCGCGCGGCTTCCTCGATCGACCCGGCATAGGCGGGGTCGGTGCTGATACTGGGGATGCGGACGAAGGCGTGGAGCTCGTCGACGAAGCGATCGCAATGAGCCTCCAGATACCCGGCCGGTGTCACAGCCGCCCCCCGTCCACGGAGAGGGTCTGGCCGGTGATCCAGCCCGACTGCCCGGACGCGAAGAAGAGGACGGCATGGACGATGTCGTCCACCGAGCCGAGGCGCCGGGTCGCCATGCTCTCGATCAGCGCAGCCTGACCTTCGGCCTTCATCGCGTGCCACTGACGCTCGCTCGCCGGGTTGGAGCGGACGAAGCCGGGGGCGATGCTGTTCACGGTGATGCCGTAAGGTCCCAGCTCGAACGCGAGCTGGCGGGTGAGGCCGATCTGCCCGGCCTTGGCCGCAGCGTAGGCTTGAATGCCGGTCAGGCTGTAGCGCAGCCCGGCGCCGCTCGAGATGTTGACCACGCGGCCCGACCCCTTCGCCTTCATCGCGGCGGCGACCGCTTGCGCCATGGTGAAAACGGCGGTCATGTTGACATCGACGAGCGCCTGCCAGTCCTCGGCGGCGACCGCCTCGATGGGCTGCCCGACTAGGCCGAGCACCCCGCCGGCATTGTTGACGAGGATATCGACGGCGCCGGTTCGCGCCTGGGCCGCATCGACGTAGGTTCGAACGGCGGCGCGGTCCGTGACATCGAGCCGCCCCACACTCAGCCTGTCGCCGGCCGGGGCCTCGCGCGCGGTCACGGCGAGCGCGTCCTCGTTGATGTCGCAGCCGAAGACCCACGCGCCCCGGACGGCGAAGGCATGAGCAATGGCCCGGCCAAAGCCGTGGCCCGCACCGGTGACGATCGCCGTCTTGTCGCGGAACGCGGTTTCCATCGGTTCAGGCCGCCAGTCGCGCCGCCTCGCCTGCGAGCGCGTCGATGTTGGCGCGATCGAGCGGGCGCCCTCCCTCCTCGATCTCGTGGATCATGGCGGTGAGCCGGGCCAGGAGAGGCGTGCCGATGCTGTGCCGGGCGGCCTCGCGACGACGGCGCCGATCATCGGCTCAACCTCCGTCGGCCGCTTGCGGACGGCGAGATCGCGCCACACCCCGCTGTGCGATTTCGCCGAGCCGCGGTTGTGGGCCACCATGGCCGATATCGAACGTTCGGTAACCGCCGCGTCCGCGCCGGGGACGAAGCCGGCAGGATCGAAGCCGTTGAAGCCCTGGGGCGCAATGCCGCCGGCGTGCGCCACCCGCATGACTTCCTCCCCGAGCGCGCGGTAGAGCGTGCGATGAGCCGGCTGCGCCAGCGCGTCGGCGATGGAATCATCGGCGAGCGCGGTCGCGAAAAGCAGCGCGCCGTAGCCGAGCTTGCCCCACAGGTATCCCCAGATATTCGCGCTCGCCCGGGCGTCGCTCTCGAAGTCGCGGAACACATCGAGGAGCGCGTCGAGCCGCGGCGTCATCCGCCCATCGAGCTCGCCCAGCACGACGGCCCCGCGGCCGCCATAGTGGACACGGCCAGGTTCAATGTAATCCGCTCCGAAATTGACGAAGCAGCCGATCACGCGCTCGCGCCCCAGCACCGTTGCCATCGTGTGCTCGTTGAGGCCGTTCTGAACGGAAACGGCGTAGCCGTCATCGGCGAGGAACGGTGCGAGACGGCGCACCGCCGCGTCCGTGTCCTGGCCCTTGACGCAGAGGAGCGCGCGCCCGTATCGGCCGCTCAGCGCGTCGGGCGTGACGGCGGGCGCGGTGGCGGTAAAGCGGTCGACCGGGCCCTCGATCGCAAGCCCGGTCGTCGCGATCGCGTCGACATGGTCGACCACGATGTCGACGAACGTCACGTCGTGGCCGGCGCGTGCGAGGAAGGCGCCGATGGTCCCGCCGATCGCACCGGCTCCCCAGACGAGCAGCGGTGTCGTCACGACCAGGGGCCATCGAGGAGCGCGCGGGTCTCCTCCACGGCGGTCTGCCAGAGCGCCATCATCTCTTCGTCGGGTTTCTCGTAGACCCCGCCCATGTTGCCGTCGCCGATATAGTTGCGGATCTCGGCCGGGCTCATCAGCATCATGCGCGGGATATCGACCATGTCCTTGGCGCCCGCCGGCGCGGCCGCGTTCACCAGCCGCGTCCAGGGGAAGTTCTCCATCCACGAAGCGTGACTCGCGACGGGGTCGATCTCCTGAACTTTCTTCCAGGTCTCCGGCGCGTTGTACCAGTTGTGAAACTTGACCGTGACGCCCTCGTTCTCGCTCATCCAGTCGAGGGCAAGGGTCGCGACCGGCGCGTTGCCGCCGTGTCCGTTGACCACCATGATGCGGCGGAACCCGGCCCGCTTGAGGGAATCGAAGACATCGCGGAACAGCGCGATCAGGGTCTCGGGTCGCATGGAAATTGTGCCGGGGTAGCCCTTGAAGTAGGGCGTGATGCCGTAGTTCACGGGCGGGAACACAGGAATACCGAGCGGCTCGGCGGCGTCGATGGCCACCCGCTCGGAGAGGATGCAGTCCACCATCAGGCTGAGTTGCGCATGCTGCTCGGTGCTGCCGAGCGGAATCACGGCGCGGTCGTCCTGCTCGAGGTAGGCCTCGACCTGCATCCAGTTCATGTCCCTGACGCGCATGAGTTTGCCCCCTCCCTCGCCCCGCCGATTAGAGCGGCGCAGGAAATCTCCGTTCCGACGCTACAGGCTACGAACCGTGCGGGGCGCCCCGGAGGACGCCCCGCCCCGCTACAAACGACGGCCGCTAGCAGCCGGACACGTCGACATGCTCCAGGTCGACGCGACCGAGCGGGCTCTGGAAGAAGCCCTGCACGCAGGAGCGCGAGATGTTGCGGAAGGTGCTGTTGTACAGGCTGTAGAGGACCTCGTTGTCGTTGGCGATCTTCTGCAGCTCCCGGTACAGCCCCCCGCGCTTCTCGAAGTCCTGCTCAACCCGCGCCTGCTCGACGAGCGCCGTGACCTCCGGGGGCGAAGGCCAGTTGCTGAAGAAGTTGTGGTTATCGTCGCCGATCAGGGTGAACGCCGTCTTCTGGTCCGGATCGATGATGTCGTTGGTCCAGTAGACGGTGCCGAGCTCGTAGTCGCCTTCGATCAGAAAGTTGATCCACTGGCTGGGATCGACCTTCTTGATGTCGATGGCGATGCCGACCTCCGCGAGCTGCTGCTGCAGCAGCACCGAGATCTGTTCGTCGACCCGGTTGCCCGCCTGGATCGTCAACTCGAGCGTGGCCCCGGCGGCGCCCTCGGCCTCCAGCATGGCCATGGCCTTCTCCGGATCGTAGGCCGGCACCGGTGCATCGCCGTCGTGGTGCATCATGCCAGCCGACAGGAACGTGTTGGCATGCGTGGCGTAGCCGAACGTCACCACGTCGATGATGGACTGCGAGTCGATGGCCATCCTGATCGCCTTGCGGACATTGAGGTTGTCCAACGGCGGCTTGGCGTGGTTCGGCAACAGGTGATCGGTCTTGCTGGACGGGTCGAGGATCATCTGGATGTCAGGGTTAGCCTCGAGTTCGGCGATGCGGTTGAAGGGAACGAACAGAGCCGCATCCAGCTCGCCAGCCTGGACCTTGAGGATGCGCGTGTTGTCCTCCGAGACCACGTGCCACTCGACCTGGTCCACGAGCGGCAGCCCCTCCTCCCAGTAGTGGGGGTTGCGCTCAAGGACGATGACCACGCCGCGCCGCCACTCCTTGAGGCGGAAGGCGCCGGCACCGATCGGGTTGCTGCCGAAATCCTCGCCGCGTTCCTCCACCACCTTCTGTGGCAGGATCGAGGCGGGGAACATGGCGATCGTGGAGAGGAACGGCGCCGACGGCTCCCTCAGTGTGATCACCACCGTGCGCTCGTCCGGCGTCTCGATCGACGTGATGATCTGGTAGAGCGCCGCCTGGGTCGCCAGCTCGTGATCGCGCGCCCGCTCGATGCTGAACTTCGCATCCTGCGCGGTGACGGGCGTGCCGTCGGAGAACTTGGCCTCACGCATATGGAACGTGTAGGTCGTGCCGTCCTCGGAAACCTCCCAATGAGTCGCGAGATCGGGTTCGAGGTTGTCGGCGTGCTTCGTCGCGCGAACGAGATACGAATTCAGGTTGTTCATGGTCCAGATGTCGAGGTTCTCGATCGTGATCACCGGATCGAGGGTCTTGGCATCGGACTCCCTGCCAAGGCGGAAGACGCCGTCGGCGAGCGCGGGCCGGTGCCGACTCTACCCCAATCCCTCCGCCGCCGACAGCGATGAGCCGTATCCAGGCGGCGGGCCCAGCAGGAACGCGGGCTCGAGCGCCGCGCCGATCTGCAGCAGACGCTCGTCGGAATCGGGTGGTCCGATGAGCTGGAGGCTCACGGGCATGCCGTCCTCCCCCCGCCCGCAGGGGAGGACGAGGCTCGGCAGGCCGCAGAGGTTGGTCGGCGCGCTGCACAGCATCTCGCCATAGCCCTCGGCGCCGTCGATGGCGGGGTCCTCGGCCGGCGCCTCCCACGGCACACCGGGCGTGAGCAACGCGTCGAAGCGGTCGAGACAGTCGAGGAAGCGTTCGCCGAGGAAGCGCCGGAACTGCTGCGCGCGAACGTGAGCGGTGGCCGGCAGCGCGAAGCCGAGCTCCAGCTGCGCACGCGTCTGCTCGGCCAATGCGTCCGCATGGCTATCGAGGAGCCGCCTCAGAATCACGCTCGCCTCCGGCAGCAGGACGTGAAGCAGGGCCTCGGCCGACTCCGAAAGCGCCTCGATCTCGACCTCCTCGACCGCAGCGCCCGCATCGCGCAGAACGGCGCAGGCGGAGTCCATGCCGGCGCGAACGCCGGGCGTGGTCGCGTCGTAGTCCCTGAGCGCTGCGATGAGCCCGAAACGGAGGCCGCGGAGGCTGGCCGGCGACGCATCGACGGACGTTCCCGTGAGCCCGCCCAGAAAAGCCGCGGCATCCGCGCAGCTGCGCGCGATCGGCCCGGCGTGATCGAGAGACCAGGAGAGCATCGAGACGCCCGCGAGCGGCACCAGGCCGTACGTCGGCTTCAACCCCACCGCGCCGCAATAGGCGGCGGGGATGCGGATCGAGCCCCCGGTATCGGTCCCCACGGCCGCGTAACAGAGGCCGGCGGCGACGGACGCAGCCGAGCCGCCGCTGGAGCCGCCCGCGGTGCGGCCGGTGTCCCACGGATTGTTGGTCTGCCCGACCCGGGGATTGACCGCGCCGTAGGCGAATTCGAGCAGATTGGTCTTGGCGATCAGCACCGCGCCCGCCGCGCGCAAGTGCGCGACCATGGCGGCATCGCGCGTCGCGGGCGCGGCGAAGACGGGGTCGGAGCCGAAGCCCGGTGACCGTGCCTGCGATGTCCACCAGATCCTTGATGCCGACGGGGATGCCGTGCAGGGGGCCGCGATCGCGGCCGGCCGCGAGCTCCTCCTCGGCCGTTGCCGCCTCGGCGCGGGCGGATTCAGCAAGAGTGCTCACGATGGCGTTGAGCTGGCCGTCGTCGCGGTCGATCCGCTGGAGGCAGGCTTCCACGACCGCCGTCGGCGACAGCGCGCCGCGCCGGTAGTCCCGACCGAGCGCGGCGATGGAGCGGAAGGCGATGCCGGCGCCGGCGTCAGCCATCGCGCCCAGCCTGCCCCCACGGTGGGCCGGCGGCTGCGCTCTCAGCCAGCGGCAGCGCCCGCAGTCGCCGGTCCGCCTCGGCCAATGCGTCGCATATGGGGACGAGCGCCGCAGCTCTCTCCGCATCGAGCTCGAAACCCGCCGCACGCGCGAGGGTCTGAACGTCCTCGGCGGTTGCCTGTCGGGCGCTGGTCTCGCGGATCATGGGTGAGCAATCCT